TCTGAATCTCTTCCTTTGGCCACCTGATTATTCCTGCAGGGTATCTGATCACTGGCAGGGCGTAGCTGTTAATTGCCCGGGCCTTGTTCTTGCCATTGAGCCGGCTTCTTAGGACCTGCCTTACTCGCTGGTGGTATTTGGCAGTTGCCGCTTTCCTCGTCACCTGTTCGAGGTTGCCATTTGCCTGTGGTATACCGAGATACTTGTAACTGTCCTCAACGTCTGCTATTGTTCCCTCTGGGAGTGAGATCCCTTCTGTGTGGACTACCTTGCCTCTCCGAGTCACCATCCTGCTACATTTCTCGAGCCCGAATGACATCCCGATGTCATGGCTGTAGATCCTGGTTGTTTGGATCAGAGAGTCGATGTCTCTCTCGCTCTTGGCGTACAGCTTGATGTCATCCATGTAGAGGAGGTGACTGATCTTTGCTCCGTTCCTGAGGCGGTATCCATAGCCAGTCTGGTCAATTACTTGGCTTAGAGCAGCCATTCCCAAACTCAGTAACACCGAGGCCCCCTTAAAAATCTGTCGGGTCTGTGTGGCCCCCCCAAAATAATAACCAAGAAGACAACATTAAGAATAGGCTCTTCTGGTTATTTTATTTTGGGGAAATAGCCTCTGCTACAAACATTGTAATACAAAAATGATTACAGTGGATTATTCAAGTCAAATAATGAACACAAATATTTTAATATTACAAACAAAACATTATAAATTTAACATTAAATATATATATATTTTTTTTTTATGACCTCCCGCGGCCCCCCTGCAGTACCCTCACGGCCCACCAGGGGGCCGCGGACCCCACTTTGGGAGACACTGGCTTAGAGGGTTGAGGCCTATGCAGAACAGTAGTGGGGACAGAGCATCTCCTTGGTAGATACCACATTTGATGGTCACTTGTGCGAGCGGCTTGCCATTTGCCTCAAGGGTGGTCTTCCACATTCCCATCGAGTTTGCAACGAAGTCCCTTAGAGCCCTGTTGATATTGTACAACTTCAAGCATTCCATGATCCATGTGTGTGGCATTGAGTCGTAGGCTTTCTGGTAATCAATCCAGGCTGTGCACAGGTTGGTGTGTCGTGACCGGCAGTCTTGGGCGACTGTTCTGTCAACCAGGAGCTGGTGTTTGGCTCCTCTGGTGTCCCTACCAATGCCCTTCTGTGCTGTGCTCATGAATTGTTCCATATGCCCACTTATCTTAGCCGCAATGATGCCTGACATGAGCTTCCATGTTGTGGAGAGACAGGTTATTGGCCGGTAGTTGGAGGGGACTGCACCCTTGACAGGGTCCTTCATGATCAGGACCGTTCGCCCTTTGGTTAGCCATTCTGGGTGAGTCCCATCTCTCAGCAGCTGGTTCATTTGTGCTGCTAGGCGCTCATGGAGTGATGTGAGTGTCCTTAGCCAGTAGGCATGGACCATATCAGGGCCAGGTGCTGTCCAGTTTTTCATACCTGAGACTCTTTCTCGGATGTCTGCCTCTGTGATGGTAACTGAGTTCTGTTCTGGGAGGTGGCTGTGCTCCTCTCTCAGGGACACCAGCCATTGTGCACTTCTGTTATGTGCTGCATCCTTCTCCCATATGTTCCTCCAGAACTGTTCAGTTTCCAGCCTCGGTGGATCTGGTCCCCTGTTGTTACCCTGCCACTGAGTGTACACCTTCGCAGGTTGTGTTGCGAACAGCCTGTTCACCCTTCTGGCTTCATTCTCTTTAGTGTACCTCTGTAGGCGGCTGGCCAGGGCTTGGAGCCTTTGTTTGGCAGTTTCGAGTGCTTCAGGTATGGTCATCTGGCTGTACTTTCTGGGTACTGGTCTTTTCATTGCACCTCTCTGGGCCTCTGTTAATTGACTCACTTCTCTCCGAGCCGCCTTGATCTTAGCCTCCAACCGTCTTTTCCATGGTGGGTATTGTCCATGGCTCCCATGGTTGCTCTTATAGCCAAGCATCTCTAGGATCACTGCTGCTGAAGTGTATATCAGCTCATTGGTTTCAGTGATTGTGGTGGTAGGTATTGCCCTCACTGCTGCATTCACGCTTTCTATGAGATCCTTAGGTGGTACTTCACACAACCGCTGTAACCGGTGTCTTTGCCCTGTGCCCATTCTAGCCATGATCTTAGCTTTCAGGTCAGTCGCTGCCTCGTTCAGCGTTATCGGTTCCATTGGGGCTATGTACCCAATATCTGGTTGGGGAGTTGCAGTTGGTGGGATCTCCCCTCTGACCTCGGCAACTGTGGCATCATACATGTGTTGTACTTCATCAATCTCAAGCTGTGATAGCAGTTGCCGTTTGTGGATGTTGGAGCATTGAGCTACCAGTTGTTTCGGGGTCAACTGTGACTGTGGGTTTCGAAGTAACCATTCAGCCCACATTCTCTGCATGTAACCTCTTTGGCCAGGGTTACTCGAGTAGTAGCATTCCAACAGAGCCCTGTTATCGCATCTCGTCCACTTTCGCCTTGTTCCAGTAGCCCACTTTTCATCAAGGTGCTCTGGTTCCCCAGCACCTGACGCAGACCTTGTTTGGCCGGGCGACGGCTGATCCGGCATCTCATTGCTTATTTGTACCTTCATGGTTATGAGTTAGGCAGTAGCATTAAGGGTCTTGCCCAAGGACCCTCACTGGATGTTGGTGTTAATGTGCTCCCGGTGGGATTCGAACCCTGGCCTCCCAGGTCCCAGTCCTGTGCCCTACCAACTGAGCTATCCAGCTGAGTTATATATATATATATATATATATATATATATATATATATATATATATATATATATATATATATATATATATATATATATATATATATATATATATATATATATATATATATATATATATATATATATATATATATATATATATATATATATATATAAAAAAAAAAAAAAAAAAAAATCACTCACCTTTGGCCCTCCGCGGGCGGTTATCCCTCTCTAAGCTCGGGTCCTCTACCAGAGGCCAGGGAGCTTGAGGGTTCTGCGCAGTATCTTTGCTGTTCCTAGCACTGCACATATATATATATATATATATATATATATATATATATATATATATATATATGTGTGTAAAGAAATAAAGTTAAAAATTGGAAATAAATAAATAATACATAAATAAATCTAAAGGGCCTGGGTTAATGTTTTTCCTTTGTTTAAGTTTTGCAATAGGACCTGTTCTATGCTTTAACTAAAAAGATGTGCATACAGTTTAAATGTTATCCTCATTCATAAAAATATAGAAATATTCCATATTTTTGTAGTGACTCACACGCAGAGGAACAAACATAAATTTTCTATCTCGCTCCTGGAAAACAGCATGCACTGTTTTAAAAAGCATCTCTGAGGGTGAACTCAATTTGGATTCTCCAAAGACGGCACATGCTTTAACCAGCCCAAGTGTGAGCCAGTGGCAGATTGGAATAACTGGCATTTCGTTCGCCTGATCTGTTCGTTGGCAGGTCCTCATTTCGCATGTCTATTTAAAATCACCAGATATTTGGATTCAGCAGCCTGTCAGTTCCTGGATTGCTTTTTTATTTAGTGATTAATACAGTGCCCAGAGAAAGCTCTAAGTCCCCCGCCACCTCACCAGCCTGGACCACCGCAGACTTCCTGCCGCTGGCTCTCCTTCAGTGGAATTGATTTGTTGTGGAAATCAAAATGCAAATCAAGGTGAGGCAGGGAACGATAGAATACTGGTGAACAGACGGAAATGCTTTGAGATTAGAAAGTGACAAGAATCAGTGATTAACGATGCGGTTTACAAAAAGGAAAACAATTTTGACCGAGGTAAGAGATTCTGACATTGTTTCTGGAAAATAGTTGTATTAAACTGAGTAGATGTAGTTTTAAATTGATGGAAAGCTACAGGTGGGAAGCAAAGGATTTTTCTTATATTTGCAAAATAAACATTGGTCGAATATGCATGAATCACAACAAAACTTTAAATGAAATTATAATGAGTAACAATAAGAAGCAATTACAGCATTTCCATTTTAAAGCCCCAGTATTTATCTTTAATCCCAAAAAATAGACAATGAAAAGAATGTAAACAACCACAGAACTAATGCAATCAAAGTGTGAGTTTATTAATTAGTAAATGTGCACATATACAAGGACAAAGTATCTATATGTAGTTCAAGGCTTCTCTTTCCGCTTCCTTATGTCTGATATATAAAACAATCTGGTTTGACCTTGCACATATAGTCCTTTGACACATTTATTGCTGAAAACTTGTTTCCCATCTCAGCTGACCTCACTACCAGCACAGAGCAACAGATAATAATATACTGTATTTGCGTCAAGAGTTTGAGGATTAATTAATATATGACTCTTATGGGTCTTTAATGTTAAAGATTTCAGGTTGTCAGATTTTTATAACAGTCACATGTAGTTTCACTTTGAATGTTTTCAGGGATAGAAGTTTACATTTGACACGCACACACACACAAGTGCCTTCAGAAAGTATTCAACCAATGTCACTTATTTGTTAATTGTTATTTTGTCACGTTAAAACCTCATTCCAATTTGGATTAAATTCTGAGGCACCTTTGGCAGCGATTACAACACCCAGTCTCCTTGGGTAGGATGCTACAAGCTTAGCACAGCAATATTTGGAGATTTTTTCCCTCCTCTTCTCTGCAGATCCTCTCAGGTCCTGTCAGCTATTTCCAGAAAAGTTCTCTGTTGGTGCCTCGCCAGTCAAATTGCAGAAATATCTCAATACAATCAGTGGAAAGAGGAGCATCTGAGCTCAGTAAAGTGTCCGAGCAAATATGGGATTACTCATGTGACATTTCAGTTTTGTAACTACTTTATAGAATAGTTACAGAGACATTTTGAGTTTTATTATGATTGTGTATAGTGAGTGGATTGTCAAGAAAAACACAGATCCATTCTTGAATTTGGCTGTAACTTTACAAGTGAAGGGGGCTGTACAATACTGTGAAGAGAACAGAGGGAAGAAGATTAAATGCTCAATTATAATGTTTTTGTCTTGCAGGTTCACTCCTTATGAGTGGTACAACCCACATCAGTGCAACCCATCCTCCACTTTGATCCAGAACAACTTCACTTTACTCAACAGCTTCTGGTTTGGCGTCGGCGCACTCATGAGACAAGGTACGGCCATAAAAGATACAAATACAACCATAAACCATTTTCTTATTCTCTATTTCAATATTTTTTCCCCTTTTTGTTGTATTATATCTGTGATTCATTCATATTACTCGGAGGCCACTTTGCTGCCTTTCCCTGGGGGTAGATTTGACAATAAACATTTGATTGAGGGGCCATCAATTTCAGCTGACTGGTGTCTTGTGTATTCTTTCCATTTTTATATAATAGTTGTTTTCACACATATTGATTTTACCTGGGAGAGGAAAATGTAAAAATAGCTGCCGTGCTTTTAATTCTCGAGATGCAGTTAAACCCTAAAGATTATTCCCACTTGAGGCACGGAGGCGTGGAGTTCTCTAATGTTTTGTCTAATTTAGTCCTGATTGATTAATTTAACTAATGAAATATGTATTAAATCATTTAGTTATAAATGTATCAGTTCAGGACCAAATTCCAATGACTTTATTTATGTTAGTTCTTTCAGTAATATCGATACAGAAGCTCATCACCCTCTTCTCATCCAGTTCAACAAGTGACATAGTTTAGTAGTAAAAGTCATTCTTTCTCCTTCTGAACGCATCAACTTTCTTGAGGAAATAAAACTATTGTAAAATCTGTGCATATAATCTGTTGATATTTGAATGATAATTGAGTGTAAGTGTTTCTTATATGCTTCTATCAAATTGTATCGATCTTAAATACCGTATGTTATAATTGGTTGTAAGATCAACACTGTAAAAAGATATAGTGATTGAATGCAACCTTGTACTTTCACTCTCCTGGTTAATCCTTTAGGCACTTAAGAGTATTTTCAGAAATGTTTTGTGAGACAGACATTAGGTGGAGCCTTGAAACTTTATAAGAGATAGAAAATCTATAACATAAAAAAAGCTGTAATAAAAATGTAGGGAAATGACAGGATGCCAGGTTGCTGAATAGAAAATATAAAATAGATTCAGGAGCTCATAAAAATTCTGCTACTTTGCATGTGATTGTGTGACTGTGTGTGTGAGTGTATGTACTGTATGTGTGTGTGACTGCAGCTGTGGGGATGCATGAGTAAAGTGTGTCCATCATGTTTTGGTTTTTTGCTTTTGTTCCATGTGTTTATGTCCAGGGATAATGTTAAAAAACACAATACAAATAATGTTATACTGTTTATAAAAAAAGTAGTCCATAGTAAGTTATGTTTGATTACTTACTATAAATGTTATCGCAGGATCGGAGCTGATGCCCAAAGCCCTGTCCACTCGGATCGTTGGTGGGATCTGGTGGTTCTTCACACTGATCATCATATCGTCCTACACTGCAAACTTAGCCGCGTTCCTCACTGTGGAGAGGATGGACGCTCCCATCGACTCTGCGGACGACCTCGCCAAACAGACACGGATAGAGTACGGAGCAGTGCGAGACGGATCCACCATGACCTTCTTTAAGGTAAACTACAGCCATTGTTTGAGTTTATTATGACATTTCTGATTGTGGCTTAGTGAGACTGTATGTGGGGATGGACAGTGGTAACATGGCTGGCATTTTGCTCCGAATTGCTTTGGCTTCCATTCACTCTGTATCTGTTAATGTCACTCTCATCATTCTCGGCTTAAAAATGTGTGATTCAATGCTTTACATCAAGGCTATCCAACTTAATTTTCTCAATGATCATTCAAGGAAACATTATCTCGGCTGGATAATTAGTCATCACAACACTTTGCAACACCATTTGATCGGATTTTTCAGTGTGCTTTTTCGGTGAATAACTAACATTTTGAAGAGAGCTCTGCCTAGCATGAGTCTGGACCAGAATTGGACCAGACTCAAAACAAAATTAAACCAGGTCAAAAGGGCTAAATGGGTAAGAATAAAAATAAATATGTATTTTTTACATTTGAAAATGGGAAATGGGTCAGATTTAATTGTTTGGAGAGCCTGATTTAAATTGTCCTGCTTATATAAGATAAGATAAGATGTGCTTTATTTATCTCACATAGGAGAAATGTACATGTCACATTTGGCATGGATAGAGACACTCAGATTGTGCAAAAGGAGGAAATGTGCAAACATGTAACATGCAGGATATATGTACAATAAAGTGACAATAATTATGTGCAACAAAAGTGACAAGTGTCAATTGGAAACAGTGTCAATAGTAGTGCAGGTTTTCACACAGTGATCATTTAAAGTGACTTATTGTACAGTCTGACAGCAGTGGGGATAAAGGCCCTGCGGTAGCGCTCCTTCCTACACTGAGGGTGCCTCAGTCTTCCACTGAAGGAGCTCCTCAGCTCCTCTACAGTCCTGTGCAGTGGGTGGGAGGTGTTGTTCATGATGGAGGTGGCTTTGGCTAGCACCCTCCTGTCCCTCACCTCCTCCACAGAGTCCAGGGAGCAGCCCAGAGTGGAGCTGGCCCTCCTGACCAGCTTGTTCAGTCTGTTTCAGTCTGTTCAGTCCCGCTCTGTGCTGCCCGGGGCCCAGCACACGGCAGCGTAGTAAATGGCAGAAGCTACCACAGAGTCATAAAAAGTCCTGAGCAGAGGCCTGCTCACTCCGAAGGACCTCAGCCTCCTCAGAAGGAAGAGGCGACTTTGGCCCTTCTTGTGCAGGGCGTTTGTATTATGGGACCAGTCCAGTTTATTGTTAATGTGAACACCCAGGTACTTGAAGCTGTCCACCAGCTCAATGTCCTCCCCCTGGATGTTCAGCAGCGTGTGGGAAAGTGGTTTTCTCCTGAAGTCGATGACCATCTCCTTGGTCTTACTGGTGTTCAAGCACAAGTGGTTGCGCTCACACCAGTCGACAAAGTCCTTGATAACCGACCGATATTCCAGTTCGTTCCCTTCAGACACACAGCCCACGATGGCGGAGTTGTCGGAGAACTTCTGCAGGTGACAGCTGTGTGTGTCGTGTGTGAAGTCTGAGGTGTAGATGGTGAAGAGAAACGGTGAGAGGACAGTGCCCTGAGGGGCCCCAGTGTATATAGACAGACAATGCTAACCAACTAATTGATGCTTAATAAGTGCTCATGGATGAAGTTTTGCTCCAACTCACTTTGACCCCTCTTACTCTCTGACCGTTTGTGTCACACTCACTATTTAGGGATTTTCTTAATCCATGAATCAGCACTGTCCGCAATCCTGGTGCTTTCAGTTTGATATGGTCTTTGTAAATCCTTCTATGACCGTGAAGCATTTTGAGGTGCCTTGAGTATGAACTGTGCTGTACGAAATAAACTGGTCTTGCCTAATTACTGACCAATCAGGCGCATAATACTTGCACTTCCACCCTCGCGCCCCTCATTTGCGCGTTCCCGATGATGGGTGCGAGTGCGTAGGGTGTCCCAATTCTCCAGGGAGGTCTAAGCGGACTCTGGCGAAGGATATTGCCCATAATTCTTTGCGGGAAAATGCATTTAAGTGTACATTTTGAAATATATATGCTGTATGTGTGTAGTTTTGCTATGTTACTAACTTTTTTAATGCAAGCCTTCATATAACATTCAATTTAAACTATACACTTAGTACAATAAACTTAGGATGTATAAAAACTGACCAGATAACAGTTAGTTACCCACATTTAACTTAAAATTATGCTATCTCAAATTACGAATACCCAACATACATTAAATTTAACGTGTGTGGAGCAACATTAGAGGATTAGAGGAGCTTTCTGGGCTGTTACCAGACAGTATAAGAGTTACACCAGCTGCATATGCGGACGACACTTTACTAACTGTCACTAGTGCATATCCAGCCCTCGCGGCTGCAGGTTTGAACTGTGCATTGGCTGCTGCAAGCAGTTGGGCCAACACCTGGGGTATGAAATTCAACCCTTCAAAAACTGTATGCTTGTGCTTTGCTAAAGCGCCAGTTGATAAACAAATAGATGGTCAAGTCATGTTTGAGGGCCACAACATCTCCTTCTCAAGTGAGACAAAGCACTTGGGGATAACAATCAGCAGTGATTTGAAATTGAAGCGATATGTTGAGGACTTGTGTAAAGGGGCTAGAAAGGAAATGTTTGTGTTGAGGCTCTTAAAATCAAAGCTACCACCACAAAGTAAAGAAATCCTGCTTCGGATCTATAAAGCATACATTAGATCCCGACTAGAGTACTGCTCAGTGCTGATCTGTGGCATAGGAAAGACTCTGATAAACTGTTTAGAAAGCATCCAACGAAGATGCATGCGCATTATTCTAAATCTGCCGTATCGTGCCCAGTTGACAGCAGAGCATTATAGAGCACTCGGACTAACAACCTTGCAAACAAGGCGGAACTTTGCTCTTGCATGTTTTGGTTTTAAACTGTTCCATGGACTCTCGCCTGCGGCGCTGGGACCATACCGACCCACACAAAGAGTCCTGCCATACCATGTGCGCTGGGTCAGCTGTGCTTTTCCGGACGGGACACTGCCCAGCGCCCATATCATGCAGAGATCGTGTCTCACTCTGGCCACCAGAATGTGGAACATGCTGGACTCTGACTGTGTCTCTAGTGAAACTTTGGGGGAATTCAAGGAGCACCTCAGGGTGAGGCTCAGGGATGAACTGTTTGAAAACTTTCCTCATAATTAGACTCTGGGGTGGGAGGGGGCATTTAATTCCAACGGTCATGTGACCATGGAAATGTAACGGGTTTCTTTTCAATTCAATCTTTGTAAGGTTTTAATGTGTTGTAAATGTATTAAAGATAAAAAAAAAAAAAAAAAAAAAAATCATTTTGTTTCCCACAGGGTCAGACGAAATGACCTTTAATTTTTATAAAGTTTAGGTCTGAAAATGACCATCTCTTGACGAGTCGCTGGCGTAACCTGCACTCAGTGTGCACTGTCCCAATTCCGCCTTTTTTGCACGCTTTAACCTGCGCACTCAAACCCTTGCGTGCACTTCAAACAAATGCACACTTCGTAGAGGAATGTAGGGTGTAGTGTGGGTATTGGGATTGGGCCTAAAGGTACCCTGTGCTCCTCTCCCTTTGTTGCTGGTCCATTGTATTGTCTCTGTCTGTCTTTGTTCCTGGTTCCTGTGTTCTGTTGGTTTTTTGGAGTTTGTATTTCACCTGGGACTTTTGTTTTATCATTATTATTAAACCATTATTATTTGGCATTCCTACATTTTGGGTCTTCATTCATCTCACCTCGTGACACCAATGGCTCGGTGTGTCTTTTATCGTTGCATTTCGTGTGTTTGAACTGTTTAATTCTCTGATCTGTGTTCGCAAATTCAACAGTTTTATTAAGTCGTCTGGGATGTCTTCTGTTATGATTTAGGGCTATACAAGAATACATTTCTTTACTGTACCAAAGAAAGAAGTGCCACAACTAAAGAGATAATGTCAGTCATTGCGTGTTTGTTGTAATAACATAGTAAATAAAACCAAAACATACCTAGTCATTCATACAAGAACACGCAGTCTAAATTGCGTAGTTCCTCTTTTATTTAACTTTCAATTACAGCAGTGAGTCAAACGATTTCCTTAATGCGTGTGATCACTTAAGTAGCTGAGCAAGTGTTTTTGCCCTATCATCAAAGAGTACACAGCCATTTAGGCATCCTCAAAAGAAATGTTGACAGAGCAGGAGAGTTTGAGGAAGTGGTTGAATCTGCTGGAGTGTGTTTTGCTGCGAGCTGAAGCAGAGCCCTATTCACCCTGCTACCGTGTTATATAATGCATGAGTTCTGTGCTGTCCTTGGGCCGTCACTTCCTCCCGCTCACGTCTCTCCTTTTTCCCCACACTGGCTTCCTCTCAGCTCAGCGGGGGTGATCCATGCGCCCTCCTGATCCTCGCAGATTGCAGACTGAGTGATTACCGCCGCCGCTGCCCCAAACGCCAAGACGCGCTTTATGTGTGTGAGGACGACTCGAACAAATTGAATCAGCTGGAGGAGATTTAGTGCACAGCTGTCCCATTTTATTCTGACTGCGCAAAAATAACACTGACACTTAAACTCAACCCCAACTACTCCCAAGGTGCTGGCAAATCCGACGCCCCTGTGAACCTCGAAGCAAACACCGTTTCATACAGATAAAAAGTTTACTAATACTATGTTTACTGAGCGCAAGCCTCATTGTTCATGTGAATATACAAATACAATATCAAAATACAATGCAGTATTTATGTAATTGTTTTTGCGTGTCTAGTCCATTGGAATATCATGAAAATAAGTGATTTCATTTTGGTAATACAACCTAAATGTGAAATATGAAAAAAGGTGATATGGACTCGTGACATGCATAGTGACATATGCTTTTGCTTGTTAGAACTGTTATTATTATGGCTCACATCTTGTAAAAACCCCAAATTCAGATTCAGATATGTTAAAAGAGGCCATTAAAAAGTGCACGGGGGACTTTTAGAAGGAGTAAGCTGAGGCTGTAGCTCTGTGGTTCAAAGATCTATTTTCTGATGAGAGCAAATATTACATCTCCTATTCAATTACATATGACATTTAGAAACCAAGAACCAAAAGTCAGGAGGAAGAATGGAGAAGCACACAATCCAAAATTCAGAGTGAAGTTTCCACAGTGTATGATGATTTTGGGCAATATCTTCTGCTGGTGCTGGTCCTCTCTGCTCTATTAAGTCGAGTTGAGCACAACTGTCTACTTCAGGCTTAATTCCTTCAGTATATAAGCTTTATGAAGATGCTGAATTCATTTTCCGGCAACTTGGCACCTGCCACACAGCAAAAAGTAACGTGCTTGATGGACCAGCAAACTCGCCTGACCTGAACTCCATTGAGAATTCATGAAGCAATGCCAAAAGAGATATGATAGATAAGGTTTCATTTTGCTTTGAGTTAAAATGCTTTTTGTAATTCTTTTGAAAGACAAGTGGGATGTATTACCTTGTATTTTGGCTGCAGAGCTGCGAGCCATCTTCAGAACATGGGACAGTGACACCCTCCTCCAGAGACCACAGGCGAGAGGGGGTGTGGTCAGTCTGAGCGACCTGCCAGGCCAATTAGACTGACCACGCCTACTCAGGAAGTAACATGAATAAAGTATCATTTATCAGCTGATAAATAAATGCGGGTAACAGTTCTAAAGATGTCTCGCAGCTCTGCAGCGCTGTTAACAAGGTAATACATCTAACTTGTCTTTCAAAAGAATCACAATAAGCGAGATATAAGAGACATGAGACCAAACAATGCTACAGGCTGAGAGCATCCACGCCATGCCATATTAAGACTTTATTAATAGCCAGATTAATAGTAAGCAAAAAAGGCCCACACTATGTATTAAGTGCGTATGCATGATCCACATCTCTCTGTTAAAAAACATTTTTTATTTTGTTGTAATATTCTGGCCATCTTTTGAATGTGTTTTTTGCACATGTCATGAGTCTATATCATATATTAGTTTAACTTTTTCACAATTTTCTGATTATCTGGAAGAAAGTGATTCTGGATCGGACCTACTGTTTTGCCCTTATCAATATGCAGCACTATTATTATATACTAGTATTCTGGCCAGCAATGATGAATAAGCCTTCATTAATTAGCCCAACTCTCAATGTTTATCTTGCTGTTTACCAAGCAGGCAAAAACACAGCTCTGCTTTGGTTAGAATTAGGTTGAATCTCTGATCTTAAAGGCAATTAGAGGAAAGCAGATTTCTCATTTGTGATTCTTTTACAAACTTTGTACTCAGACAAACTTTGAAGATGGTATGTGAGATGCATTGGAAATCATTATAGATTATACTTTCTTATAAAACTCTTCACAGACAGAATGGTACGTTTGATTCCTGAATAACTAGGTTTTGTTCTGAGATAGCGTGCATGCGAACATAATTCACATTGGGATAATCCCTCAACAAATCCATGGCCAAGACCTGAAAATAACCCCAGTTCAGTTGCTCCTGCCTTGTGTGGGCGTAGAACAGAGAAAGGATCAAATCGATAACATTTCCTGAAAGAAATTTGCCTCAAAGATATTCAAAGTACAGCTGCGTTCATGCCATTTACCTGACATGAATTTCAAACCATCCATCCATCCATCCTCTACCCTTTAATCCATTTCTGGGTCAGGGGGGTGGCAATCAGAGATGCCACCCAAGTCTCATAGCACCAGCCCCTCACTGACCCTCTGCAGGTGGTGAGTCCACAGGAGGACGGCTGCTCTCTGAGTGTGAGCATAGCCTTGATCTTTCAGTGGGCAAAGTGGGGTTAAGTGTCTTGCCCAAGGACACAACGACAGCAGTCATCAGTGGGAGTTGGTGGAGAAGGTGTAGAGGTGGGAATTGAACCCACGACCTTCAGGCCTGAAGGCCAATGCTCTGCCAACTGAGCTACTGTCGCCCCTAAAAATTTCAAACCAGAAGCAGCTAATTACAAAATGGCCTGGTCCTCATTGGGGAATAGCAAAACTGGTTTAACAACATCCCAGTGTGATGTCGCTTCACAGCCCTGGACAAATGCATGATGGGAGAAGCCTACATATGTACAGTATGTAACTTTGACTGAGAGTGAGTGGGTGAGTGAGTGAGTGAGAGAGAGAGAGAGAAGACAAAAAATACAATATACACTTATATTGTATGTTTTGTGTGCTCCTACTACTGTCCTACTACTGTGCACTGCAACATTGAAATTTCCCCACTGTGGGACTGTTCTTATCCTAAGAGTTAAGGTTAACTTATCTCAGAACAGTGCATAATATATGTATGCTCTGCGTGCTGTGCTCTCCTCTTTACCCTCCATGTTACAGCATGGAAGCCTACGCCACTTCATGTTGCATTAGTCACAACAAAATCTCATGTTTTATATTTTTGTTTTACTTTCAACCTCATTCTCCGGTGGCAAACCTCAACTCCCTGAGATGTCCTTGTTTTTGATTTTTGCTAGAAATCTAAAATCTCCACTTATGAGAAGATGTGGGCGTTCATGAGCAGCAGGAAGAACACGGCGTTGGTGAAGAACAACAAAGAAGGCATCACCCGAGTCCTCACCACGGACTACGCCATGCTGATGGAATCCACCAGCATCGAGTACATTAGCCAGAGAAACTGCAACCTGACGCAGATCGGGGGCCTCATCGACTCCAAGGGCTACGGTGTGGGCACGCCGATAGGTAAGAGGATTAGCACAAGATTATATGTTGGTATTAACATGTACGTATATAGGGCTTTAAGTAACACAACAGATGACCGCGAGCCATGGTTTGCTTTTAATATAGCGTATGGACAGTTTATGTAGGTCTCAAGTCAGTGAAAGCCACAATATCACCTAAAAATACCCGTTTAGTTGACGTTCTGTAATCACTATAACCACCAGTAGGCTTTGAGTATACAGTATATTTAAATGTAATTCTTGTTATTGTTTTTGCATCTGTAATAAAACATTACAAGTGCAGTGTGTTTTGTGGTAAAAATAACACTCTCATTCAAGTTAGTAAGTAAGTAATATTTATTTATATAGCGCCTTGCACAGTCACAAAGCGCTTTACAATTGTTCTGGGCAGTCTCTCACTCCACAGAGAGAAGGGAGTGAGTTTGCCAGTACAGGAGGCGCATCCCAGACCTATTGTGCCTGTTTTTAGTGGTAGGGGAAACCGGAGCACCCGGAGTAAATGCAGACACGGGGAGAACATGCAAATTCAGAAAAACCCTCTTCCGACCGGGATTCGACCCCAGGACCTCCTTTCTGAGAAGCAAGAGTGCTATCCACTCAGCCACTGTGCCGCCCAAACAGACAAATCACAATATTTCAAATTATACCCCGTCTTTTTGCACCTGGGTTGATAAATGAGCTTTTTTCCTTTTCCCTCTCAGTTTGAAGCACCTTTTTGAGCAAATAGTCTCAGTTCAGTTTATGTAGCAAAAAATAATAATGTCTTCATGAGTCTAATGAGTCATTTCTAACAGCTGCAAGGTGGTTTGAAACTGACCTTGTTTTAGCCTTATAATGTTAGCTATATTCATCCCAAAAATGTGCCTGCATAGAATTAATAACACCAGATGTTCACACAATAAATTGGTATAAAAAATAAAAAAACTTGTTCGACACATTGAGCCATTGAGGTGTGAATTTCAGAGTGCTTGAACGAAAATGATGATAATATATTTTTGAGTTTCAGTGGAGAAAAGTGTTGCGTGACAATTTCCAAACACAACACACGCAGCAGCTCTGTTTACGCAAATCATACGTTGCACCGTGATGCAATTCTGTGCATATTGAGCTCTATTTGTCTCTAAAATAATAGATAGATAGATAGATATTATTTATTTCAAAACCTGCACAAACATCATCATCTCAAAAATCAACATAACAGACAAATATACAGGTGCATGGTTTGAAAAGGAGGTGGATGAAGCAATTGCTTATTGAATTCCAACCCCCTCACACATTCAACACAAAGTACAGTACAAGAACCTTATACATACAGGATCATTCGTAAACAGCTGGAAACTTATACCGTACATAGAATGAACTAATACATGACATGACTACAGAGACAGGACAAAACAAGACAACACACACACACACAACACACCACAGATACACACAACACCTCACAGACACAGGCCCAAACACTCTCTGACCCTACACCCTCACCCCTTTACTTCATGTTGAGGGCATCACTCTCCTTCCTCTTTATATTTTTTTAAAACATTTTTTTTAAACAACTGTTTGAAATGAATTATGCTTGAGCAGTTTTTTAATTCATTCGGCAAGTTATTCCAAAGTTTCACTCCCCGCACTGAGATACACATTGACTTTAGAGTAGTTCTAAATTTAGGTAGATATTTAATTTGGTTTCCTCTAAGTTTGTAACTATGACAATCGTGTCTATCGTGGAATAAGTTTTGAACTTTAGGAGGCAGAGAGTTTTGAGATGCCCTGAACATAGTTTGAGCAGTTTTAAAGTTGATCACATCCAGCAGTTTGAGTTCTTCCAACTCTACAAACAGTGGATTAGAATGATGTCTGTAGTGTACACCAGAGACAATCCTAATGGCCTTTTTCTGTAGGGTAATCAAAGGCTTTAGATGGGATGCATAGCAATTTCCCCAAACTTCAAACAATAATATAGATGTGACATTATGAATGAATGATACAGTAGGAGTCGAGCTTTGGTGTACAGTAAATTACATGTTTTGTTCATCATTCCGACACATTTGGCAACTTTTGTTCTCAGGTAACAAATGTGTGGTTTCCAGGAGATTTTTTCATCAATGATGACACCCAGGAATGTGTTTTGTTGGACTTGCTCTATTGGTGTGTCATCAATAACAATTCTAATAGGTATATTATGTTTACGATTACTAAAGAGCATGATTTTTGTCTTTTTCAGGTTCAGTGACAGTTTGTTAATATTAAACCAGTGTTTTAACTTATTCATTTCCACTGTTACCGAGGCCAAAAGTTGCTCAAGGTTTTCATCTGCATAAATAATGTTGGTATCATCAGCAAAGAGGATGAATTTCATTTTGGTAGACACTTTACATATTTCATTAATATACATCAGGAATAGTGTAGGTCCAAGTATGGACCCTTGCGGTACTCCACAAGTTATGTCCAGAAAGCCTGACTTATATTGATCAATCTCAACAATCTGTCTCCTCTCGCATAGATAGCTCACCAACCATTTATTTGCTACTCCCCTTATGCCATAGTCCTCCATCTTTTTTATTAGAATCTGATGATCTATGGTATCAAAGGCTTTTTGAAGATCTATAAAGATTCCGACAACAAATTTATTTTTTTCAATACCATTTGTAATTTGTTCTAGTAAGTCAATCAATGCATGTGAAGTACACCTGTTTCCCCTGAAACCATACTGACAATCAGAAAATAGTTTATGCTTTTCGATGAAGCTCCGGAGTCTTTTGTCATATAGTTTTTCTAAAATTTTTGAAAACTGTGACAGAAGGGAAATAGGCCGATAGTTATTGAAATGATGTTTGTCCCCAGATTTGAAGATAGGTATGACTCTAGTGATCTTCATTTGCAATGGAAAACAACCAAGTTGGAAGGATAAGTTACAGATATATGTGAATGGATGTATGATCTCTTCTGCAACATTTCGAACAGTCCTCATGTCGATGTTATTTATATCTTGAGATGTCTTGTTTTTGCAGTTCCTGATGACTTTCATGACTTCTCTCTCATCGGTTGGAGTGAGAAACATACAGTTAGGGTTTGTCTCGATTAGTCCCTTAATTTGTCCGTCGGTAGATGGTATTTTTTGCGCCAGTTCAGGACCAATGTTCACAAAGAAATTGTTGAATTTGTCTGCAATCGTCGTTTTGTCACGTATTATTGTGTCATTGTCCACAAAGTACCCTGGATAACATGAGCTGCTGGGATCACGACCAATAACGGTATTCAAGACTTTCCATATTCCTCTAGTATCATTTCTTTTATTAATCAATAAATCGGTATAATATTCTCTTTTACTTGCTCTTAGTATGCTGGTTAATTTGTTTTTATATTTTTTATATTTTTGTTCAGTTTCACTGGTTCTGTACCTAAGGAATTGCCTATATAGAACATTTTTCTTTTTGCAAGAGTTTGAAAGCCCTTTAGTTATCCAGGGTGTGTTTGTGTGTTTTCTGACAGTAGATTTTTTGATGGGACAGTGTTTATTATAGAGCGTAAGGAATGTATCAAGAAAGGTATTGAAAGCTGCATTTACGTCAGTTAGTTGATAAATGGGTTCCCAGTTTTGGGTCGCCAATTCATTCTTTAGTGCGGTAATTGATTGATCAGTTATGACTCTACAATAATATTCACTTTGAACAGATTTAGATAATTTACAGTTAAGATCGTATACCATGAACACTGGTAAGTGGTCACTGATATCGTTCACTAACAAACCACCAATTACATTATTGTCTAAAAGATTACAGAATATGTTGTCTATGAGTGTGGTGCTATATGATGTAATTCTGGTGGGTCTGGTGATGAGTGGGTACAAACCCAGGGAAAACATGGTGTCAATAAACTCTTCTGTACTTTTATGTTTTTGGGGATTTAATAGGTTAATATTAAAATCTCCACATATAATATATTTTTTGTTATTATTAGTAAATACTTTTTCTGTCCATTCCCTAAATTTTTTTAGGTCAGATCCTGGTGTCCTGTAAATGCAGCTTACAATAATATTTTTCTTTTTAGGAAGTGCTAATTCTACAGTCACACATTCGAGTAGATCGTCTACTACTAAACACATGCTGTCCACAATACTACAATGAATATTTGTATCAATATAGAGAGCCACACCTCCCCCTCTCTTATTTTGGCGATTTGTGCAGAACATTTCATAACCTTTTAGATAAAACTTGTCACATTCATCATCATTCAACCATGTTTCTGAAATAGCTATGATACTAAATTTAGACTTGAGTTGATTTAAGTAGTCTTGGATGGCTTCAAAATTGCAACGTAAACTCCTACTATTAAAATGAATTAGAGATATGTTTTTTTCTTGAGTAAATGTTTTGTCGTAGGTGCTGTCAGTATAATATAAACAGTCATTTTTAAGGATATTGCTGTCTGGATCAATTGAGTGCATGAATGATTGAAATTTACAGTCAATATGGTCAGATAAATTATTAATTGTTTCTAGATTGTAAGCATTAGTACATAGATCATCCTCGACTTCAGAGGAGCTATCATCACTATCAGGATTATACATCTGTTATTATGTCAGAAACATGGTCAGAGGGAGAGGGCGTATGATTATCACAGAATGAGGACCCCAGACACACAACAGACACAGGCACACAGCAACATGAACATTTAAGTGAGCACATACAATCTCCCTCAAAATACACACACACACACACACTCACACAATGCAGGCAATCAAATAGAAAAAAAGGTAAAAGGAAACAGAGATAGGATGCCTAAGGCACTGACTTATAATAAGTATTTTTAATTATTAATATTTTATTGCTGCTTTCTTAGAGTTAAGACTGAAGCACTGGGAGAAAAAAAAAAGACCGAAACACCAAAAATTTAACATATTTGAAGTAACTAGACTTGTGTGACCTAGTAGTATTGTACCAAAAAAAAGACGTATAACGTCTTTTCGACCCATTTTGCGACAGTTCACCACCGTGGAGGCTTTTTACGTGCGTTACTTTACGGCAAACACAAACTTGCTACGCTCACTTTCACGGCCAGCCACTACATCGTCCCCAAGAACAAGAAAAATGAGGGAGAAAAAGCGAACAAAAAAGACAACATGGCGTAGCTTGGACTTTAAGTTAAACAACAGTCCTCGGCTGGTACGTGTTCGCCTTATGCTTACTTACGTCCCCTCCGGGAGGTCGCGATAGAACTTCTCAGCCTCTTTGGGACAGTGGAAAAGTTGCGGTTTCCCTTCCGCGATTACCCTCAGCATGCTGGGATACTGCAAAGAGTATTTTTATACCAGCAGCACGGAGCTTTTTCTTTACCGGGTCAAACTCTTTGCGTTTTTTCACAAGACTAGGACTGAAATCCGGATAGATGTGGACCGTGGATTCCCCCATCTTCAGAGTCCCCTTCTCCCGGGACAGCCTCAAGATCTTCACCTTGTCCTGGAAGTTTAAGAATTTTACCAGGATTGGTCTTGGAGGTCCGCCAGACCTAGGCGACCGGACAAATGTAGGACTCCGATGCGCTCTCTCTACGACAGGCTCCATGGGGAAATGTTCCTTCCCGAAGAGTGTGGTAATCAACTTTCCGATGAAAGCGATCATGTCTCCCCCTTCTTCCTTCTCCGGTACGTTGATAAAGCGTAGATTGGATCTCCTACTCCGGTTCTCGAGGTCCTCCACCTTGTCCTTCAGGTAAGAATTGTCTTTTTCCAGAGCGCACACCCGCTCCTCCAGGTTACCAATTGTGTCCTCATTTGTGCTCACTCGTTGCTGCAACTCATTGATTTCGCCAGTAAGAGAGCCCAATGTCTGTTGAATGTCCATTAGGCCTGCTTGTACAGACCCAATTTGAATGTCCAGGTGGGCCTTTACCTCAGTTGTGATTTGTTCTTTCATTTGCTGCAACGCGTCCCAAATTGACTGGAGCGAGATCTCCGCCATGTCGCACTGCAAACCAAACTTAAAATAGTGTCTTTGATACTGCTTCGATTGCAGCCAAATGATCAGATATTAGGGGTAAAGGTTTGCTCAATCACTCATGCAAGTAGCTGGTGGTGTCCCAATAGTGTATCAGCAATTCTTAATGAAATAGTCAGGCGCCTACATCAGGCGTTCACGCAACTGCGGCCATCTTGCCTCGCTGCGGCTGGAGCTGGTGAGAGAGAGGAGATAATAAATAGCGTTCACAGATGTACTTTGCATCCAGACAGAGCAATGATATGTGTTTCCCTTAGACGCTTAGGCTATATCCACACGAAGACAAAACGCTTATAATTTCAGAAACTTTTTCTGTAAACACGGAGTTAGCTCAGTAAATGTGTGCGTCCATATGAATGTAGTCAATACGCCTGAAAACGCTGTGAAACTATGCCAGACCTGTTGGTGGCGCTGTGACGCAATGACGGGATCAAGCCCAAACTTCCGTGGGCATGCGAGGAATTTTGTAAACAGACAACATGGCGAGTGGGCGAGCTGGTACTACATTAGTATGAACGGACAATGAGGTTGAACTGTTGCTTCGGGTCACACTGGATTACAAAACCAACAAGCTACATTGTTGTTGTCATTATTTTCTGAGTGCGGCGCATGCGTGCTTTAACAAGAGGCGGGGCGATGACGCAAGCGTCTCAGATACATTGCGGAGAGGCAGTAACCACGGAGCGGCATATACGGAGTTTTGAAATCTTTCCACTCTGGGACCTGGTTTCAAAAATGTTCGTTTACACCCCCCCAAAACGCCGGCCTCGTATGGACGATACACTGGATTGATAAAGTATTTTTGCGTTTAGGCCTGAGCTTGACTTCGTGTGGACAGGGCCTTAGATCGAGGGTTTCTATTCAGGACTGTACTGTGCGACCAACCCACAATACCACAATGAATCAGTTTTTATCATCATTTAAGAATAGTCAGTCACATTTTATGAATTTATTGTACCTACTGCGTAAATTATGCCCATTTCACTTTGTTTCCGTAATAGTATGACCAGCGTTATTTTGAAAACTGCTTGTGGAGATTGGTTTGTGGTTTCCTACTGTTTTTTCATTAGCTCAGTTGTTATAACAGCCATTGTGAGAATTGTAAAAAACAAAACAATTTGTACTACAGGGAAAATAAAGTCCAGTTTATCTTGCATATATAAAACATGTTGAGGTTTATTCAACTTTTCATTTCTGTCATTTTGCCCTCACATTATTGTTCAGTGTCATATCATGTACTTGCTTGTTATTTCATGGCCATGAATCAATTGTGAAGAAGGCCTAGTGCAGAAATGCGTCTGCTTCTCTCATCCAAGTTTCAATAAAGTACTTTTCTATCACTCGGTAATGAGAGCTTCAGACCTCTATTTTTGACAGCACTACTTATCTTTTCCAATGTTATATGGCCTAGTCCTTGAAGAGCATTGTACCTTTTTTTCCATGTCTCTTTGAAGATCATATTTCTGGATCCCCTGGTGCACTCACTTGCACCTTGGAAGTCCACAATATAACCTTATTTTGGGTCTCAGGGTCACCGTACCGCGACAAAGTGACCATCGCCATCCTCCAGCTGCAGGAGGAGGGGAAGCTGCACATGATGAAGGAAAAGTGGTGGAGAGGAAATGGCTGTCCCGAAGAAGACAACAAAGAGGCCAACGCTCTCGGCGTGGAGAACATCGGGGGCATATTCATCGTGCTGGCGGCTGGGCTCGTCCTGTCTGTGTTTGTGGCCATCGGAGAGTTTATCTACAAGGCCCGCAGGAACGCAGACATAGAGGAGGTCAGTGACAAGGGGAAGGGCTTAATTCATAGGAGAAATATATGGGGATTTTTATTATAACGATAAAATGTACATGAAATTATGAAAGCGTTTTGACTAGAAACCCTCCCCGGCATAACCATTATTTGTGGAGGTGGTTTGCATCATCAAGGGAGGGGATTGTCTATCAATCATGGAGGTGACATATTTTTGTTCATTCAGGTGTTTGCATTCAACAATTATCTCTTTAAAAAAAAAAGTTTAATCACACTTGAAAGAACAAAAAGACAATTGGTTGAATATAACCTTTATGTTATATGTTATTCCAACACCCTTGTTATATGTTTAATTCAAGGCATTGATTACACAAATACTATATTTTTTATTGTTTATGCATTTAGATTCAATAATTTATTTGCCATTTGCAGTAAAACCACATTGGAAAAACTGTGCAAGACTACCCCAGTGTGCACCAGATGGTACACACCAGAGCCCCTGCCACGGCGCCATATTTCCGGTGCCATGCAAATTGAAAGTTATTATAACATTATAGAAGAGAATTGAATTAATAACTCAATTTGACCTATTTGTATTTTAGCATAGTTTTAGTGATTCAAGAATGTCTTTTGGTTACTTTCAGTCTCTTTCAGTATAGGTTAATATCAGGTTTTGGAAAATACTTCTATCATAATTGGTATTGACAATTATGATTTTGGTCTAAGTAAGTAATCTTTATTTATATAGTGCCTTTCACAGACCAAAGTCACAAATCTGTTTTGCATGTTTTAGTGGTCTTAGTAGTCATTACAAAACAACTACTACATTTGTTTTCATGTTTTCATACCATGAATATGTTTGTAAATTGCATGTCCCAAAATTCTAGTAACTCAGAGCATGTTTATTTTTGCATTAGTGCCTTGGCTTCATCTAATTATTGAATGTGTATTTTTGTTTCTTTTCTTCCCCTCCACCCTCTTGCATGCTGCGTTAGGCGTTTTGTTTCTTTTACGGGGTGCAGTCCCGTCAGTTCCAGCGCCGTGGCTCCACTTCATCGTCGGGCACCTCTCTGTCCACAGACCTGGAGAGTGGGCGGCTGCTCGGAGACGACACTGACTAACTCTATCACATTCAGACCATTCACGACTATAGGTCTGTAAAATAGAGCCGTTGGTCCCTTTCCTTTTGTTTTGTGCACCAAGCATCCTTCACCCGTGTGGACCCTGGCATTACCCAAAATGTGTATTTTCCAAACAGAATTCCTTTCTCACGGCTATAAATACTGCTCCTATCCTCCTCCTCTACAAACCCTGGTAATATTACAAAACTACTACTATTACCATGACTACTACTACTACTACTATTACTACTACCACTACTACTATTCTTCCTTCTTCACCTCCTCCTATTACTACCACTCCTAGACATTATATAGGGATGGACATTGCTAACACGCTAGCTTGGTGAAACCCAACAGCCCAATCAAGCCCAATTTTTGCTCCAAATTCACTAACTTTGGCTCCATTTAATAACTATGAAAAGTAAACTCCTCCAGCCGTAAGTAACCATGTGTGTCACACTCACCATTTTGACCGAGGTTTACTGCTCTATGTGTTTATATTTGGATCATATCTTTGTCATGCAGTGCCATTTGCGTACTGTATGAATAACTAGATTACTACATTTTTCTATTATGAAAGCTGCTTGCTTTTTTAATCGTAAAATGTGATACATTTTCATATTTGATATGTGAAAATATGTCACTCTTATACAGTTTCCTTATTTGTATTTCAGCCTCTTTTCTTTCATTTTCAGTCAGTTACTAACAATACCTGGCACAGCGTTACGCTTAATTAACTGTTGTTTTCAGACACTCTGGAAACGCCTGCAGGGAAATCAAATGATAGGAAGTTGGTTGAGCGTGTTTCTCGTCTCATTAGCTGCTTTGGTACACAGACTTCGAGGAGAATTTGGATAAGAGTGATGGGCAACCTCCCAGGTGAAGGGCCCCCTGACACTAAGCCTTGTTTTCCATGTTTTCAGAAGTTTGAGCAAAGTTGCCACAAGCATAAAAAGTCCAGTTCAAAATTGAAAAAAATATGTATTTCTTGCTTTCCTGGTGCAGGATCTGTGATTCCTGTTATTGTTTTGTTAGAATGTAAATGTATATATCTACATTGCAGTCAAACAACATCACACTTGGCTTATCCAGGTCGCAGTGTAAATGAGAACAGACAAATCCACGAGTAAGTAAGTAGTAAGTAAGCTTTATTTATATACCGCCTTTCACAGACCAGAGTCACAAAGCGGTTTACAATTGTTATTTTTTTTTAAAAAGCTGTGTGACTTTATGCTTTTGTGGTCAAACATTTTATTAATATTTGAATAATCAATTATGCTATTTCTGACAATAATATGACAGCTCTCACCCTATCAGACATGTTTGGCTCAACCAGAAATAGTAAAATGGTCTGCTTTAGCGTTAATCCAAGACTTTCTTGTACCATTGTTTTTTTAACTTGACTTTAATTACTGTATGCATGCATGTAAACCGCAAACCGCTTTTTTATAATTGAAGTTGAGAATTTGTCATTTTGACTTAAATATGATATATAGGAGACAAACACAGTGACATTTGAGAAGAGATTTTTTTTCGTTTACAGAAAAAGTGCAAGAATTATTCAAACCAAATTAGGCAAGTGCATATTACGCACTTTTTTTCATAAAATACTCTTATGTATCTGTCCCTCATGCTATTGCACTACCATCTTAGTATACACAGCTAATTACAGATGTCACTGTAATAAAACAGTTGGACGATCCACTGTAGAGTAAAGGAGTAAAATGGAAACTTATAGAAGCAGTTTTCTTAAGTTTCCACTGCTACCTCATCTCACATCATCTCAGTTTTACTAATGTCGTCTTCAGTCTTGGCGCCCAACGTGGGAAACCCTGCATGACGCCACTTTAACTTCTGACATCATAAAACCCTCTTAGATCCAGACTAAGACATGAAAAGCCGCTGAAATACATCTAATTTGTCCGTGTGAAGAATCATAATGCACCAAATGAATTTCCTAAGCTCTGCCTTGAGGACAGGAGAAAGTAAATAGCAAATAAACCTTTCAGAAGATTAATGAGTTCAATAAAATCCACTGTTCTTTAGGATAATACCAGCCTGGGGCACACATCATCTTGGTTATAATTACCATTTTATGAATTCTTATCTGGCTCCAAGGCCTCTTTTTCTGTATTTAATTGGATTTTACGATGAGACAACAGTTCACAACACTGGTAGATGCATTGGAATAGTGCTTTGTTGACGGTTTTAGTTTTCAGCTGAGTCATGGAGCCAGTCCACACATAATCCACTGTTTTCTGGCCCAAAATTCAAGGTCTTTTTTGTGTCATTAGTTTTAGATTATTATCTTGAGAAATTGCAGTCTTTTCAAAGTGACACTAAGGTTTGAATATTTACCCAGCAATATAATTTACACAAACCTGAAATTATTCTTGTAGGGAAAATAAATACAGGTAGAACTACGACTACTATCACTTGAGGTTACCACCATTCATTACATTTTTTTAAAGAACTATTTACTACCTATAATCATTGGTAATTGAAATGCTGTTTCAGAGACATGCAAAAAAAAAACATTAAAAAGACTGAAAAGGTTTTTATGTAAAAACTTGAGGTGAAGAGCTCTGTGTGGTTGCAGATTTCCACACCAACCAAGCATCAGAATTCAGAAAAAACTAATTTCATCAAGTGGATTCTGATATTCCCATACTTGATTGGAATAAAAACCTGCAGCCAAACAGCCCTTTTCTGCAACGAGTTTGGCACCCCTTTCTTAATAGAATATCCGAACATTATAAAAAAGGGTCTGAGGTGCTCTGATTAGAATAAAAGTCCTTTATTAAAAGTGGGATGCCAACATGTTTCGACCTCTAAGAGTTCTTCAGGGCACACTATTATTAAAAAGCAGCAGGTCAGCAGGTTCATTAGTAAATAGAATAGGCCCAGGACTAGTAAATTATAAAAGCTTGGGTACATTTTGTTAACATCTCATTATGTTTTGTTTGTCCCAACAGAAAGAGTCTTGTGAAAGAAAACAATTCATATTTGCATACTTACAAAAGAACCCTGTGAGTTTCTATTTCATGCTTTGGGACGAGAGCAGAAAGAGTGAGTGAGGGTGGTCCTCTCTTTCACTTTTCTGTCTGAAAACGCTGATCTAAAAATGTAATAGAGGCCAAAGATACAAGTGAAAACTAGTGATAGAAGCAACTGTTGGTGGATTTGATTCCATAGTTACATTTGTACCCCAGCTTTAGCACTAGAACTCAATTTAAGTGTAATTACTCTGCCCGTGGACCTTTGTGGTCATCATATATTGTATTTTTTCTATATGTACTTAAATATTTTTCATTTTTTGAGTAGGTCTACCATTGAGTACAAGTCAAACGTAGCCATTACCAGTTGCTTTCTCTCGATAATAGTTAAATCCCTTTTATCAAGGGTTCTGGTGCTGGACTGGTCTTGGTTCTGTTTGGTTTTCTACCAGAGAAGGGTGAGTGCTGGTTACCATAGCAACACACTGTTTACAATTAGCATTTAGCTAGTCTTTAGCATTAGCCTTTCAACAAACTCTTTTTGCGGTTTTTCAAGTTTTACTCACTAGTTTTAACACTTAGTACAAGTAAGTAAAGGAAAAAATTATTTACTTTTCTTGAACTTGGTGAAAAACTTAACTGTTTTGGCTAATGTGTTTGAATGAGAGTAGCCAAAATGACGGCACTGTGAGTTATACTACTTTCATAATTGTGGAAGTCAAAGTAGAGATGAATATGATGATGGTAGACAATATATTCACATAGTAATTTGAGTTTTTACTTTCTGCTTTTGACAGTGCATGTCTGTGAGTGCTTTGATGGAGGAGCTGGGCCTCTCTCTCCAGTGTTACAAAGGAACCAGGCGGAGGTCCCGAGCCGGCAGCCTCCCCCCCTCCACCTGCACATTCTGCACAGCCACAGACGAAGCGGCTCGCGACTCCAGCATCTGAGGCTGAAACCGTGGCACGGAACGAACTATTGGCACTTTTATCCTGTCGTTGTGTTTGTCTGTCTCTTCTGCCGTATAAGTAAAACTGGTGATCATTCTCAACAAGGACACAATCCCATGTCGACATCTGCCTTTCCCACACGCTAAACGTCTCTCAACACTGCCATTGTGTAACTAAAGACATGGATTTTCAATAAAACATTTTTGCATTTTTCTAAACTCCTTGATATATTCTTATGTCTATATACACTGTTTTATAAGTCCTATTTTAAAGGTGTGGTATGCGATTTTGTTAGCTTAGCCGTAGCACCAACTCGAAACCACTCCCCCCCTCCCCTCGCCTCTCCACCAAACCAAACATCCAGCATTTTCTCCCTGTCACAGCAGGGAGAGAAATTGGCATTTTTTGTTCAGCCCTTTTAGGTTTAAGAAAATCCGATAACTCAGGTGAGTGCACTCGCAAGAAACAGGAAGAGGGTGAAGGGGGTAACCGCATCCCATTGGTCCATTGGGGATGAACGAATCCCATTGGTTTATATGTATCCGTCCACTCAAATATTTTCTATTATTAATTTTTGGAGACATCAGGCATCTGGTCAATTCAATTACTATTTGAAAACACATGATAGCTTGGCTACTTTTTGGGTTTAGGAACGTTTTCCCATGAATGCACAATAAAAAATCACCGACTTCATCTTTAATCGATTTACGAAAAAGTTTTGTACAGCACAATGCATATACAAAACACAAGGGAAGTTGCTAGTTTTTTTAGCATGCAGTGCATTTAAGGATAATAATAATAATACATTTTGTCCTGTAAGTCACTATTGGACGCTTTGAGTGAGGGTGAATGTATCTGCATGTATCCCAAAGGTGCACAAAATCGCAAAATCCCATCGTCCTCTTCTGACCTCTTTTAAAATCGTAATGACGGTAAAGTAAGGTAAGAATTTCTGCAGAACTATTTTTTTTCATTTAGATAACTGCCTCCTATTACGCACATCCTTCCTTTTGTCCTGCAGCTGTCTAAGTCTATAGTCCCAGTGACAAAAAGTCGCCGTCTTCAGAAGCAGCTCTAATCTTTGCAGCTCGTCTGGCTCAGAGCACGACAAGTTTGATACCACCCATTCATCTTTTCTGTCTTCATCCTGATTGAAGAGCGCAGACACAGCTTTAGCTCATATTAAAGATCCATTGTGTTACTTTTATGGCTTGTCTCTATGGAGATATAATTGCTTTATGTGAAAAGTGTAATGTTAAAACTTTTAGATTTGACCTAAGCCTCAATAGATCTAGAATCCAAAGTGGTGCCTTTCTCCATAGCTTATCTCCACTAAGATAGAGTTTAAAGCCAGATATTGGAACCTTTTTGTCATCACGGTAAAAAGAGAAACATGTTTACATTTGTGAATTTCCATATAATACAGTATAATGCTTTAAATTCAGGTTTGAGAAGCCTGTCATAAAGGGAGGCAGTGCTGTTTCTCTTCATGAATATTACATGCTGTTTTTCCCAACCGCAAGAGTCTTGTAAAAGTAATGTTGTGAACAAATACGACCATAATTTGGGCTGAAAGCTGATTGGCTGAGAGAGGGTGGTCCCCTTTTTACGTTTCTCTTGAACAAGCTGATCTATGCCAGAAGTCAAGATATACAGTACATGCCTGTGAAAACTAGTGATAGAATCAAACTTTTTTTAAAGCAAAAAACAAATTAGTTTCTTCTGGTTTGAAAGTAAGGTACCCCAGCTTTAATTAAGTATCTTTGACAACTAGGATGTGAGCACACAAAGGAAGGGCATTCAATCAAACCCACAATGTTGCAAAGTAAATGTCCTTGACTATTAGGGATAATCTTTACATTATATGTTCATGTTCATTATTTTTACATTCGTCTTGACAATCTAGCTATGCATTGACGACAAAAAACTACCAATTTTTCCTCATCGTGCAAAGTTTTGTACTAGACTTAATATTAATTGCCCATTGTTTACTTTGCCTCATTCACAAACTTTCTTTTCTTAACAGAGTCGAGGAGAAAAATAGGAATTCTTTCTGCTCAGTCAAAGTTATTAATCAAACAGTATTTGCCACCCCTTGCAAGATACATGAGGTAAATAAATGCAGTGGTATGTTGTGCCTTGACTTCTCTGGTCCAGTCCGTCCGTGTGTCCTGTGAGAATTGGTAAAAGCTTTTCTTAATCTCTTCATGTAATGAGTTTTCTCTTTTTGGTATTCAGATTAATTCTGGGATTGGGCTCAGTTCAATGTAATAGCGTTTGGTTGTCTCTAATCTCCTAACCCCATAATTCTTAATCAAAACCAAGGCAGTATTTTTATAGCTCGATCTAATCCATCATGAATGAGGCCGTGGATTACATAGTGCCCTTGAAACGCTGCTGCCCTGAGCTCAGATAAAGTCTTCACCTGGACACTGGCCAGAGCTGCTTTGGCCCTATAACCTTGAGAAAGTTTCCACACTGACCCAGCAACCCAACCTCATCCCAAAGGTGAAGGACAAGAGCTGTGCACTCTGCTTGTTTATCCTGAACCACGATCTCTACATGTTTTTGAAAGGGTATCAATATAAGTCATTGGTGGAGGCTGTGAAATGCTCGGAACTTTTTAGACATGAAAGTAACATATGTTTTGCTTGTTTCAGATTCTAATGATGAACCAATATCAAAACATATGTTCTTATATTGAAAAGACTTCCATATTCACAGACCTGAAATGAAACTGAATTAGATAAGGTGTTTTTGCTGCATTTTGTGTATTCGCTGCAGGATTTTCAGACCAGAGGACATGGCCGTTGGGAATATGAAGTTGAATAGCCCTGTAATTGTCTCCTCAAGTTTATTTCTTTAGACATTTTGGCTTTTTGCCCATAATCTTCTACTGTAAGACATATTTATGTATAAATTGCTCCCATGTGAGATCATCTGGGAATCAAGTGATGTATAACCTCAAAAAAGTTACAGTGTTGCTATAATACAATATAAATTTCCAGGCACTAATAACACACATTATTTTGTTTTATAATTAACCTAATTACTGCTTAAAAACAGCAGGAAACAGACTACGCACACAGCACAATACTTCAGTACTTATTTTCTGCTTCCCTGAATGTCTTTGAAAGTGTCATAGACATTCTTTTTGTAAAGTAAGAGTAAAAACATCATTGCTTGAGTCTGAAGAAGATATTTAACAGATCCATGGAGGAGGGGCGTGACAATATGGGTTTATCAATTAAAACGCCATAAATCACGTTTTAGAATTACTTTTCCGTTTTGGAATAAGCAACGAGGAAATGCCGCCCTCTGCTGGAGACAGGTAGCAATCGCTACATGTGCAGGGATGGACCAAAACAATGAGTCCAGGTTGTAAATGTTATGAAAAGTATTAAATGCAATCAGTCTCCTAATACAAAATTATTCTATTACGTGACTAAAAACTGATAATATTGCACTTTGTATGGGATCAAATGCTCAACATGAGGTACGTCTGACCTTCATATATTTGTAAAAGGAAAATGCTATGCTGGGTATTATCTCAGCTAATTAGCATGTTAAATTATAGTTTGGGATACTACCACAGCTACATTTGTTTATCTTTGCATTAGGTTATTACTACAGTCTATGGTTATTACAAGCTGTACCCTGTATACTAGTGTTTATGTATATAACATTTTGTTTCTATAACTAGCTCAAGATTGAAGAATGTATTTGCCATTTGCAGTAAAACCACAAAGTTATGACATGCATGTATCTCTGGTCACTGTCAGAAGCATTTTTTCACTCAACCTCTCAGCTCTCTGCCAAAATTGCCAAATAGTGACTAGATAGATAATAAGATAAGATTAAATAATATGATTTCTAATAAGATGAAGACAGACTGTTGTGGTTTGATTTGTTCCTTTTACTTTCACAAAACCTTTTCTGTTGAGACAATCACAATTGTATTATTTATGAAAACATAGGTTCCCCGGCTTTAAGACAAATGGACAAGAGGGGAAGATGCATCACCATTGTTGGATTTGATTTGTCAATATTATGAATATGTACAATAGAAAAAGACACAATACAACATATTGAATGAAAGAATGTTCCCCAACAAGAATTATATGGTTCTACAACAACAAAAAACACCCTAACCCTAACCGTTTCTACAAAATATATGCAGCTGGTATCCAAGAGTAACAAAAAGGTAATTCAATCCTTGCAGAAGACATGTAAGCAGACTGCCTCACTGCATAACTATTGCCCCGCCTCCTGATAGTATGAACATGTCCATCAAATCCACGCTGAAGCTATGGGCATTTTTGTGGGCTTCAGTCATGACATCTGACACTTTTAATTGGGCTGGGGGCTGGCCAAAGGGGGACAGAGCAAGCGTGCTGGTCCTCCGCTCTCACTACACCACCGTCTCAATAACATGACACAAGTCAACACCGAATGCCTTATGCAAAACAATTCAAATCCGACCCTGTCTTAAACATTTCAAAGTTTATATTTTGGAGACATACGATTTAGAAAAGGAATTTGACTTTTTTTGTGCAGGGATTTCTGGATTGTGGCAGGTAAGAGAGTACTCTATTGGATGCTGTAGTGTTTGCTTGCATACATGAATGTGTTTAGCTGTCAAAAGGTCTATTTTTTATTGGCACTTTGTTGATTCTGCACTGAAACTGCATTTGTTATAAAAGGTCCCTCAACAGGCAAAGCAAATCAAATACTTAGCATGATGTGAGACTTTAAACCAGCATTTTAAACTTTCAACAGACTCTTCAACTTTAGTTTTATACACCTTAGAAATAATTATGAGCCATCTTTTGTGTGACATTAATGCAATAAAAGTGAACTGTTGATAGGTTGTAGCCTTGATCTGCCTTCACAGACATTAGTGAGGTGGAGGCTGATATAAAAAGCTCATTGCTTCACTGGCCCAGAGCCATAAATCTTTCTAATTATTTAATCCCAGTGCTGCAGCTACTCTAAAAGTGCCGTGTGACCATGTCTGTGTGTTTATGCAGGCGCTCGGTCACATGAAGCCCAGACTTCAGCAGCTGTGGTCTAATCATCTGATTTATTAAAGGATACGCATTCTCCGTCATGCTGAACAAGGGCCTGACTCTGTCTGAGTGCACATTCATTATCTTTGCATCAGAATGCTACAAATCTGCATCTGCGTTTAACGGCTTTATTTGGCTGCTCTTTCACAAATACAGGGCATTTCCAAGTCGATATGATTTGATTCAATATATTTCCAAGCATTTTCATACAATTCTTTAAAAAATAAAGTATTTTGCCCCCCTGCTCAACCCTATTATTGCATAAATGTACTTACATATTGGAGATACATCCCACTGTGGAGAAATGTCAGTGTAGCAGCACATTGAGAATGAGGAGCAAATGTGTGGATCTCTGACTATTACATATATACTGTATCATCAACATGAATGAATAATCCCACAGTGGGGACATTTCATAAATCAAATCAATCTTTCTCTATCTCTCTCTTTGGACTATGAATCTACTGTACCTTAGTGAGTATATTTTCAATACTTTAGTCCAGATTTCTGTGAAGAAAGATACTATAACTCTCATCAACTAACTCAATGTGTAAATTAAACATATTCTTGGTGATAAATGAATACATACATGAACACAGTAATAAAATTAGAACAACATCTTTCTAACTGGGCTGTTTCTCTAACAGGAATAAATGATCACCTCAACCAGAAGAGTTTCCCCGGATAAATCTGAAGTTAGAATCGCTTTCAGCCTCAGTGAAACCACAGGTAACTTCTGAGACAATCATCTTTAATCAATCAATCAACAAACTTGTATGTGCAGAGCGCTATTCATGTAAAAACTAAAGTAACACAAACTGCTTCACATAAGGCATTAAAATCACACAGAGCATTAAAAACATGAAGGCTCTGTGAGTCCCAGTCTTCTAACATGTGTATTTTTAGTGGGTTATATTTAGTCGATTACAAAAGTGTAAATTCACACTTTTTGCATAAGTTCATTTTGAATGTTTTCCATTGGAGTTGTGATCGAGTGCCCACGGTTTGGATCCGATCCATCGAGGTTTTGAATGTTTTTGTAACACCCCCTCTTATTTACTTTTGTTATCAATGATTCATGTGCAACATTCAGTGTCACGTAGGGCTGTAGGCTTCTTTACCACAACATGTGTAATGAGGCTCTATCATTTCTGATCTGTATGTTTTAGACGTTGATGTTGACTTTGAGCACATCTTAAGCCCTGAACTATAACAGCCACAAACAATGTTCTGTTTAAATTGTCTTGTTAAACATCAAGTCTTCTGTTTCATTGCTCAGATAGTCTTGTCATTACTTTGTTATTTCACAATCTTGTGGCTTAAGTGCACTTTGTTTTCAGTGTAGTGTACTTTTAATTTGATATGAGTCTTTACGGAGCCACTAAACATGTGGTCGTGTTGACAGTTTGACTCAAGGAAACTGTGGTGGACTCTACTCTCACTGTGCGCTGAATGCATGGAGCACATTCTGAACATAGTTCCCACCAAAACAGAGCCAGCACAATCGGCCCCTCCCCTCACACCCTATCACTTTAACAGCGTTCATTCTTTTTCCCTGCTGCTGCAACAGGTGCTCCCTCTATTTCTGTAGGACTGCAGTATATTAAAAACAACCACACAAACATGTTTCCTGTACTGTATATAAGCAAACTTATTCATGAACACTTCTGAACTTGTGTGTGGGGATAGTCTTCACTTCAAACATGCTCGGCTGACTTTGCCTTCACCTAAGTGACCCTCAGAGCTGTCTGTAGGTGCGAGTCTGTCTGTCAGGATGTTTTACAGCATGGGGCCTGCTCCTGGGGCAGCAGCTGCAGATGCAACAGCAGTGTCAGGTTTCTATAATACTGACAGCGTCCCGTCCACTGATTCACTGCTCGGCTTTAGAACGAGGGCCTATATTTATGAGCAGTTAACACTTCAGTCTGACCCGGCCCACCGCTCGGAGATTGGGATTTCTCTCATGATGAGATCAGCAGAAAGAGAAATGGAATCTCCTAACCGCACACTTTAAATATAATGGAAAAAGGGCGATATTATTTATTATTATTATTATTATCTGCATCTTAAGATAAAACATTGATGTTAAAGAAAAAATCTTATTTACTTGCAATATTTCCCTGCAGTAGTGTTGTGTCAGCAGAACACAATACATGTTTCTTTGGGTTCATTGTTTTTAGTGTTTTTTTTCTATTCTTCGTGTATCTAGTCAGGACAAATTTATTTTAGTTTGTCACACAATATTAAAATGACTAATATTACATTTAATTAAATTTATTGAATTGAATTGTATAAATTGCCCTAAATCACAGCAGAGGTTATCTCTGAGGAATTTACAGAACTGCTGAGAATCAAACACTTCAGACACAAGAAATGCAATGATAATGATAATAAATATATAAAGCCATTGGTCCATAATGGGCAGATGACCAATGTCCATATGTCCATGAATGTTGTTGAATGTCAATCATCACCACTGTCACTAGAGCCTCCTGCGTCGGCAAAGAAAAACTCTAATAAAAACCCCAAACCAATTTAGAAACCACATTACAGCCAAAAAGAAGTGAGCAGGAGAAACTTATGTAAGCTCATATATGACATATATGTTCATATATGTTTTGTCTTTATCCTTCATTGCCTGACCAAAAGACAATGTAAAATGACTGCCGATTAAATGCATTTAAGTAGTTTGAACTTTTACATCTCTTGACTTCACTTTCCCTTTTGAAGTCTATCATCGAATACACATTTAAAACAGGCAGTAACCCATCGCACTGAGCTCCTTCTATATTTCACACTGTTCAGACTTGAAGCGACTGCAGGAGGAGGATCCATCAGTCCAGGGTGACTTCATGCCAGACATGACTCCCCCCTCCGCAGTCACTGTCCAGAGCTGAGAACTGTATTTATCCTCTTCATAATTGGCCCCGTGGCCCAGGGCTGCTCATCTAATACTCTGCTTTTAGCGGATTGCGTCACCCCAGGATTCTCCACATGTGTTCCACAAACTCAGGACGGGACATCAGGACATTTCTGGCGAGTTAGAGGCGAGAGCAGTACATCTGCTGTGGCCTCTGTCCTTCTGTTTATCCCTGAGTCCTCCAAAGAAACATGCTTTAGACAAACTACAACTGTCTGCACCAGATACAGGTGTCATTTGAAAATAACTGTAATAAAATATATCATTTGAGGGGCGGTGGTTGTATGAGTATGAATATGCAGTAAAACGTTTTATTGTATATAGTTACTGTATAGATGTAAAGGGTCACAATGTTTCTGTTTTGGTTGCCATACACACCGCTTTTGTCATGATGCCAAATAGAAGACATTTCATTGCTGCACATTGGGACATTTTACGAGGCAGAGATCGGCATTAAACACCTGTCTGTGGTGTGGCTCTCTAGATGCTCTTAAACCAGAGCATTTAATAATAGCAAATGCTTTATAGCCTTTCCTGCTCCCTGGCTAATGTGCTCATTTATGCACAGCACTTATTCTGGGTTTAAAGCATCCCCAAACTCCATCATCAAAACCATGTGCTGCGATTGGTCGACTATATTGATATTTTCAATGCTGCTCTATAAACCACAGTAATATATTGTGTGAAGTTTTTGGTTTTATTTTCCAGATGTAAAAGAGGATGTCAACCTCTCGCACAATATCCCTGACCTTGAATGCCGCTTGCAGGTAAATATGTTTCACTCTAAAACTGTGACCACTGAAGTATTGTGGCAGAAAGAGTTTCATCTTCATTAGTTATTTTATTTTAAAAGTAAGATAGTAAGTAGTAGTAGTAGTAGTAGTAATAGTAATAGTAATAGTAATAGTAATAGTAATAGTAGTAGTAGTAGTAGTAGTAGTAGTAGTAGTAGTAGTAGTAGTAGTAGTAGTAGTAGTAGTTGTAATAGTAATAGTAATAGTAATAGTAATAGTAATAGTAGTAATAGTAGTAATAGTAATAGTAATAGTAGTAGTAGTAGTAGTAGTAGTAGTAGTAGTAGTAGTAGTAGTAGTCGTGGTGGTGGTGGTGGTAGTAGTAGTAGTAGTAGTAGTAGTAGTAGTAGTAGTAGTAGTAGTAGTGGTAGTGGTAGTGGTAGTGGTAGTGGTAGTGGTAGTGGTAGTGGTAGTGGTAGTAGTAGTAGTAGTAGTAGTAGTAGTAGTAGTAGTAGTAGACAAAGCAAGCTGCAAGTGCCACACCATTTTAAATATGAATCAAAGTTTGAAGACCCTCTGAAGTCAAATGTTATGTCCACTGCTGTTTCTATCACAGTTTTACTGTTTCTTTCTATTTAACTTGAGCAGTTATTTCTATAATAAACATTTTTATGCTTTTGGAGAATTTCATGATTATAATTTTATAATTGAGTCGTGTTATTCTGAGATAACGAGAGTCCTCTCATTTCTGACCGTTATAGTGGACAGAAGTGTTATAAAGCTTAACTGTGCTTATGTGTGATTCTGTTCTTGTCCTTTTGTTGCAGCCAGTGCCCCCTTGTGCTTCTTTGAGAGAGAGCGTCCAGGTGTACAGGGAGCACTGCAGAATGGCCAAAGAGTTTCACCAAGTTAAACATGAAATATCTGTGCTTGAAGACCGCAAGTAAGACTTTGCACACGACATGTAGTGGGGAAGTTTACCGTGCACATAGAGGTGTCTAACTTTACAATTCATTGTTGGTAAAAAGTTATATAAAGCATTCCAAATAATTACCCGTCTGACTATATGGGCATTGAGCCAATATAAATCATTTTGGTAAAAATAATAACCTAAAACACAAAAACTAAATAACGTCTTTTGATTTTTACATGTGTAAACTTACAGTAGTTTAAGAGATGAGAATACAGTCATTCTTAGCCATCCTTGAGATGTTTTACATTTCAGCAGAACATTACAATGGAGCTTTCTTTAGGCTTGTTTTTAACTAATGAGACATGTATCAATAATGAAAGAATGCATCTCCATGTTAGTGTTTTATAACCCTGCATAACCCGAGATGCTTATACAGTAAAGTGTTTTAGGACCATCATATACCTGAAGGCAGGAGCTCTTCAAAGTTTATTATACTTAAGACACTTTATTTGTACTAACATGTGCCAATTTATGAATGCATAAAACAGTTTTTTTAAGTGGATGTTGGCTGCTTTGCAAAGAGGCACTTACCCACAGTCTGTCATTGAGCCGATCACTTAATAATCACATGTCACTGTTGAAAGCTGTGACTGATGACCACAACATGTTTCATTGTCCACCTCAGATACCGCTCTATAAATACATTTACAGTCATAGATCGCACATGCATGTTTGTAAGGGTAGGCTATGTCCAATAATCAACTCTGAGATTATCTCCAATAATAATGTGAGAACCTGAAAGGAATCTCTTTAACAGCTAAGCTTAATTGGATTTTTTTCTTCAATTACCAACTCTTTTCCTTTCAATTCAACTTACCATTAATTGTAAAACAAATCATCAGTTCTTTAATTATCTAATTAATTGTTACAGCCACAGACACATGAAATACACTGAAAGCTGAATACGCAAAAAAGTTGCTTTGCCATTGTTCTACTATTGTGAATACACCGAGCGGGTCATAGAATGAGACTTTGAGATGCTTCTTATTTGCCGCAGGCGCAAACTGCTGGCGGAGCTGGTGGAGGATGAGCAGGTTGCCATAGAGATCGTCCGGTTGGAGGAGGAGTTTCGGCGTCTTGTGGAGGAGAACCGCACTCTGGTGACCGTGCACACTGAGCGCGCTCAGCAGCTGGAGACACTGTGTCTGAACAGTCCCAGGAGGCGGGACTCCTCGTGACCTCGGACCTCCACAGGACCTGACAACAGACACCGTGATGTGCTGAAAAGCCACTTCTGTCAATAAGCTACTCACACATTATCAGCATTTTTGTAACACAGGGAACACATATGTTACTATGAAAATACATGTTTTATTTAAAGTCAAACTCGATCCCGACATGTGGATGGAGCATCACACTCTAATAAGAAGCAGTACAGGTTTCTGTTTTTGAAGACAAAAACTATTCAAATTTTCAAACTTCAATTTCAGTTTGTCCTCCTGCACCAAACACTAAGAACTGACTTCATATTCATGAAAAGTCCTGACAGAGGCCCGAGTGGCCTTCCAGGATGGGTCAAATGCAGAGGACAAAGGGATATATAAAGTGCACTTTTAAACTAACAATAGCCATTAGACCTATACATAAAGCAATGCTTAAATCTTTATATCATGTAAAACTAGACTATAGAATAAGTGAATTCAAAAGTCTCTTTTAAATGGCCGCTGGTCAATATGAGTTTGTTATAATTGGCCAATGTTACAGTGGATTGTCCTTACATGTACTGTATGTCTAATCACATTCTTATCAGGCATCTTTCCCACAACAAGGAACGTGTTCTAACTTTAGCCAAGGACTGTGCCAACATTCACACGAACAGGTTTATCTTTAGCAGCGCTCATCTACATCCTAGTTTAAGAGTATCGGTTTGTGACAGAAACTCATATACTGTATACTGTAACTCTTAATCACCTTGTCATATTCGTAGATTTGTAATATAAATATATGCTAATGTTTTAAGCTAAATGTAATCTTATAGCATTAGTTTGAATGCTTGTTATTCCAGATTGATTCCCAATTGATTTCCCCTGTGTTTTCTGTGACTTATAAATAGTCAGATGGTATAAAAGTGTAGGTGTCTACCAGGTCATGTGGAGACTATACAAAATAATGTTAGTGAATGAAGTGGTCCAAATGTTTGATCCTAAAACTGCTGCTCTGGGGCTGGACGCTTGAGTTTTTAAGATCTGTAGCACATGTTTGAAAAAGTTGTACATTTTTGTCACATGTTTGGCTTGCCAGTGGAATCACCCAAACGCTGCATCTATAAATAAAACTCACTTTGTTGTACATGTTGTGTTGCTTCCTTTAAGCCATTTCTCTAAATTTTCTCAGATTCTGTGCAACATCTACTTGGAAAAGAGAACCAGAGATTATGTGATTTCCTGAACTATGATTGTGTCTTTTATTTACTATAGCAACGGTGCGTAAACAATGTTGTTCCTCTTTTTATCAGTGTAAATCAGGCCGGGGCAAAAATGCGCCTTAATGATGATTGAGCAATAACGCATATTTTAACAGAAAGAATAAACAATAGATAAATCAGTGAGTTTGGGTCACTTTTTCATCTCTGTAGCCTCCAACTGTTTCATAACTGGTCCAGAGATTACATTAATATGGATAGCAGTCACATTTTCATGAGAATTCTATATCTTTGTCACATATTGAGTGATATTTTATAAAGGCCTAAACCCTTCCTTTTAAGCAGGCCTATTAGGGAGCTTATGAGCTTTTAACCCCTTTGTGTTTTTTTCTGATATTTGATGTACTTCTGATGTTTTTTTTGCTGTGATTACTTTGTTATACTGTATTTTCATCTGTAGCACTTTGAGGTTTCCTGGAAATGTAAGGTGCAATGTAAATACAATCATCTACAAGAGATCGTTTGTCCCGTCTGCAGTCACTGCTCTAAACAACCGGTAGCACTGCATAAATTATGAACGGTTGGCTAAATGTAGGTTATGTGTGTTTTATGAATGATTCTGAATTGTGTTGAAAGACAAATCTCTGCTCAATTTGAACAGACAATAAAGATCTATTCTATTCTATTCTATTCTAATATTATTATTACAGCTGGGCTATGTCTTTCATTCACTCACATTCATTCTCTTAACTTTCTAGTAAAACCTATCCAACTTGTTTCTCACACTCAACACAATTTGCTCACTACACGCGTACATTTATTTTGGCTTCTGTCCATAAAGTGGCAAAGAAAGACCAACCCTCTCTCAGCCAATCATCTCTCGGATCCAAGAAAAAATAAATAAATGACTCACCCCAAAATATACAGGTTTTCTATTAAGACAAAGACAGACTATTGTTGGATTTGTTCTCAAAATATTGCTTTAACAAGATTGTTTTTTTTGGTACAAACAACATGTGTTATATTATATATTTAAAACCAAAAAAGTTAGGTACCCCAGCTTTGAAAAAATGAACAGCATTATCTGTGTTCACCGTCTGCATGTTTTCTGTTCATTTGTGTAATCCATTTCTGAGGCGCACCTGCACATTTGTCATTCACAGTGTAACGTTACCAGGCTTGTCCTTGTGAGAACTTTCTCCGCTCCAAAAACAACTCGGCTTGTCTGGTCTCAGCCTACGTTCAGACACAGCTATTTGAAATACGTTCCAAATAAAAATGTGGGGATTATTTACCTCTGCTCTTTTCATTCCCGACATGTTTTGTGCATGAATAACCACAGCCCATGTTGTCATACAAACACAAACACTACCGTCTATTATTTCAGATCTCCTGCTTAATCTCCTCCAATTGTTTTCTGAGGAAATCTATATGGGGATATACTTAGAAGCACAAGCTGAGAGGATAGAGGCAAGGATCGGGTTGGGCTGTAGTTGCAACTGGAAAAACAAAAGTGCTGGATCACTCTTTATCAGCAGGACAGCGTGACTCAGCCCTGGGTCTGTTGTAATGCTCCCAGCCACAGATGTGCACCTCCCCATGTCCCGTCCCTCCTCCCTCATTACTCACATGCACGGCCCATGACTTACTCTTTTACTTTTTTTAGTTTGTATTCAGGGCCAGATACCACTGTCTGGGAAGCGGCCAAAGGTTCAACAGTACTCCTTTTCTGAAATAACCATGTGGGATTAACAGCTCGGTCATTCGGGATATTACAAAGCAGCTAGAAGGTAAGATGTATGCAGGAATTTAACAAGTTTGTCAGAAAATAGCAGAAAGAGTAACACAATACTATACTATACCATACTGAACTATCAACACTTTGGGAATTTAATTTTCATCACTTAGACAAGATTTCTTTGTTCATGTTTTGGTTTTTAGTTAAAGAGCAAGATAGTTTTCACACGAAATTCTCTGTAACACTACTGTGCACCTTCTGTCACAGATTCCAGGTGAAACTCGGACAATTGGGGAAAAAAAGCTTTGTTTGAAAGTCCATTTACTTAATTCAACTTACAATGTGAAACTAATATATGACTAATACAAGAAATATCAATACTTCATTTGATTATGGCTCACAGCTTGTAAAAACCCAAATAAAACAGTTGTGAGCCATAATCATCACAATTTCAACAAGTAAGACACATGTCACTTTGCAGGTAATGCGCGTCCTATATCATTACTTTATCACTTTTATTCTGAGTTTCACCAGTATATATGCAGTTTCCTTGACAATGGTTTAATTCCTGAATGTGGCTGGATGTGTATACAGTATATCTCTCTCTATGTGTGTATGTGTGTGTGTCGATCTATCATTTTTATTCACCACATTTAAGTTTGAAACCTTAACTTCCCCCATTTTCTTTTTTCAAATATCCTAGTCATTTCATTTGTAGATGTCAAAACTGCTCGTCTTATAACTACTGCTACTACCACTTCTTCTACTACTTCCACTGAGACCTTGTTTATCTAACTAACTTCCAATTCTCTTGTAACAGTCTGCCGTGGCCATGGACGTGCCAGGCCGATCCCCAAAGTTTACGTTTGAGTCCTCGGTGCACTCCAGCCATGTTCTGCGCTCTCTGGAGGAGCAGAGGCAGCGGGACGTCCTGTGTGACCTGACCCTGCTCACCGCTGAGGGGCAGAGCTTCAGGGCTCACCGCTCCATCCTGGTCTCCTGCAGTGAATACTTCTCCCAAAGGATCCACTCCCTGTCCGGGCAGAATACTGTCATCACACTGCCTCCGGAGGTGAGAGAGCGAATCTCAAAAACAAAACACTTATTGAAGGGTAGCTAACTTTCAAACCACAAAACATGAAACTAAGTAACTAAATTAGCACTCACCCAAAGTGCGATTTGTTTAACTTTTACAAGACTCTTACTAATGGAAATAGCAAAATGTCATATTTAGGGGGTTAATAAGTTAGGTACCCCAGCTTTAATGACAGATTAATATTAAACCTGTTGTCGTATCTACTTTTGGCTGAGTTTGTCACTTTCCATAAACTAAGCAAGAGTGGGCTTGGTTAGTTCTTGGATGGGAGACGGCTGTTATGGCAGGTATCTCAATGAAGTAGCAGTAGCTCTAGTGTAAAGCATATATTGTCATGTTGTTGTGTCTTTAGGCAAGACATTGTTGCCAAATATGACTCTGGTATGAGCTTAGGCTTGGATTATTAGTGATGGTCAGAAAGATCTACAATAATAATTTAAAGTGTACATTATAAGTATGACAGAACCTCAGAACGGTATTATTACTGAATTCAAAACTATCAGTCTAATAATTCTCTATCTTTCTCTATTTGTGTGTTTGTTTTTTAGGTGACAGCTGCAGGTTTTGAGCCATTGCTAAAATTTGCCTACACATCCAAACTTGTTTTTGGCAAAGAAGATGTTTTAGACATTAAAACATCGGTGTCCGTCCTTGGTTTTAAAGACCTAGACGGTGCTTGTTTTGATTTTCTCCTCCCCAAATTCTTCTCCAGCTCCACAGCATGTATAATGCGAAAGACGTGTTGTAAGAAAAAATGCAAGAATAGTTCGTCAAGAGAAAATTTTGACTCAGACGCACACTTCAGTCACAAAGAGGCCAAACCTGTTGCTGACTCATTGACCCGAGAGGAAGCAACTCCTGAGATCAGCAAATCAGAAACAGACACATTTCAGAGCAATGAGCGCTCTCCTACACCTTCAGCACCTGTAAGCAAGACAGATAACACCGACAGAGTCATCCAAGGCCCCAAATATCGGAAATTCCAGCTTGCTTGTAACAAAGAAACTTATAAAAACAATAAGCAACCTGTGATGAAATACTGTGATTCGCCTTGTTCTAGTAATAGCGAAAGTGGAAGTTGTCCTTTGAGAATGTCCGGACAAGTTGAAGATTTGTTTAACAGCAGAACCGGGAATTTTCACCTTGTTGACGTGAATAAAACAGATAAAACATATGGGAAGAAACAAGAAGTTGAAATGCAAGAAATTAGCGAGACAACTTGCAATGTCAAAGAAAACGCAGAGGGCAAAAGTGGTGGATTAACCGGGTTGGTGTTTTCTGACTGCACGGCGGAGGCCCAACTAGTCAGCGAGTCATTGGCTGAAAACAGAGCTGCGATGAACAATTTTGCACAGGAAGGATGGGTGAAAGCTGAGGAGAGACTATTTGATATCCAAGAAGGAAATCTGCAGAGAGAGATGAAAAATGGTGACGGAAAGTGGGATTTAGAAGATGAAAAAACACCAAATTTATCTCTGGACTGGCTCAGTGTCCCATTCAACTTCAGTTCCTCCGTTCCTTCACATGTGGACGGAAGTACGAGTGGATGGACGTGTCCCAAGTCCTCTGAATGCGAGAGAGCGTCGCAATATGGGTTTTCCTCTCTATACTCCGGAGAAGATTCAGATATAGAAGTGGCGGAGGGGTATTGTGATGCATATGAGCAGGAAAGAGCAAAACAGGTGAGCTGAAACAAGAAAAGATAAAATAAATATGTTTTGGCCATTTGTGATGCATTCACACTGAGCTGGTTCACTTTAATTGGACCAATTCTGGGGCAAAAAAGCGTCATTTGTGGAAGTCATATCAGCACAGTCACCACAAGGCACTATATACTAACATCTATCTCACTAGTTTCTCACTCTCAAAATAGGTTCACTAGTTGACATGCATGCATTTGTTGGCTTTTTTTGGCATTTTTGGGGAAATTTTGGGAGTTTTTGGGAATTTGTTGGCATCTCTTTCCCCAAAGCGTCAATTAGCGACTCACAAGGATCTATCTGACAAGTACGCCTTTAAAATATTCCATCTGTCTGGGCAAACATTTATCATTTAGAAACCCCGGATTTAAGCTTGTTTAAATCTTTTTTTTCCAAGTGAGCCAAACTTGGTCCAGTTAGAGTGAACCAGACCAACAAGTGTGAAGTTTAGATACAGATTAAATTTACGGCACCAAATCAATGACCAAAGAGCTGACGTGTTGTGGCAGAAAGTTAAATATTAGCAAACAGAAAGTGGCCTAACTGTGCAAGTTTAGAGTCCAACTTAATAACTCAGCTTTGGTCTTCTTTAACCTCAGGTGCAGAGCCTGCTCGCCTTCGTTGTGCCAAATCTATGAGTCAACACCTTTCTCAACGTATAATTAGTAGAGTGGTGTTGCAGTAACAGGACAAGAGCAGGAATGCAGTGGAACCTCTGTTTTTAGGTCACCAACTGTTAATGTTTGACTGGCTACATGTGTTAGCAACAGCAGATAACAATTTGGACATTGTCACAAGCATCAGCCCATTTTTTACAGGAGTCCAGTGAAACAGTCAATCTATTTCAGAGTGTAGAATGTTATTAAGTAGTTGGAGAATCTAAAAAAGTGAATTTTGAATCTGCCTTATTCAAACATGAAATGCATTTGGTGAAACTGGGATAATTAGTCATTCAAAAGTCCATTTACTTCTGTAATTTTTAAATGTGAAACTTATATATGACAGACTGATTACGCAAAGTGAAATATATCAAGCCTTTAATTGTTTTATGTTTTATGATAAATGCACTTTATCATGTTTCGCAACATTGTTAAGCGCTTTGGGTGACCTTGGTCCATAAAATGTGCTATATAGATTAACATTACTTACTTACTTACCTACATAATTGACTCACAGCTTGCACAAACCTCAGTTAAATACATCTTAGAAATGTAGAATATTTTGAAAATGGACTGTAAACTATCTTATTTAGAGTTAATAAAGCTTGTCATATGTCACTTTGCATGTTATGAGTCTATATCATAAATCGGTTTCACATTGTGCTCAAAAAGAAATTTACTTTTTAACTCATTTTTAATTATCTGTGTTTCACCTGTAGCAGAAAAATTTAACCTTTACCAACCTTATCCAACCTTATCCTATCATTATTAGGCTGACAGCACTGTGGAAATGGCATGTATTATACCACATTTCAAAAGAGTTCAGTTTAAAATACAATATTGAAAAGAATTAAAAAGAAAAATGAATGTTTGTATCTGTAATAACTAAACTGTTTTCATGGACAGGTGCAGCTGCCTTATCCCGTGGACCAGATGCTGAAGATGAGTAAGACACATTTCCAGCAGATTTTGGACAAAAATACCTTATCACAAGAACAGGTAGAACTGGTGCGGGACTTGAGACGCAGAAGCAAAAACCGCCTTGCTGCTCAGCGCTGTCGCAAACGCAAACTCGACTGTATTTACAACTTACAGTGCGAGATCAACAAACTGGTGAGCAACACACACACCAACAAAACAGCAATTATTACATATGTAAAGCAAAAAAAAAAGAAATACTTGAAGTTTGGGAACCTAAGCTGTTTTTTTATTCCGAAAATATACATGCTGTTTGCCACAAAATATAGTGTTTTAACTTCATTGACTGCCATTGACACATTTGTCTAAGACGGCACCATGGCTGAGTGGAAAGCACTCTCGCTTCTCAGCAAGAAGGTCCTGGGTTGGAATCCCGGTCGGAACAGGGCGTTTCTGAGTGGAGTTTGCATGTTCTCCCTGTGTTTGCGTAGGTTTCCTTTGGGTGCTCCGGTTTCCCCTACCACTAAAAAGTAGATAAGAGAGTGAGTGGATGGTGTTGATTGGGGCTGATGGTCCAGTGTGTTCTGGTCTTGCTTCTGTCATCACCGAGTGTGGAATGATTGGAACAATATCGGACTCTGAACATTGTAAAGCGCTTTGGGTGACCTTGGTCTATAAAATGTGCTTTATAAATAAACATTACTACTACTACTATTCGGCTGGGGATTACAGGAGACCAACTAGACTAAACTAGAAACCAACATATTTTTGCTATTTTTGCTGAGTCTAATCTGTTTCACATCAGTCATAGCACATAATATTCTGAGGGTCTTGAAAGTCAGTGAGATCATCAAAAACGGCTGGCAGTCAATTAGTTAATTAAAAGTAAAAAAAATTGATTCAGGCCATTTTCATCAGTCTACATCTTATCGCACACTTTCCCTGTGAGTCACTATTTGACGCTTCAGGCTGAGAGATGATTGGCTGATTGGAGAACAAGGAACTAGTATAGATTTGTATAGTATAGGTCATTTTGTGTGATTAGGAAGTTATGTACCCCATGTTTAAACACATTTGAACTGTATTTTTCTTTTTTTACAACAGAAAACTGAAAGAGAGAAGTTAATTCAAGAGAAAAGTCAGCTGAGTGACTTGAGGCTGCAGGCGTGTCACCGTGTCTCAACAATTTGCCAAAGCGTTTGCGTTGGTTCCAATCTTCCTCCGGAGCAAATACAACTATTATTCAAATATGCATCGGCTGAAAGGCCTTTGGCCTCCTCCGTCCCCATCATTGACTCACTCCTGTCCTCGTCTCATCCCTCGAACACACAACTGCACCCCAGCGACGCACAAGACGATTTTGACTGCCCCAGCACAAACAGTAACGACTCGTAACCAATGGGAATGACAGTGTGTAATATTGATTTAATAACACTCTTGACTTGTCGGTTACAGCCGCCAAAACCACCGCTAACAAAGAGACACAACTTAACCCTATAACATTCACTCCTTGAAGAAAGCAATGTCATTTTTGTTTTAGATTTTCTATGATGTAGGGGCACCAATAAGATATTAACACTGCAAAAAATGACAACATATAAGGTACTATATCCTTAAATCAATGGTTTTTAGCTTAATTGAAATACATTCTTGGCTTAAAACAAGATTTGCCAATGGAGCAGTTTAGTCTTATTTCAAGTGCTGTTGCAATTTATTTCTTATTCTAAGGAAGACATTTCTTGAATGTTCTTGTATCTTTTTTAAAACAAGACATTTTTGCTTGTCCCATTGGCAAATCTTGTTTTTAGACAGTCAAAATATGCTCAAATCAAGATAAAAACATGAGATCCATGCATTTATAGCTATTATTATTATTAATATTATTGCATATATTTTTTCAATTATAGGCCTTTACCAAATGGTTGAGATGCAGTTTGATGGTAAAAGTGCCTTAAACCAAGTGCGATGCCCCAAAGAGGTACATTTCATTTCCAAGTATGCTTCAAGTAGACATGTTGACTCAAAAGGTAGTCTACCAAATGTTTGAGGAAACCATTAAAGGGGTAATCACATATGAAGCAAGGTTCTTCAATTGAATTCAATTGAATCAAATTATATAGAGCAAAAGCCTTTACTTTTCATTCACATGGTGCAAATAATCCTTCATTACCTCAGGGATATTGTAAGAAAACAGGATATAATGTACGCTACTATTATTTGTTGTCTGGGTACATTCCAGTTAACCACAGAGTTATGGAGAAACAGACAAAACAGTTTGATGATGAGTCACTGTGATTCAGCCGTGGTCAGACTCCGGTTTCATATCTGCCTCTGATTGTTCTGTCACTGCGGTGGCCTCCACAGATGACCACGCTGACCACACTGACACAGCACTAATCCCCCAGACACAGATCACTCCTTCAAACAATCACATAACAAACTCAGGATGACGCTACAGTGCTCCTTGGGTTTATCGTTAAAATATAGCTGTTTGTGATACTTGTGGTACTTGCTGGATTATAAACCTCTTCTGATTTCAAATTCTGCGGCCTGGATAGCTTTTTTTCTGCTGTTGATCTCCAGAGCACACATTTCTGCGTCAATCAATCAATCATAATGTATTTCTTTAGCACAGTTCATACAAAATGCAAGTGCTTCACATTGATGACATTTAAACCATCGGTCAGCGTGTTAAAGCACACTGTAAAACATGAATCCCAAAGAGTTCAGTGATGATCAGTCAAAGGCACGGCTAAAAAGAAATGTTGTCAGTCTGGGCTTAAATATAGCCAGGGTAGGGGCCAGTCTCATTCCTACAGGAGATTGTTCCAGATTTTTGGTCCATAGGTCTGGACTGCTGCCTCCCCATGTTTAGGCCAGTCCCTGTGCTCCTCAGGGCCTGGTTCATTTGGCACTAACATGTCAGAGATGTGACAAGTCTCTCCATCTCCATCCGAGTCCATGGAGAGACTTGTACGCAAGCAGAGGTGCTTTGAAACCTATTCTCCGTGTGTTTATGTGAACAGCAAAGAGAGGCTTTTTTGTTTCATGTGATCAGGGATATAGTCAGAACAGAGTTTATCAAACACATTATTTTGACTCCATCAAGTTTTAGTCAGTGTGTTATCGGTTTAATTTCACTTTAAAGCTGCACTAACTGACTTTGGGATTTTGAAGCCGTGGACTCTCTGGCCTCTCTCTTTCTGCTCCCCTCCCCGCACCCACGAAGCTATCGCCCCCCACACACACCCACTGTTGGGACGGAGCTAGTGTCTCTCATTATGGATAATACATGGACATGGATTTTCACGTGGATGGCGTGACCATAAAACGATAGAACCGGGAAGCGCGGAGGAACGAGACTTTCTTTTGGATGGCTGTCTCGCTGTGTAAGCAGTAACCGGTGACGAAGACGAGGAAGTTTCAGGTTAGCTCCTCGGCTTGTTGTGCTAACTCAGCTGTCTATGCTAACGGACCCGGAGATTTCTCACGAAAGTGGGGGCCAGTGGTGCGCTGTGATTGGTCACAATCTGCGACCCGAAACACATTCTCTTCCTTGTTTCATCAAAACTCGATCTAAAATATAATGTCAGGCCAGCACAAATCTGCGCTAGTTTTTCTTCAAAAGGACGTATATCCCAATGCACTACATGGACATGGATAGCATTTTCGTAATGAATACAAAAATAAAGTCAGTTAGTGCAGCTTTAATTTGACTATTTCTGGTTCAAGAGTCCACTTGACAAATGTGTTAGCTAAAACATCACGTCTGCAATATCAACTTTTGGAGTTACACCGAGGCTGAATGCCAGGGTCCAATTTGATTTACTTTTTGCTTTTAGAATAATCCTTTCCATGGTTGAATAGTCATCTTTGCTTGGTGAAGTGAACTTAGAAGGTCATACGAAATATTTCATAATTCATCATTAATTCAAGCTTTTTAAGAACAATTTGTATTTTTCTTTGTTCAAATGCAGTCTTTTATGAGGCTGTAAACCTGTATTGTGGCCGTGGTGCTCAGCGCCCTCTGGTGACTTGTTGGCGCATTTAAGGGCTGTATAATATGTAAAACACATTATTTTTGTTACATTTTTTCTAAATATGAAAACAAATTAAACAAATTAAACTACATAATGTATTGTTTTCAGACTGGAAGAACATTTCTAAATGTATTAATGTTTCTTAGGCAAGGCAAGGTGATTTGTTTAGCACAGCACAAGGCAACTAAAAGGACTTAAGAAAACTAGAAAATAAATCAAAATCACACAAGACATTAAAATAATAAATAATCACAGTTCAGGCTGTAAGACGTTAGCAGCATGAATCTGAAATGCTGTTTCCCCATTTTTAGTCCTGACTTTGGGCAACAGCAGGAGGTCAGACCCTCTGCTTCTCAGAGTCCCAGCAGGAGACAAGGCAAGGCAAGTTTATTTGTATGGCACAATTCATACACAAGGCAACTCAAAGTGCTGAACAAGGTGCAAAGTGCTTCTCAAAGTCCGAGTTGATTCATTTAAGAAAGTGTGAATCTCCTGCTCTTAAATCTGTGTTTCTTGACAAAAAAGAAATTGACAGGGCAAAAGATTAAAAATTTCAAGGGTCAGGGAGTTTCAACAACTCCAACCATGAGTGTTGACCACAGACTGTGTGGGAACGTTTTAGCCTCACCAACACTTCCTGCGCTTCTGTTAAATAGACTACAGATGGCGCCATTGCAAACTGATTAAGCCATTGCAGGGATATAATACTGACATTTTTGTTACCTAGATACTGGACAGTTATTCACATTGAGTTGGATCTGCTTATATGCATATTCACACAAAAGTAATGTTGAGGAGGCAGATGTGCCCTTGAGGGCTTTATCCATACATAAGGTCTCGTGTAACTTTAAATACATATAAGTATCTTTTCTTACTACCTTTTCTTGCACCTCAGTTCAATGAGATGTGGGCAGATTGCGTGGGTGGTTCTCTGGCAAAGCTGGAAAATAACACTGCACAATATGTTGGCTTTTTAATCTTGTGATAAACTGCAACAAGGAATTTTAATTAATTTATTGTATAAATGGATCTTGCCGTAGGCCTATTTGTATGCATATCAAAACTTTGCATGGGGAACTACATTGGCATTTTAATTAGGGTCTTTGCAGAGAATCTTCTTTTTGCCTCTCCAATCACACCCATTCACACAAATAATTACATATTTCATTTATTTTCTTTGGCCATTCATCAAAAACAGATACAAACAAACACAATTCAAATCTCCAAAACAATCCAAATACACTATACTTTCACCTGATCCTAAAATCAAAATCAAAATCCAGATCCCCAAGAAGACATCATCCGTTCAATTTAAAACTCTGAATAAAGTTTGTATAAGAATATAAGTGTATAGTAATAAGAGTATTTACACAGCATTTTACAACCACATGCAAAAGGTTTTATATACAGTACATACACATACATGCGTCATCAATCATTCAATATATTCATAAAAATAATGATGATAATAAAAATATATATCCATGCACAAACACATGAACCAAATAAAATAAAGTGTTGCTAATGGACACTATGAAAATGTTTAACGGTGTGATATTTGTAACGTATATCTACTCAAATCTACAACTAAATCTACTCTGAATCTCACTCTGTAAGTACCACTTATATATATATATACACACGTTTAAGGTCACATTTTAGGGGATTTTTGGTTCGTGATTTAAAGCAGACGACCAAATCTAATCCCTGAAGCGCAGAGAGGAGTGCAGTCATGTGCCTCCTAATGAGAACCTGCGAGTCCTGGATCAGCCTCGAGACACATCACCATCGGTCCAAAACCAGCAGTAAAACAATTCATGTACTTTATCTTTCTCACAGTGAAGCAAATGTCTGTTTAAGTAGACTGTGCACTTATATATAATATTACATACAACCACAATAAATTAGTCCCAAACCTGGATTGACAAATTGCTGTATCAAGGATTACAATAGGTCTATTTGTTTATTTTTTGTGCGATTACAAATATTAGTTTGAAGATGCATTCCTCAGATTTCCTTGTGGAGGCTCCGGGTTTTGCTTGGGTTCATGTAAATGTCTTTGTTTTGACTGGATGTTTATGCAGTTTGTCATACAATTTAAATAGGAAACACAGTGCAAAAAATGATCAAATTTGAGATAATAATGAATCGAGTTGTTTTGATCTTAATTTAAGTTCATTCTGACTGTCTTAAAAGAGATTTGCCAATGAGACAAGCAATTTTGACTTGATTCAAGAACTATTACTTTATTTTCTCATTCCAAGAGAATCTTTTCTTGTATCTTTTTAAAACAAGATAATTTTTCTTGTTCCACTGGCAAATCTGGTTCTAAGGCAGTAAAAATGTGCTCAAATTTAGATACAATTAGCCAAATTTGAGCATGTTTTTGTCTTTAATTCCATCATTTTTTGCTGTGCAAGCTTGCCACTTCATGGGCTAAGGCACCCTAACTTCAATCGTACTTCAGATATCAAAACTATTTTAAATAGATTTTTCCCAGTAAGTGAATATTACTCATTTATTGTTAGTTTATTTAAAGCTTGCCTATATCACTCAGGATTTTCTTTGAATTGAACTGTCTCTGTTCAAGTAAGCCTCACTTTTGACATTTTGACGTGTAGAGTCTTAAATGAGACAGGTGTGACAATAGCAGGGTGGCCCGGTGGCTGAGTGGGAAGCACCATCGCCTCTAAACTATAAGGTTGTGAGTTCGAACATGAGTTGAAATGTAATCTTTATCGCAATCACCTGAGTTTCATTGGTAATATCAAGTAAAAGATGTACTCGAGGAATTCAAGTGAAGTTAATATGCAATTTATTTCCAAGATTTTTTCAAGTAAACTTTACTTTTTTTTATGCAGGTAGAATATTGATCGCAAGAAACAGGACCACTTCACAAAAAGCGGGTCACCACCAGTTAATAAATGTAAAAATAGCTCATAGTGGGTTGATATATTTTTCTTACATTACTGCTCAATTGAATTTATGCTCCAGGTATTAATAATGATAATGATAATACGATTTTATTGATCTTTATTTAAATGCAGAAAGTCCCTCTAAGATTTCAGAATCTCTTTTTCAGGGGTGTCCTGGCACCAGAGAGAGGGAAGATATTGTGGATGATTTTAGTGCAGGGATGTCAAACTGGACCTCAAAGGGCCGGTGTGGCTGCAGGTTTTAGTTCCAACCTGAGCAGGAGCACACAGACTCCACCCAGTTCCTCATATCTATACGTATGGCATGGGGAGAACATGCAAGCTCTACTCAGAAAGGCCTCATTTGGAGGTGAAATCGAAGCTAGGACCTTCCAGCTGAGAAGCCAGAGTACTAACTATTCAGCCACTTTGCCACACTAAAACAGTTTTTGGCTTCGACTGTTAATTATTTTTCACTTATACACATTTATAACATGTAACAGAGAAAAGGAAAATGACCCACTCTCACTCTTCAACAGTGTGGATGGAAATGAAGATCGCACTTGGATTATATTCACTCGCACGGAAAAGCCACTTCCTCTCATTCTGAACGCTTGTCACAGTCTGCTGCGGAGTGACAGAGCACTCACATGATGTCACACTCATGATGAGCCAGGCCTGGTCAGCTCCATTCAAACTCTGCAAAGAACCCAGTGTTTGAGAATCATTCTGAAATGTCAGCCATGAAAATCACACAGACAACTCCCCAGAACATGACTGCATTGTGATCGCACTGAGAGAAGCGTTTACAAATGCAGATTAGCTGTGGAATGGAGCATAAACAACACACAATGGCTCGACATTTTGGTGTTTTTTTTTATGCAATGTAATCCCAATGACAGACCCTTTTATCGTTTTGTTTAGTCTTGACAATGTTTGGCTCGCAATCACTGCAGAGTTCAGACTTACAGTAGCAAGCATAAATGCCAAGAATTAGTTGCAGCAAGAAAGGATACGTGGGCTAATATCTTCCACAAAGCAGCTGAAAATACAGATCGGGATCGGAACAGATGCAAATTTTACAGAGACAGACGACTACAAAGATAAATCAATCCAATACCACGCAGTCAAGTAGCCATACAGCACACGTTTGGTGATGCAACGACCATAAACACCAAAATGGAACCACATCTCTCAGTGCATTAGGCATTAAGAAATCTAAAACAAAAAATCAGTCTTGGTTTTTGAGTAGAATATGCAAAGGAGTCAAATAGCAAAAAACACATATCGAAGTGGTATTCCTCTTGTTACAATCTTCAACAAGTTTTGTTATTGGAAGTATTTAAAAACATTTGCTAAATTGGGTGATTTTTTTTCTTCTTTATTGCACTACAATATATCTGACTTTTCAAAAAACTGTGTGGCAATGATAAAATTGCAAGTCTTTCATATATTCGTCTACTGGCACCAACAATAAGTGAATTAAAGGGAAAATGTGGACTCAAAGGCAGTTTAATCTTTGGTCAACCGCAAATACAAAAGCTACAGATACCAAGATTCTACATACACTGTACAATGTAGTGTTGAAGCAGTATTAATCTCCTAATACATGCATGCCTTTGACTAAAAATAATACACGGGCTTTGTCGTAACATTAGCCTGTACAGTCACATTAAAGAGAGCCAGAAAGACTAATTGTTTTGTTTTCGTACAAAATGTCGTAAGCAATGATTTGTCACAATACCTAGTGGAGAATCCGTGTAACAAATTTATTCAAATAAGGACAAACAGTATTTTGTTTGTTGACTAAAATGACATTATATTATAAGACACAGTAGCACAGGTTGACTTCTTCAGGAGTCTCCCAAAAACAGAGCAGTGTGGGAGCTCTGAGGACAATGATGTATAAAAATGGCAGGATATCAGAAAAATGTTCACATAAGCAGAAATAGCTTCACACAGATGTCGTGGATAGTGGACTAGTTTCCATGGAGACACATAGATAGACTTTGGCAACCCTGATAGTTCCCCCATCCGCGGCCACAATTTAAGTTTTCTTCAAAATGGCCTATTTTCAGGACAGAAAGCAAACAGAAGACTCAGCCTTTAGCAAACAAGTGATGCAGGCGTGACTTTAAAGACAAACAGGATTCTGGACCATCACAATAGAGCGAATGATAAATATAATGTAAAGGCTCATTTTGTGTGCAAAATTCCATAATAATGTAAAATGATAGTCAAAAGTACAGTAATTGACAAGTGAGTCATTACTGTATAATGGTCTTGAACTGACTTGGATCTAAATGTAAACAATGTAATCCATGTATACGTCTGATGCATTCCAATGTGGATGCAATGTGGTTTTAGTGAAAATGGCAAATAAAAAGAGTCTGAATCATTTAGAGCACAAAGTTAAAGACCGTTGTGGCCATAGCAAATATCATTTGAAATATTCAGGGTTATTTTACATTTCAGCTTCTTGGAAGGGGGTGGTGAGCTACTGGCAGCTCCTGAACTATAGGTTGGAGTCCCTTGGTAAACAGTATATGGACAAGAAAATATTTGTGTCAATAGATCTAAGCTGTTCAACTTGGTTTGCCCATGGTCTCTAAACGTACATTACCAAAACACTCTAAACACAAAAACCATTTCATCTTTTCAATAAAGATTATTGAGTCTGATATAATTCGGTAAAATTGTTGTATTTGGAAGATGTAATTTAAGGTTGTTTAGTAAGTAAGTAAGTAAGTAAGTAAGTTTTTATTTATATACCGCCTTTTCACTGCAGATCTGAGTCTCAAAGCGGTTTACAATTGTTAATTTTGGGCATTTGTCTCTCACTCCACACAGAGATGGGAGCGGGGTCGCCAGTACAGGAAGCGCATGTCAGAACTATTGGACATATTTTTAGTGGTAGGGGAAACCGGAGTACCCGGAGGAAACCTACGCAGACACGGGGAGAACATGCAAACTCCACTCAGAAAGGCCCTGGTCCGACCGGGATTCGAACCCAGGACCTTCTTGCTGAGAGGCGAGAGTGCTATCCACTCAGCCACCGTACCGCCCGTTTAAAGGTTGAAGTTGCATTAGACCCATATGAAATGCATTGAAACATCTGTTACCATGTGGTTAAATGGCTAAATGTGCACATGTTTAAGGCAATAAATATTATATTACATTTCAAAATACTATTTTACAAACAAATCATTGTAAAAGTTGAACTGAAACGAATGACAGAATTTTCTTCATATTCTTTGTAGCTTATGTGTTTTTTAAAAAAAGTTATTCAAAACTTTTCCTTCACTTCTGCAAATGCCCATTCACAACAGGCATCACTGTTTTTTCAAACTCACGAGAAATGAGATCCTTTATCTTCTTGTAGCTAAAAGGTGGGCCCAGACCAGTGCAGCGCCTCCTGGAGTCCACATGGGGCATGTCCTCTTCATGTTCATTTGATGCATCCCCCACAGTTCATTTGTCTGTTTGAGTCGATATGAGGCGAGATGGTGTCGGGCACCACTGACTTCATGATGTCGTTCTCTGTGGCCATGATGTGTTTGACCAGGAAGTTAGCTGCGTCGTTTATGTTGAGGCTATCCTACAGTAGACACAACATACATGCGTCACAAAACAAGTACAACCCTCAAATTCATACATTGACAAAACTCTCCACTTTCAACACTACGAGAAATGAATACGTTCTGATAAGTACAAATCAACTATAAACCAGCGACAAAATAATCATACATTGCAAGAACCATACCTGCAAATACTTTGTGTAGCCATAACTTCAAAGGACGCTGTGATTTCCAGACGCGGATGTTATGACTACTTTTTTCTACTTTCTGATACAATTTAGGCAACATCAGCACAACCAGAGGAAGTTAGCTCAACAGAACTTGAAAAGCAGCTGGACCTAGTCACATTTGACCTCCGAGAATGTAGAGTGCTTATGCTATAGGGGTAGTGGCACATTTAGAATACACTAACAGCTCTCTGTCAGCATGGATGCATAAATAAAGCTTTAAATGTGTGTGTAATTACAAAAATATCTGAATTCTTTGGCTGTATTTTGACCAATGACACTTTAACATATGTAAAATATACCACCAAAGTAAAATATACTTTAAGCATTACAGACCTGACCCTGTGTTTTAAATATATTACACACACATATGACATTCCAGTGGCTTTTTTACCAGCATGAATTCAACTGCTTGTCTAAAGAACGTTTTATTGCATATAATGCAGCAATTCACACTGAAAACAGGAGCACTGTAATTTAACATTCTTTTAAGAGACCCTGAATTTAACTCTTCTGCAATTTGAGTGACAGAGCGACTTTCACTTCCCACGTATCACTTCATCTGTTTGCTCTGGACCATATTTGATTGACACGGACTCTACCCCACCTGACCACACAATCACCCACTATATAAATGGTTTTGTTTTGGTTTTATACAGAAACATATGGCGCTTATTAGTCATACCACCTTTGAACCTTGCAGTTTCTTAAGAATATGTCCCTTTTTTTCAATTCAATAACTGGTTTAAAACAGACAGAAATGGCTAAGTGTGTTGAAATTTCTTTTAAATAAAGCTTCAGATGGATTTGTATACGTTTCTATCTGACCATCTATTATCTGTTGCCAGGCAGCAGTCTGAGCAGAGACGCCCAGACCTCCATATACATGCACACTGACTCCAGCTTATCCATGGGAAGCGTCCCCAGACCAGTGGAGAGACAGTCCCTCCAGCATGGCCTGGGTCTGGTTAAAAGATTTCCTCCCATTGAGACTTGCCCGGAATAGCTCTCCAAAGATGACCCGCCAAAATGACAAAATATCGTTTGGGATGTTTAGCCTGATTATGATCACTTTTAACCAATCACACCGATCAAAAGATATTTGTGGTCTTACCTTTGCTGAAGTCTCAAACCACCCGACAAACCCGTGGTCTTTGCAGAATTGGTCCATTTTGATGCAGTTGTTGGTGAGTTCTCTGCCCTGGTCACACTTGTTTGCCAGGAGCACCGTGGCGATGCTCTGTCCATTTGCAAGCATGAGTTTAGAGTCAAGGTCCTCTTTCCACTTTATGACAGCTTCAAATGTTGTAGGCCGCGTCACATCAAACACTATGAAGGCCCCCATAGCTTCACGGTAGTAAACTCTGGTCATGTTGCCAAATCGCTCCTGCCCTGCAAGAAACATGTGATTAATATGATGATCACATAAGTATAACGAATGACCAAATTGGTTGCCTCATGCTGGACATGATAAGAACAGCTGACACTGTTGAGGCCTTAAGAATGCTGGTATTGCACTGAAACAACACATTCCTCAAATTTCACTGCCACATTGTTAAAGTTCTCAGATAAGGGTTTGTTCAAGACTTCACAAACGTTGAGGGGAAATTGAAATATCTTTCAGATTGAATAGGTTTCCATCGTGACAGTCACCTGTTTGTTCAGAGATGTCCACACAGGATACAGCCACTGGATCACTCATAAGTGCTATGATAGTCAAAGAGGAAGTTGCTCATGGTGAAAGACGTTGTGTATGACACATGTATTACTCATGACCTTTGCAAATGCTAAATATTGTGCTCATCATTAGGTTTCTACTTTGTATGATGAGCTAAAGAACCATGACTTTGCAGGTTCTCAGGTAAATTGGTCACTCACTTACTTGATTTAAGGCAGACACTTTGATCAGACATGTGTCTGTTTGTCCGTCCCTGTGGGTGACTAATTGTAAAGTGTTGTTTTATTTGCCCACAATGGCTCTTCTATGTCTTTCCTCTATTTGCCTCACATGCTCCAGTCACATGCTGATGCACCATACCTTTAATGAATGACAGAATGACAGCATGCCCACCTCTGCTCACATAAGGAGGACAGGGCCTGCACTTCTGCAGTGACTTGGCACATGTTTAAAGTGGGACTATTTATAAAACTTCACAGTGGTCGCGTTTGACAATTCCCCAAGACATTTCTATGAAATTCTTTCTATAAACCACCTTTTTAAAGTGTTTTTTTTTTTTCATCGTCTTTATGATTTTTATAAATAATCTAATGAAGGAGGTGGGGTATGAAAATATTCACTCTGATTAAAGTAAATGTAATACTTATGTAAAAGTATGACAGTACAGGCTTCTGTACATTAGACAGTAATTAAAAACGTAACGACTGCCTTCGAAACACAACTCTGTGCTGTTATAGAAAGGTGTCACACTGGCAGAGAATAGGACAATACACAAAACATGTAGAATTTAAGCTTAATGGTAATATGAATATAGAAGCGCAGGAAACCTCAACAAATCACAACTAATTAAGAAGCAGGGCTAACCACTTAAAACTTGTGTTGTCATCTAAAGGAATTCTAAAATGCAAGAAATAAGAAAGTACAGACATTTAAAGTGAAAAAAGAGTGAAAAGAGTAAAAGTCAAAAAGTTGTCAGAAATATGATTAGTAACGTGTTGACACCAGGAGAAAACATACAGTGGGCCTCAATACTTGCAGAATACAGTTTCTCCTCCTCCAACTCAGCAAACTAGTACAAGGAAAAGGCCACATGAGTCCGGAGCCCACCTGCGATGTCCCACAGCTGTAGTCTGATGGTCTCTGAGTCCCAGTTCAGAACCTTGAGTGCAAAGTCCACGCCGATCGTGGCTCTGTAGTTGGTGGAGTAGGTCTGGTGCACGTAGCGGCGGATGATGGAGGTCTTCCCGACCCCCAGGTCCCCGATGACAAGCACTTTGTACAGGTGCTCTTTCCGCATACTCTGCATTCCGTTGGACGGCGTGTAGTGATGGTTCATGTCCCCGCTGTGCGTCAGCTGATCCCCCTGCTCTGGTCTGGAGCGGGTCTGGACTTGGTCTTGGGTGTATCTCGCAATGGGATGTGCGTGCCTGGCGCGGGGCTGGACCAGGGGCAGGACTGGAGACTTGTGACCTCCTCAGCACGCTCACTTCTGTCTGAGCGACAGTGGAAGCACGTCTGAACCACGTCTGAACCACGTCACCAGTCTTCAGAGAGTCTGTTTACACTTGTCACGTGTCTATGCCCCAGACTGAAGTTTCTCAAAAGTGGAACTAAATAAAACCAGCTCACAGCCCATTTTCCTCAAAGCGATCAGAGAATTCAAATGGAATCTGTTTTAGGTCCTTCATTGCGAAGATGAGGCCCTGTAGGTTTGGCATCTGATTTTAAGAGGGAACAATATTTGCGCAGAGAAAGTTCATACTTCAAAGTCTTCCTATAATTTTAAGGAGGGGAGCTGGTATCTTAAAAAAAAATGTGGTGACTTTAATAAAGTAAAAATGTTAAGGCGGAATACATATATAGGTCTTTAGAACGTGAATACAATTGTTTTACTTTTTGTATTTGAGTTCTTAGTCCAGTACTCAGGTCCCTGGCCTGGCTTCTTGTGGCTCAGATAATAGACCTCAAAGCAGCTCAGCTTATGTTCAAGTCTCGCCAGGGCCTCACGGAAAAGTACATCTGTGCTTTTCCGTGTGCCATATGAACCAACTCGGACTCTGGGGAAGCAGGGACTGGCTTCCTACTTATTTATTTTATGTTTTTTTATTGATATACTTGTGGTGGTAGGCCCCTTGAGCCGCTGGTAGCCTATCGCGTACCGCCTCACCCTTTAATAGGTAGTTAGCGCACCTGCGCTCCCTCTTGCCTCTGACGTCACCCACTGCCTGGGAGCTTGCAGCAGCATGAGCTGGAGCCTCGCCAGATCTGTATTTCACAATTGAATCCAGCATCACTTGCTCTTCAGTGAGTACTTGCGTTTATTCAATAAAGTGGTGTTACTTAGTGATGGGTTGATGAAGCTTCATGAAGTGTTGAACCTTTTCATCCATTGGTTCGAGAAAAGGTTCATTTCTTGATGCTTCATATGCTCACAAACCTCCTGTTGGTCAAAATCTGTATTGACAATTGAACTGTTTGTGAGGCTCTTGGTGCATAGGAATTAATACTAGTAACAGAAATAAAAATGTAATTTGATTGTGTATGACCCATTAATTCATCTGTTTCATTATGATCAATATCAGTAGTGAAAATGAATATATTTTAAATGACAATAAAATATAATGTACTGGTACAGTTGTCTGCTCTAATACACACACACACACACACACACACACACATACATATATGTAGATATATATTTATATACATATTTAATGATGAATGATTATAGCTTTTCAAGTCAAAATCAATGTTATAAATCCAATGGGACAAAAGACATGTTGAAAGTGTAAGTGCTTTTCAAAGGACGTGACACAAATGGGGATATCATCTGGGATTGTGACCCCATCAGTTGTTTAAAACCAAAACATTTCTGACAAAATTCTTTCACGTGTACCTGCTTCCCTACCAATTGAGCCAACCAGCTGATATCACGCCCTCTCCATCACTGACTACATTAATTACCAAGACAAACACACAGTTTGAGCGGATCTTCTGCAGTACTTCATGAATCGCTCCATTTCCTGTGCTCCCGAGGCTTCAAACGTCATTAGTGACGTCACTCATCTAAAACAACTCAGGCTTCGGCCCGCGCTCCGATAAAAACTTCAGGGATTTCTCGGCTCACGCCCCGAAGCGCCGACGCGGCACGACCCATCACTAGTGTTACTGTGGTGGACTAAAATGCTCCATTTCCCTAGTTCGCATTACACAGTGCAACGTATGGCTTGGCTCTAATCTCGTGGCTCATGCTGCAGGCCACTCCACCAAACAGCCCCGGTAAGCTGCCCTGTGTGCACAATATCAACTTTTGAGTCCTTTCTAACTTGCGCTGGTTACAGTGCGCAGCGTCAGGCAAGTGCTTACGCACAACAGGTGCACCAGCCTGTGGCACTGTGGCTGTGCTCAACTCCGGTAAGGCCTTCCTCTGTTAATTATTTCATCGGATTTATTTAATTACCCTATTTATTACTCTTTAGTTTGGCTTCGGGTCAAACCCTTCCAATGGTCTGTAAGTTGCAGCACGGTGCCACTGAAGCATTTTAATTTGGGTAAGTGCCTGGGAAATATGTTTTCTTGGACTGCTGCATGTTTCCACCCCAATGCAGGATTTAATCACCGAAATTTCTAACTTTTAGGACCGTATTCCAAGCGGGTCTCTCCTTCACCCTCTTCATCCGCTCCTCTCCTCTCCCATTTGAGCCAGCGGCTGGTACTGGCCAGAGTGCACCCAGTCCGCGGGCCCCTGTCCTCTCAACGGTTGACTTGACTCGGACTGGACTAGGACTCGGACGGGACTGGGACTCGGACGGACCGGACAGCTGCCGAGCTATACCAGCGTGCCAGTCACTGTGCGGACCAGCGCGAGCCTCCGGTAGGACAGTAGATGGTGGGAGTTTGCATTTGGGGATGATGTTTTGAATGTTTTATGTATTTTGGGATAATGTGATAACGTTTTGGGAGATCTTGGACTAATGTTATTAATTAAATAATTGTGTAGAGCTCATTTTAAAAGAACCAAAACCTTTTTCGTAAAAGTGTATCTCCAACGTTATTGTGAATAAATTGAATCATTTTCTTATCTGCGTCTCTTGGTCCACTCAATCACGGACGTGTGCGTCCTTGTGAGTTTCCCTATTAAAATATAGGGTGGCGTTGCTATTTTTCAAGAATCAGTGGTTAAAATCATTAGTTGGAGGTATTAACTGTAACCCGGCCACTACATACTGATTTTCAATACAATATGTTTCATATGTATGTACACTGTTTTTATATAATTGTCTGGTTTCAATTGACTGGTATTGGTTTGCTTGTGAATCAGTATGAATTGTGTTTTATAAATACATTTGATTTATTGATTGAGTTCAAAATGGTCCTGATTAATCCCAGAATGATTGATTTGACTGAAAATAATACATCAGGTCAAATGCAACTGTATTTTGATATTTCCAGGAGTTTGATGGTTGGTTGTCAAAAATGCTGAGGGAATGTAACTTGTTGAATGTAATTTGGCTTCTATGTTTGTCGGTATTTAAATTTGGGGCGACAGTGGCACAGTTGGTAGAGCATTGGCCTTTGAGCCTGAAGGTCGTGGGTTCAAGCCCACCACAAGACTTTCTCCACTGACTCCCACTGATGTCTGCTGTCGTTACGTCCTTAACCTCTGGGAACACCAGCCACAGTGGGGCGGCTGCGGCTGTAAAGTGCCAAACTGCTGTTGTGTCTTTAGGCAAGACACTTCACTCCCATTGCCTAGAATGAGTCTGGTGTGTGTGAATGGTTGGTGGTGGTCAAAGGGGCCGATGACACATACTGGTTGCCTTGCTTCTGTCCCAGCATGTCCCAGTGTGCCCCAGGGCAGCTGAGGCTACAGTAGTGATTTATTACCACTGTGTATGGAGTGAATGATGTGAAGCATGTTTGAGTGTCCAAAAAAGCGCTGTATAAAACTGATGTATTATTATATGGTTTTGATTGACCATCCTCAGAAGTTAATAAGAATGCCTACATTTATTGGTCCATTACTATAAAAACAGGGTATCACATAATTATCACAATATTTGCAAATGTACAGCAGCTCAAAGTGTTAACCAAACATCAGTGAAAAAGACCATATAAAATGACTGTCTCTCATTCTTAGAAATATTCATTATTAAATATAAACACACAACAGCTGCAAATTACACCATAGTCACACAATCTCTGCGCTATGGAGCCAAACATTCATGTGCATTAACTTAACTTTACAAATGTTACTGAAAAAGTGTAAACAGCAATAGCATCATGCAAAAATGAAACATCACAAAAAATTGTTTTGGTCCACTTTCTACATTCAGGTCACACATGTTCTGTTTATAACGTCCAAAGGGTTTTCAGCAAGATAAGAAATGCTCAGGGAGGAAAAAAGTCTTTCATTGAGTCCCAAAGAAATAAAAATGGATATGCCAAAATATTAATCGATTTAAACTGTTTTAAAAACATCGAACCTGGTCAAAATAGAGATGAAGGTTAGTCTAAATTTATCTTGTCCTGAAATGATTAACCCAATGCTTTTTTCTCCCATTGTTCTTAGTTTACCATTGTTGGTATATTGTTAGTTTACCATTGCTGGTATTGTTCACTCCAGATATTTTTGGTGTAAATTGTTGTTACAATGTAATAATCATATGTTACCTGTGGTAACACCACCGTCATATAACACTATAAAATCCTTGTATAAAATAGTAGTGGCGCTTAACTCATCAATCACTGATTGGGGAATTGGGGTGGGACTAAAAAAGTTATCTTCTTTCTGGCAGAATCAAGTATCATGTTTACATGCATTATACAGTGTACATTAACTTTCTGTCCTTATCTTTTTGCGCTATATGACATAAATATATACCCTGTACTTATCTGTTCCATTGCCTGAAATAAATGAATGAATGAAATGATATTATGCACAAAGGATATTGAGATGAATCTCTAAAATGCAATACTTGACCTGTAAATGTTGCGTTTATATAAATAAAGCTAGACTAGGCATCTCCAAACATCCACAGAGAGCTACTTTTCCAAAACAATAATGTTTCTATATCTTTAAGGTAAATGAATAATGGCATAGGACTCCTGTGAAAAAAAAAGTTTGTAATCTCAATGGGACTTTCCTGGTTAAATAAAAAAAGATAAATGTTATTATTGATGGGGCTTAGTTACATGCCTTTTAAAAACATCTTTCCAGTGTACAAAGTCAGACCTTTTAGGTAAACATCAGAGGATTGTATTTAATCAAATTATAATGATCATCAGTGCATCATTCCAAAAATATTTTAAAAAGAGGTGGATACAGACTCCTGAGCGTGGGCGAGTTGCACTAGTAGATGCCCATATTGTATAGATCACAACACGTCCTGGTATCTGAAATCTTGCAGCGGAAATGCCTCAAAGTGAAGAGGAGCTCTGACTGTAGTGCCTGAGCAGCAGCTGATCGTACTCGTCAGATGGGGGCGACGTAGAGGAGGGCGAGCTGCTGTTGGACCCCAGGGAGGAGTCTCTGAACGGGGATGGAGGGGTGCAAAGTGCTGCCAGATCCTCCCTGTCCTTCCCCCGCCTCACTCCAGACCCGCTCAAATACACCATATCCACCGAACGATTCTCGCAAAAGCTGGGCACCGCGGTCACCTCGGCGTACGTGGTTATGGTGCTCTTCGGTGCGATGTATTGCTGGGCTGGACATGGGCTCGTATCTCCAGGTGTGGGCAGGGGACTGTTGGAGCTGATGGTACCGACTCCAGGTAGCATCATGGTGTTGAGCTCACTGATGTTGGCGGTGAAACGGTTCACCACGCAGCTGATTTGGTCCATTATAGTGATGCCTTGAACGTGGCCGCTGATCATTCCTATTCCAATCTCCCCAACTCCAATGGCGCTGATGTCTGCACAGTCTCCTAAATCACTGCTCTGGCTCTCAACTCGTCTTCTCATTGAGTGATCGGGCATGTACGCAGTCAGAGCTTCTTCCACGGCCTCCTCTGGAAAGCTTCTCCCCTTTGCACCTTGCTGGTTGACTAAAGGCGACTGAGATGGGGAACAGTTGAACATTTGAGGCTCGATGGGATCTTCATAGTTCTGTATTACACCAGGGTCAGCAGAGGAGTTTTCTTTAGAAAAGGGTTTGATAATGGCAGTCTGGTTGGTTTCTATAGGATCCTTCTTCTTAACGTGGAAAGACATACGTTTCCACAAATTTGGTCGGTAGCTTCGCTCATTCTGTGCCCAAGAGACGGATTTTCCATTGGAGCTGTAAAGAAAAGGTTACAGTTTACACACATATCACCTGCCAACAATGTTATTGTTAGGAGAGAATTTCAAACAAAGCATGAAGATAATAAGGACAACATGTAATGGTTACTTCATGATATCAGTAGCACTGTGTGTCTACCATCCCCAGACTTTTCTTTCTTTTATCTTCCCTCGAAAGAGAAATCTTTAAAGGAAGGACTCCTCTGGGAGTGACTAACCCAAATGAAGAAGTCTTTTCTCAGTTAATAAGCCCTTGATCTCAGCCCTGTCATCTGCCTCTTCATATGGATTTGAATTGACAACTGATGTTTCTTACATACACACAATTTAAATCTTATTATCAATCATAACTAGTCAACTGATACATTAATAAACAGAGTAATTTGTTTCAAACACAGTCAATAGTTTCTACCCTTATGAAAAGAAAGGTGGTTGGTTTTAATTGAATTGTCCTTTTGCAGATGTAAAAGCAAAATTGAAACAGAAAAATTGCTACAATGATTCATATGTTTTTCCTGTCCATGATTGGCAGCCTTCCCATGCATTATTCATCTTTTCATTGCTTTCCTGCAAATCTAGGAGTGAGCCGAGATGTGAGAGTGCTATCCTGCCACTCAACCACTGCACCACAAATTACATGAGCTGATGTGGACAGGTAAGAAATCTCGACATAATCATTTCATTACCTGAAAAGGACCACACGTGTCTATGTATTCTGTGAGTGGTTATGTTATGGATGATTAGTCCACGTAATTATCATGTTCTCGTACCTGATGCATTCCTGTCCAGAAGCACGTCTGCGGAAGAGGTTGGCCATGCTGCTGGATGACTTTCCTGCTTTCGTAGACTTTTTGGCGTCTCCCACATGCATCCGCACGACCGTGGAAGTGGTGAACGCACTGCGCACGTTCTTCTCAGGTTTGGCCAGCATGATGTAAACCTGGAAGAACCCATGACTTTACATATACACAGTCTATAGACTGTATATTAATGATAACATCAACACTATGCAGATAAACACTCACCTTTGGTACAAACATGCAGCAGAGAGCTACAGTGGCACTGAGACTGACACTGAAGCACATTGTGATGATCTTGTAGTTTGAGCCAAAGTAAATGGGAACAAAGGCCAGCCAGATGATGCATGTGGTGTACATGGTGAAGGCTATGTATTTGGCTTCATTGAAGTTGGCAGGAACATTGCGGGTCTGGTGGGAAAAAAGAACAAGGCAATAATGGGCTAAATACATGTTTGGGGTTTTTGCACATGCTACAAAAAACAAAAACAAATGCTCTCCATATAATAACAACCAACATAGTTCAAACAACTTCAGTTTATTTTTGTGATGTATTTTTTATCTGAACCTCGTGTCTAAAATAAAGTGTAAAAATAATGATAGTAATTGCTTGTTTTGATCATCACAAACATCATCACAAAATCACATGCACTTTTGTGTTTAGTTCAGTATTTCCATAAATACACAGACATTTAATGATTGCAATATCCAGAAAATTATGTTTGGTCAAATATTTACCTTAAAGGCATAGAAAGTGCAGCTGAGGATGAGAAGACCATTGTAGCCCAGAGGTGCCACCACCCCCAGAGTGGTGAGGTTACAGATGAGGTGCACCTCACGGATACTCGGATAGTCATAGATAACCTGAAACAAATGTCATTTATAAATGTGTGTCTTTTCCACAATCCATGTCTAATGCCACTTTCACGTGTGTGTTGGGCAGTTTGGATGGGTAATAAGGTGGTTTATATGTATGACAAACAACACGCCCTGTAGGTGGTTGTGCATTCTGAGATAGAAGTTTGAACAGTACACTGCAAAAAGTAATGAAAAATAAATCAAAAATTGCTCAAATTTGGGAAAAATGAATCTTATTTTGAGCACATTACGACTTCTGAATTGTTTGAATCAGGTCTTTTTATCTTAATTTGAGCACATTCTGACTGTCTTAAAACAAGATTTTCCAATGGGAGAAGCAAAATTATCTCGTTTTTAAAAGATGCAAGAAATGTTTCCCTTGGAATGAGAAAATAAAGCAACAGCTCTTGAAAGAAGACTAAACTACTTGTCCCATTGCCAAATTTTGTTTTGAGACAGATTCAAATAATTACTACTTCATATTTGATCATTTTTGGCAGTGTAAAGCCAACTGTTAAATTCATACAAAATATATTAGAATCTATTCGCCAAATCACACCACATCACAACACATCACAACATGGATCATCCAGGCTGCCTCTAGAACCCACATTTCTGCGTCTCCACATGAAAGCAGCATAAATACAGTACATCCATGTTTTGTCCACTGCTCAGACCTGCGGCGGCTCGATGATGAGCAGAGCCACGATGATGCCGAGCTGCAGGAGGATGAGGGCGAAGGCGATGACAAGCTGAGCGCACGCTGACATGAAGCGCGGTTTCTTGGTGCAGATCTTCTTCTTGCTGCCGGCCAGGATCCGTGCAATACGGTTGGTCTGTGACAAATTAAAAAATCTGTATATACATTAAATCTGTATCTACACATACCAAGCATTATCCAGAGCTCTGACATTTTCTGTTTTCAGATCGTGCAGAGATGCTTCAGCCCACGTTAAAAAAGCACAACCTTCTATAGGGGATTTAACCCTCACACCCACAGAAGACATTATTATTAGAATTATTTCTTTTTAATTTACACTGTATTAAAGCTGGGGTACCTAACTTTCAAACCTTATAAACCATGTAGCAAGACCTATCTCTCTTGGATAGTTCTATCATTAGATTTTACACGTATTTTGGCCTCTGTTGTTTCTTTAGATCAGCTTCTTCAGAAAGAAAAGCGAAAAAGACAAGTCCAGCCCTCTCAGTTTCAATTCTTTCTCAGCAAAGCATAAAATACTGATCCACAGGGTTCTTTCTTGATAACATGTTTGGACTGATTTGTTCAAACGTTTAAAAATACTTCTGGTGGGAACATACAGTCATGAGAAAAAGAACCATGTAATCCCAGATTTGATGCAGTTATTTAGTTCATAAATAAATAATTCATAATACTAAATCATCTCTTATGGTGCTACAGTACTCGTCAAATTTTCATAGATGCTGTTTCGTAATAAGTACATTATTGATTGCGATGTAATTCTGTATTTTGTTAGCAGTCCTGTTCTGTTTTATCAGCATAACAATCTTCCTATTAGTCTCAAACCTTGGTAACAAGAGCAGAGTAGCTCATGGCAGGAGAGAGCCCGATGCCCAGCCTTTGGAGGTAGCAGTAGATAATGTGAGGTTTTGCGATCAGGCTGAAAGTGCACAAGTATCCCAGGCATATTCCAGCTAAGATGATATAACACAGCTCGCGACTGGACGACTTCACAACAGGAGTATCCCAAAACCTATTACGGAAAACAAGTCACATACACATACATTATTTGTACATGAAAATAACTGCATAAATATAATAGTTTTGAGAAAAATGGCTTTACTTTACAAATACGGATGTGACAAAAAGTGTGGCCAAGAGTCCCAAACAGGCGAACACAACAGCAGCGATGGGCTCCGGCTCTCCCCACTGAAGATAGTGCACTGGAATTGGCTCACAACCTGCACAATGAAAATGTTTTTTTGTAAACTAGGATAGGGTTGGAATGTGGACTATTTAAAGCTGGGGTACCCAACTTTTTGCTTCATAAAAAAGTCATGGTGTTTGTCTCAACAGAAATGTCGTGAAATGCGAACCAATCATACCACTTCATCTTCACACTAGCTGAGAGCAGGGAACTACTTTAGATGCATTTCCTTCTATAGTTCCACTGTTGTAGTTTGGAGGTTAGGTACCCCAGCTTTAAATAATTCATTTGTATGTTTTTTTTTGTTGTTTAAAAAAAAAAAAAAAGATCTACTGCAGGGGTCTCCAACCTTTTTCGATTGGAGAGCTACTTTTATAAAACAGAAATGGGCTACTCCTTTTAGCGGTCGTAATACAATTGTAGTCTATAAAATCAGTACAAAAAAATCATGGAAAAAGCACATGTAGAATACACCAGAACAGTACAGTATCCCTGCATTAATGAAAAGATGTATAATTAAAATAGTTACGTATTGACTTGTGTTAAATACTTGATTCTTTTGGGGAGCTACTGGCGAGCTTCTAGATCCCGAGCCACAGGTTGGAGACCCCTGATCTACTGTATACTGCATTTGTATCTTATTGATGTATATCTAGGATGGTACAAATTAATGAATGTGTCGGCAAACAGCCTCAACAAAAATATGGTGTAATTAGCAGACAGTACAGTATTAGTAGACAACAGTACGAACAATAACTGTATCGCAAAGTCTAATAGATTCCTGTGCTATTGTATCCACAACAGCTACATTCAAAAATCACATTTCCCAACTGTACTTCTTCCCCACAAACGATAAGACTCATTATCTGGCAACATTTCAACTGGTTGGCAATTGTCAGTGTGGTCGTTTATGTAACATGCAGCAAGATCCAAGACGGTGTGACCTACTTAAAAATCTTATTTGTCTGGATTTGTCAGTCGCATCTGGTTGTGGTGTTGAGTTTTTTTACCTGTCAGGTCATTGGTGGGCCAGAACCCCAGGGTGCAGGCCTGACAAGTGTATTCGTCAAACACAAACTCGTTCTCCTTACAGGGAGTACAGGTCCAGCAGCAGCTCACTTCTCCTTTACGGATTACCTAAATCCACATGCAAACACACAAACACACAAACACACAAACACACAAACACACACACACACACACACACACACACACACACACACACACACACACACACACACACACACACACACACACACACACACACACACACACACACACACACACACACACACACACACACACACACACACACACACACACACACACACACACACACACACACACACACATAGAGAGGGCTCAAACCTCTGAAGACACTGTGCAGTAGCTAATCTAAAACTTTGACTTTGTAGATGGCCCATTAGCTTTTCTCTGTCAAGGGAAATACTGACACCTGTATTCTACTGAATGAGATAAAAGAACCTTTCTTCTTCCCATCGTGGCCACATTTCAGTATTAGTCTGTCTGTCTGTCTATGAATCTGTCTGTATGTCTGTCAAAAACTATTAACTATTATTTTACAGTAATAAGGTGAATATGTTAAAATGCCACACCAGTACTTACACGCTTTTCAAGAGCTCAGCAGGCATTCAAACTCAGGCCCCTGATGATATTCAATTATTATTAACTTTCAACATTTATGGCAATGAGCTGCTATGGCATGTTATACATCATTTTTAACCATATACTGTATGTTATTCATTTGTTGTTACACTGTACATTTTAACTCAAAGCATAATTGTAGATTAAATAGTTGTATATAATTGGCCCATCAAATACACCTAATCTTTATATTTGGTCTTTATATAACTGTACAACCTATTAGAAAAGATTGTCCAATTTTGTATCAAATAAAGTGTATTTGTCACAATACCATCGTGATGTAAAATAAATAAATACAATAAAATACACCAACCAGCTCTATTTTTTTGGCCCTGACCAGAATGAGTTTGACACATTTCAGATACATAATTTTTAAGTACAGGTGTGAATAGTTTATCTCAGCCATTCCCAAACTCAGTAACACCGAGGCCCCCTTAAAAATCTGACGGGTCTGCGTGGCCCCCCAAAATAATAACCAAGAAGACAACATTAAGAATAGGCTCTTCTGGTTATTTTATTTTGGGGAAATCGCCTCTGCTACAAACATTGTAATACAAAAATGATTACAGTGGATTATTCAAGTCAAATAATGAACACAAATATTTTAATATTACAAACAAAACATTATAAATTTAACATTAAATAATTATATATATTTTTTATTTTTTTTATGACCTCCCGCGGCCCCCCTGCAGTACCCTCGCGGCCCACCAGGGGGCCGCGGACCCCACTTTGGGAGACACTGGTTTATCTAAATATCTTTTAGAAAGCTATACTTTTTTTTCCCCATAGAGAAATTTGTACCCTTCAATTGGCCCATCCTTCAATGCAACTAGAGCAACCTGTCAGGAGCAGAGGTCCCCACAGTGCAGCTTCTGGGGACCCATCTCCAGATGTTGATGCTGGGGTTGACATAATCTACTGGAGCAGAGACTTTTACCTAAGGTTTATGTTTTGGGTGGTGAGGAAACTGGAGAATCAAAGTGCTCATGCTGTGTAAGTACTAAGAGTGTTGTCCTAGTTTGGGATGCCATGTGGGCAATTAAACACTACAGCTGCAGTTTGAAAATGAATACAAAAAAGAAAAAGTAGAGCTGAAACTTCCATATTGTTATTTCATGTGGCTTTGACTCTTGAGGATCACTTACTTTGATCTGTCCTTTCTGGCACGGCTCAGAGCAGAGGGACTGGATAATTTCACTGTTATTGCTCCAAATTTCCTCATCGTTCATCTGGAGTCCTCCCTGGTCCCAGCTGCCCACGTGGATATACGCATACTCTTCTTCTCCAATCAGCTTAAAGTTCATGATTTCATACCTGCATCATTTACACAGAAAAATTATTACAGATTATAAACCTGTTATTTGATCAGATAAATATTACATCTATCTTTTCTGACCGTCCAGGCGAGTCTCCATTCTGGTCAAAGTGAATTATCTCTCCAGTAACACCAGTGAAGTTTGTTTTCATGAGAAAATCTAACAGCTTCCCACCGTCAATCGGTCGCATGTTCTCACACAAACCCTAAACAAAACATGAATAAGGTTTTTATATTAGAGTAATTACTGTAGCTCTGGAGATACATTTTGTGATATGAACTAATGATACATGAGGTTATGAGGTTGTTATCTTATGCCATGAGACGTTATGGGAGTAAACAACAACCCAAATATAATTTATCAAACCATTTATTTCTACATTACCTTATACCCAGGACAGAGGGACTGCTGCATGGTGTGCAGACCATAGGCCATGGAGTATATTGCGTTTATCACAAAGCCCATCTTTGAGTCTTGGGCATAGTGTTGGCGCAAAGATTCTCTCCCTTTATTGGAAAGAAACACAGTTTGTTATTAGATTTTAGGGAGGGATTCATTACGATTAAATATGATTAAAGATTCAGAAAAAAATAAAGGGACACTATATGGACTGCCACCTGCTGGTCTGTTGTAAGTAGAAATAGGAGGTTCTAATGGATTTTTTGCAGATGCTCAGTTCTGGATAGCTTCTTTATACTCTATCAATATCTAGTAGGATTTGAGGGGTGCAGATACATGTCTCATTCCATTATACACATTAAACAATATAGGTCTTACTTGTAACTTGCCAATGCTCTACCTTCATTTACAGTTAGTAGGTTTAGTACCAGACTGTGGGACCATAGACTGCGGGATATTTTTGGCAAACCCCTCTTTGGAGACAAAAAAGTGGCAGACCCCCAGCAGAAATGACACTAGAACTCCCAGAGCAGTCAAATTGACAGCTTTTAGTTTTGGGTCAGAATAATCAGCTCATGTCTGATCTTCCTAACGTTGTGACATGTTCTATGTATGTAGTTTATTTCTAAGTAATTATAAAATCGTCTTTTATTTTTCTCTCTTTTTACCTCAAGGGCAGCCATTTCTACTGCTCCATTCATTCAAATGTACACTTCAAAATGATCCATTTTTGGTTGCCTGGCAACCAAAATTGTATTCATTAGCCCTATTCGGACGGGAATAGTTTTACCTGTGGACCCCTGGTAATTTGTGATAATCACGGAGGAGGTCTGAGATCTTAGTCCCGTGCGAATGCGTCATGTCTGTAATTTGGAAAGTAATAATTCCGCCACAAATGACCTCCTGTATTTGTCCAAAGACAGACATCCTCTAATACTAATAAAGTTCTTAGATGCTGGTCCTGGTCTGGTTCTGAGCTGAGCTTGGTTTTTCATCAGAAAAGAGAAAGTGCTAGTAACACACTGTTTACATGGCAGTTGTTAGTATTTGGTAGCCCTTCAGCTGTTTTTTTCCAGTTATATTGGCACTTATCAAAATTGAGTACATGTAAGAACATTATCTATGACTTACTTTTAATAAAAGTTCGGGAAAACAAACTCACTGTTTTACATTTTTCAAAGGACTGCTCTGGGAGAAGTTGCAGAACTCTGTGACTCTGTGACTCTAGTGTTAATGTGAACAGCGCAGGTGAACACTGACATGTGCAGGTGCGGTTGTACATGGTGTTCTCCTGCGGGTGTCCTCTCAGCCTGCACTGGAACCGGTGCTGCCAGAACTCAGGGAACCAGGGGTTTCTGTAGTTGTTGTCTGGTTTTAGATTGAGGTAATAGTCATCAAACCAGGTCACATGGGCAGACTTCAGCTTTATGGTGATGCCTCCTGCAGCCTCTCTCTCATAACCATCAGTCACATCGTACCGATCTGCCCACCCATCACTGCAAAGAGCAAGGACGTATTATTGAGCAAGCTATTTGTGTTCTTGTCAACAAACCGTAGGCACCGAGCGTCTCTTTGTGATGAATCGTCCTATAAACCCTACTATTGTGCAATCTTGCTTCTCATAGAAAAATACTGTAAACTATTAAGATTAAGAGATTCTTTATTTGTCCCACAGTGGGGAAATTTCAGTGTTGCATCACCGGTGACAGAACAGTAGGAATGATGAGCTTGCAACAATCATATTTTATTCTATTTTTCACTCCATACACAGTGGTGATAAATTACAACTGTAGCCACAGCTGCCCTGGGGCACACTGACAGAAGCGAGGCAACCCCCTTCGACCACCGCCAGCCATTCACACAGACACCTGACTAATTCTAGGCAATGTGGGTGAAGTGTCTTGCCTACGGACACAATAACAGTTTGGCACTTTGCAGCTGCAGCCACCCCACTGTCGCTCATGGTGTCCAGAGGTCTCCCATCACATTACTAACCAGGCCCTGGCCAGCTTAGCTTAAGAGGTCAATAACTCAAAACAGAATAAAATCCCTAGCTTTCACACAATAAAAAAGCAAATCTGTAATCTCTTTAAACTTTAGCCCAATGAAGAAGCAAAAATTAAGTATAAAATGTCTGAATTTAGCATCATAAGAATGAAGTATAAAGCCTCCAGTCACCAGTTTTCAGAACCAACATTGTTTCCAGATTTCTAACTCGACAAAACTGTTTTATTTTTTTGACATTGACCGCCACGGCAGATTGGAAAGACGAAAAAAGCAGCCGTGAAGAAGCTGCTCCTGTTACGCAGTCTTCACAATGCGCCGCTTGTCAAAGTCTCATCCTTGCACTTTCCATTTCTTGCTTTGACGACAAGATGTTCACTTGCTATGTAACAGATTCCACCCACAAACAGGTGCCTCCACGAAGACTCCAATTCCATTTCACCTGTCAGCGCACATCTACATTATCGCTGTTTGATGTTTGTTAGTGAGCTCTAAGCAGGTGTTTGAATCTATCAAGATGGAAGCGGCTCGCAACTCCACAAACGAGGAAAAAAAAAGCGTGTGTCAATCCAACACTTTCTCATTTCTTTGTGCCAAAATAAAAAGCAAGAAAATATCGTCTTAAACTTAGCAAACTGCGCCGCCGTTACACAACTGCTGAGTGGGCGTCGTATGTGATTCTTGTTTCTCTGGGTGAAGCAGGAGATCGTTTCATAACACATCCTTGAAGCAGCACAGAAATAACACTGGCATAAAAGGTATAGCTGGATCTGAAAGGAAAGGCTTTGACTCTGATAGTTTGAATCACTCTTGAAACAGAGTTGCGTTTCCCACGCAGTGACCAAGCAAGCAGGGAGAAGTGCGCAGCAGGTCCTATGCCTCCTACTGCTGACGACGCCCGGCTACTGCGCACTCACACTGCCATCACCGCTATTTCAGCAGGGGCTCGTTTCTCTCCATGCGCACTGAGGCCACTTTAGTCCAGCAACACTGTGGAGAGGCCATTATGTAATTTTCAACAGCTATTAAGAATGAGATCTGTAACAAAGGTCTCGTATCCATGGCTAAAAATATGCCATAGAATTGAAACACTGCCCTGAACCTCTTCATCCCACTACTTGTTTATGTTATTATAGACACAATGGAAATGTGTATAGTTTTTTATGGTTTAACTCCAAACAAAATGGATTTCATTCACATAATCATCTGTTATCTATGTATTTGTATATTTATTAAATTGGGACAGTGTATATCAATTAACATTCATTCATCCTGGACATATTTTCGGGTTAAACCGGAGCACCCAGAGGAAACCTACGCAGACACAAAGAGAACATGCAAAACGCACACAGAAAGTATGATGAGGATTTCCTTTTTAGACAATACTAATTATATAATAAAGTGTTATTACTAGATTCTAGTTTTATGGTACATATCCTGTGTTTGCTGTTTGTTGATTATCTGATCCGTTTTTGGAGAATCGAGAATTTTGTCAAATCATTGCGAGACGATTGGTGTTGTAAGTTTGGGCTATGAAAAAGTACATTTCATTGGAACTATTCAAAAATATCCATTCAAACCAAATAATCCATGGTGTGCTGTAAAAAGCAGCTTCTAGAGAGATAGACCACACTCTAACCACTGTGTAAGACATTGATATGTGAATGAATTACAATCAGTGAGTGTGAGAAATTGACTTCACACTAATAAAACGGTTGATCATCAAAACTGAGAGATCTGCAAAAAAAGCAAAATGTGCCCAATGCATAAACATGGCTTGTTATTGTATGCAAACATAGTCTACAATGCAACACACAATCAAATGACTTGACACAAACACATTACTGCTGCCAGTGGGTTAAAAATACCCCGTTGTTAATGAACCATCTCCTCTGCATGGTAACGCTGTGTGTCAGTTTTGCCGTATGTAGTTCAAGGTTACTTTATGTTACTGTCAAGCTTGAGTGACAGCCTACATATGTGGCTCTTAATGAGGAAAGGCATTTATAGAACATGAGGGTATGAGAGCGAGCCGCGGCAAAAACCTTAAAATAAATCCTGGTATTCTTGGAAGATGAATCTTCTCCAGCCAAATGATGCCAACTTTATTTGCGTCTGCTTTAATTGCTTAGTTACCTCTTCTGAAACCCCAGAGACAATACTTTACCCACGAGTGAGATGGAGATGTAATGAAGAACACGCACAAAGATGATCTCGTCAACAACATTCGGTGGACGAACAAAGCCTGGATGAACAGAAACGCACAACACCACAAGCAACGTCACTGATTTGCAAACATTAGCATTGTAACTGTACTGTGCATCCACTTTAATCTGGGGTATCTAACATTTTGTCCCAACAGAAAGCATTTGGCTGTTTTCATTTGAATAACATGTTTCGCTTATTTGTAAGACATAGCCATATGAGTCACTATTTCATGCTGAGAGCTGATTGGCTGAGTGTGGGTGGTCTTGTTTTTATATTTTAGTCAAAAAAATACAAAATACAGTGGGAAAACTAGTTGTAGAACCAAATTATTTTGATAAACTTGTTACATGAATCATAATACATTTTTGTAGTTTTGAAGTTAGGCACCCAGCTAGATTTAAGAATGCCTAAAAATAAAATACTTGTTTATGGGTTAACTTAGTGATAAATATGTGCCTTCTGTACATAATGAATAATTCTAGGTGGATTTATGGATTTAAAGTGAGACATTTCTTTCAATCAATAGTTCATGTGAAATCACAACATACCAAAGAGCATATTGTTTAACATTGTGGTTTGAGGGCAGTTGCAAAATCTTTCCTGGTAACTATGGTAACTGTCAAAAACCAAACCTCTAGTCTATAACTAATGTCTAATGCCTAATTCCTGCACCAATCCTCTTCAAACAGCACATCGCTAATTATTTTCTCATAATTTCTTTCAAAACTTGTTCTACTGCCTTCAGACTGAAATAGAATTCTACAACATGAACAAAACCTATTGATTGATAAAGATGCAATATTCTAACAAAGACATCCAAATCCAAACACACTTACCTTCCAACCAGTACAAACTCCCCGACCAGTCTTTGCCGTCTCATTGCCATAAGGATCCCCCTCACCGTCATGCCCTCACAGAAGCAGGCCACCACACGGGCTTTGGGCAGGTGACCTCGGAGTTTCTGCAAAAGCTTGTCAAAACTCTGTTCTCCGGCGTTACTGTAGATTTTATCCGAGTGAGCGATGCAGAGACCTTCTTTGGCTGCCATGTCCTTAAAGGCCTCCATGCCGCTCTCACCGTAATTGCCTGAGGAAGATTTTGAGAAAGAATTAAGTAAAGAGAGCAAATAAATACACATTCAAGAGCTGAGTTTAGTAATCCTGCGCCAGTCCAAGTCAAGTCCATGCTTTTGTCCTGCTTTTTGTTTAATGTGTAATGTGTGGCAAGGCAAGGGCAAGTTTAATTGTATAGCACAATTCATAAGCATGGCAACTCAATGTGTGTCTCAAGTGAGATCGCACCCACAGACCATTGCTCTAATCCTGGTTCCTGAATTTATTATTTTTTATATTATTCATCTGAATTTAGGACATTACATATTAATCAATGCTATACTACTCTACAACCGTATTGTGAAAATAAGTGAATAGAACAAGACATACGGCCTTGAATGAATCTAACAATGAGCCACCTCTGTTGCTAGAGTTGCCTGGGAATAATAGAGTACAAGTGCAGGCGTGTTGTCGCACTACCAGTTCTCCAAACACAGCATTTCACCAGTGTCTTTAAAACAGTGTCACAGGAAAATATATATAAAAGAACACAATGTGCAGAGGAAAGAAGGGTCAGTTCTGGCAGAGATGCTTCCTTTTACAAGTGAAGAACATCCTAGTGTAAAAAAATCTCTGGTCAAATAACCATGGTATAATGTTTTCATTGCTTCAGGAAAAATAAGGAAAAAATATTGTGAAGTAGTGAAAAGGCAGCATGAGAACTGAGTGGTGCTTTTAAACCAGACTGACACTGGATCTTCCATTAACGCTAAAAACAGGCTGTCAGGTTGGACAACATCGGTCACAGTGGTAATTTGATCAATCTATGTTTTTTTGGTTCACTTCAAAGTACAATAACTAAGAAAATAATACGCTGTTCTGTGCAGTGATTGAAAACTCTACCACCTTTACATTGTTAACCTTTTGGTTCAGTCAGATTCATTAGTAAGCAGCACAGCTCACGACTTGTGTTCAATTCCAATCTACAGATTCAGATTCAAATTCAGATTCATTTTATTTGCCATGTGCAGTGTAAAAACCACATTGGAATACATTTGCAAAATGAATGAATACAGAATAAAGAGCACAATACAATGTAATATAAAATACACATACACTAAACATTACTAAAAACACTGTGGCACCAATCGACAAAAAAAACAATACAAGGGGTATAAGCAACAATTAAAGTGCTCTGTTTAGACACCAAACAGCTTGTGGAAAGAAGCTGTAAGCATTGAGTAGCATCTCAGCGACTGATATCTGCCCGAGGGAAGAGGGAAGAAGCTGGAACATGGCTTTACCAGGGTGTCAAAAAGAGTCATCTATGGACAAGCAATGGGATTACCTTCAGTGTGGATGGCAGACACGTAGCTCCAATTGTATCTCTTCACTATGTCGACCATGGCTCTGGCTTGTTGCATGTCTGATGGCACCACCCTCATGAAATATTTAAACAAACTCTGTGGGGAAATGGAGAGTTTTAGGGTTTATCTTTTGACCCATGAATCAATCAGTGCCTTGGGAGAAAGTTGATAACAAGGCTAACATACTAACATACAGGCTAACATACAGTACATACTGTTGGACATAGTCACCTAATCACATAAACAGCATTTTGATTTTAAAACTCCATACAAATGACGATAAACTTGAAACCCTGCAGTTAAGCCTGGTAGAAACTTGAATAATGTCTTAGAAAAACCGGTGATTATCCCATCATGTATGAAAACGTTTTAAACAACTGAGAATGGCATGCTGCCTTCTGCTTATGAGGATGCATTTTATCTTTTGAAAACTGTCACTATTTGATGCTTTGGGCTGAGAGCTGATTGGCTGAGCAAGAGTGGGGTATTTTCTTTTTCACATTCTGCCAGAAACAATGTGACATATGCCAAAAAGTATGTGCATGTGAAAAATAGTCAGAGAGAGGCAGGTTACAGTAGATTTAGATCATTTATATTCCCGAGATGTACAGTATTAGGCAAAACTTTTTGAGCTTTGCGTGCTTCAACATTGTTCCCTCAAACCAGACCTAAAGTTGTTTTTAGATTCACGTGGCTTTGTTTGCAGACCTTTTCAAATTTGAAAAAAAAATAAATAAAAAAAATCTACACCTTTCTCAGGTGGTAGCATACAGTAGGCAAAGGGCACGCTGATCGCATTAGTTCACCAATTATTTTCCTCTTTAGTCATTAAATCACATTCTAAAACATAAAAATACACACGTGAATAGTCTCATGATAATTTCAATGGCCAAAATAATGCTTAATATTTCTTCTTTAAGAGAAAAAGGTTGTGATCCACGACTATATCTGCGTCACCTTGTCACTCAGGTCCATACTGGTGGCCGAGTAGGCAATCTGGGGGATGTTGAAGAGCTGCAACAGGTTCTGGACTTGGATGGCCACAGAGCTGGAGCCGGGGCCGATCAGTCCCACGATGGGCTTCTTCCCCTGGACCAGCAGACTCCCGCTCTCCGCAGTGCATCGTCCCGCGCTCTCCTCCTCCTCGTTGGAGACAAGCGTGTCCCGAATGAACTCAATACTCTGCTCCAGCGCCACCGCAGAGTGCCAACACGAGTCCCTGGTGTTGTATAGATTGTCGTTGGCAGGAGAAAGTATGCTAAAAGTTGTACAAAAAACAACAACGAAGGAGCCAAACCTGATCTCACAGCCAAGGGAGATGTTAGGGAGGATGTAAGGATCTGCGTTTATTCTATCCAACGTGTGCATCATTGCCTCCACTCTTTGGATCCCGTACTGCTCTCGGACAGCGCCGCACTTTCGCTCATGGACCTAGACACAAAAAACACCCAAAAGATCGGATTTTGTAAGTTATAGTGATGCGACAAAAGTAGGGCAAGACAGAACTCGATAAATTAGCAATTAGCAAATCGGACTGACTGCAATTATTGAAGTTCTTTGCAAACAAAAAAGGGAATGAAGAAAAGCAAAAATAAACACTTGAATTTGGGAAAAATGTCTCTTGATCTTTCTTCTTGTTATCGGGCAAATGCATTATTTATCTCATCTTTTTCATCTTTTTGTATAAACCAACTGTCTAAATGTGTTACATAACTCTGACTAGAATTTTGTGAGAAAAGATGAAACTACTTGGGACAATTATATACAGTATTATCTAACATAGGTATTATATAGTAAGTGAGTGAGCAACCTTTATGTATACAACACTGTTTAAAACGCTTTTCATGCTATATTTCCCTTATTGAACTTAACTTATCTTTAACACACACCTTGTCTGCAGGAGGCTGGTGGTGGACGGAGAATAGTGCTCCGATGATAACGTCTCCGGGCATATGAGCCAAAACCCTCCTCTGGGCATTGCTCTGAGCACTGACCGCTGCAGGGTTCAAATCTGACCCCAAGAGAAGAACCATGGTCCACCACAGCACAACACGTCTCTGCAGGGACCCGGGCATGACCACAGCTGCTGCCATCCTGACCCACTATTACAGCTGATGTCCTGCTGGAAGGTCTGGTGTGGACGACTCAGTGCCTGGAGGTAAAATCCTACATTGAAAAAAATGGGGTTGAGTAAACAGTGTGTGGCCAATTTCACATGCACAAAGACTGTGAGCACTATCTATGCACCACCTGCTTAACGCTAGGACTACATCGGATGTGATGTGTCTTTTGTTCTGTAAAAAAACTGTAATCTTTATGTAATCCTATGCATTCATCTATCCATGAAGAAGGCCCAGCAGCTGCGGCAGCTCAGGAAATCCATGCTGCCTGCACAGATGTTGGTGCAGTTCTATACAACCATCATCAGGTCCATCCTCACCTCCTCCATCACCGTGTGGTTCGCTGGAGCCACAGTCAGGGACAAACAGAGACTACAGCGCATAAAGGCTCTCTGCTGAGAGGGTGATCGGCCGCAGGATTCCATCGCTGCAGGATCTATATGCCACCAGAACTCTTGGGTAGACTCATGTCACTGTTGACTTGATTTTAATGCCCCAGCACGGAAGACAAATAATTTTTCCAAGGCTTTTGTGCCCTGGTATGGTTGTAGAATTGTAATTGTATTGTGATGCTGTTATCCTGTAATCAGCAGTGAAGTCTGTATGTGAAATGCTCTGTTTTCTGAATCTGAATCTAAGCAGAGATGCACAGACTTCTCTCTCGGTGCACACTTCCTCCAGCTCATCTGGGAGAATTCAGAGGTATTACCAGGCCAGCTGAGAGGCATAGTCCCTTTAACATGTGCTGGGTGGAATATGTCCAGAACACCTCCTCAAGGAGATGCTCAGGAGGCATCTGAAACTGATCCCTGAGCCACCTCAACGGGCTCCTCTCAACATGGAGAAGCAGCAGCTCTACTCCAAGCTCCTTCTGTGGGACTAAGCCCCTAACCCTTTCTCTAAGCCACTCTGTGGAATAAACTAATTTTGACATTATGGTCATCAGCTCCCTCTACACCGTAACAGTCAGATACAACAGACGCTGCTCCCTCTTTACAACCTCAGTCCAATACAGTGACGACATCACTGCTTACTCTGCATCAACAGTCTGTCAATCTCACGCTACACCTTCCCTCACTCCTGAACAAGAGATACTGTACTTGAACTTGAGGAAATTATTATGTAATTTACGTAAAGCTTTAAGAGTGTATGACATGTTAGACACTTAATATCATTACAGTAATTGTCATGATAAATAATTATGCAAATGTTATCCCAATTTGACATTTTCATTTTAGATTTATATTTTTTTTATCTGGTTATGATTGATGACATCACACTAGGGATGTTACTAAGCAACTATGTTGCACACCAAATAGGGCAAATCTCTAGTAATAAGCAATCATTGTTTGACAAAGCACATTCTAACAATTTGTTTATTTAGTTGCGTGAATATTACAAAATGTCATAAAAATGAGTAATCGTTTGTAAACTTTAGGATGAGTTATTTTTATCCCTATAATGTGATGTAGGACTCTTCTAATTCCTGTACATTTCAACACACGTTCCCATTTTTCTTCTTAAACTGTGACTTTATCGGTCACACCTATATTCTAAAACTTATCATAACACCAGCATAAGTCAAAATCTGACAATCATAAAAAGCAGTCATATGCCATGTGGGTGGCCAAAACACAGCAAGAAAAGCAGATAAAGAGTAAAACGTACTGGTTCACCTTAACATGAAACACAAACAAGTGAGAGGGCAAGTCTGAGTACACAATTTAATGGGTTTCATTTATGATAAGATTTTGTGTTATCTGTCTCCCATTCTTATATTCACCATCTCAGTTATGGCATTAAAAAAACAACAATCAAAGCCACATAATTCCTTACAGTTAGAAAAAATAAATAAATAAAATCTTACCTTCTCTCCATGGTTCGTTGGTTCTGTTCTCATGTCCATTTAACAGGAGGAGGAGAATGGTTTGGTCGCGCTCCGTCTGGCGCCTGGCTTCAGCAAACTGCAAATAGCAGCAGATATTACTGTCAGTGTGCTTCTGAACATGTTTGACTATCTGACGCACGCAGACCCACTCCTCCTCATCCTCCTACTACAAGACTGCACAACGAACAGGTGTCACGGGACTCAACAAGGGAAATATCACACATGGGCGACCGTCAAAATATCACGAAGGTCAGGTGAGGACAATCTGACCTATTTGCGACACCTGTGAAAAAACCCAAACAACTGTGGCATCGTGAGTATTGATATAAAACATATAATAAACTTGATCATAAACTACACGAGAACGAGTTTACAGAATAAGTCCTTTGGTAAAATGTAAAGTTTAGTTTTTGTAGGAGGCCACGCGGCGTTACGCATGATTATTTCTGCATAGCTGGCGCCCTCTTCTGGACTTTGGCAGAAAGGCCAGCAAAAGTCACCATATTCTTTCTGACATCCTAAGAAGAAGAGACTGAAAGGTTTCTCTTGATCGTATTATTCCAAGAAGTGTTTTTGTCAGATTACAGATTATTAATAGCCGATGGCCACATTACGCCACTGCATACTCCAGTGTTTTTTTGTATTCTATTCTTTTATTCACAGATGGAACGTATCGGCCAATGGTAGCCTGACAAAGGCCCATTGTCGAAACGTTGCATCTGTAAATAAAAATAGAACAATAAAAAATAAACATTAGAGTTGCAAGAGTTGTTTTCGTTTTAAGGAACTTGTCAATAAAATATGATTATGTCTTTTCCCTAAATTCATTTAAATATGACATTGGCTTGATGTAATGCATGTTGCTGCATTGTTGAATTGTGAAAACAGCTGCCATATGAGGCAGTTACGCACAGAAGAGGGTCCTATGAGGGTCTTGTGATGTGTTGTATTTCATTTTCAAAGGAAAAGCAAAAGGACTTCTTTAACAACCTCAATAGTAACTATTGTTCTTAAACAGGTCATAAAGCCATTATGAATCGTTGACCCATATGGCTAGGTTTTGAAATGATATATGTTTATAGTTTTGCTGTGGATTCATAGATTATAGTATTATTTGTCCTACACCAAACAGTGTTACTTCTATGTGGCGTTATCTGTTCCACTCTACACTGATTATTAAATAAAGATGAATCTTTGTCATAAAATTCCACCAAACAAAGCCAATATAGTGACTGGATTAAGCTACACAAATTGTTTGCAACAGACAATTCACAAATGAAATAAACATATCTTAGCAAAAAAATAAATTTGCTCCATCTTCACATAAACTTCACACAGAACAGGATCTAAGCAGAAAGTCACTGACAGAGATGAACAGAACCTGTTTTCACATTAAACTGGCCAATCAGTAATCCACAAATTCCTCTTTGACATTTAAATGCCAAAATCTGATCTCACAATTAATATTATTCAAACGACTTTTACTTTATTTTTTTAGTAGTAAGATAAGATAAGATAACCTTTAGTAGAAAAGTTCACTCCCCACTGAAGCAGCAGCAGAATAAAAGAAGAAATAATAAAAGCTCATCATTGGTGATGAGATAATACAACACATTTTTTCAGACTTGGGTTTATATTTCCACATATACTTTACTTTCCCTGTAAGGATTTTTGTTCTCTACATTTGACCCATCCTTCATATCTGCTAAAGGCTCTCTGTTTTATTGTTTATCTAATGTTTTTTTGGTTGGGACAGTGCATGTTAATGAACACATCTCTCCAGATTGTATCCTTGGGCTGCCTTCAATCTGTCGTCCCACAGTTGCACTCACAACAACACACTAATTCACCCTGAATTATTGTATAGTTTTTAGTGGTAGGAGAAACCAGAGTACCCAGAGGAAACCTACACGGGGAGAACACATAAAGTCCACTCAGAAATGCCCGTTCCAACCTGGATTTGAACCCAAGACCTTCTTGCTGAGAAGCGAGAGTGCTATCCACTCTGAGCTGTGGGATTTGTCCTATTGTATATGTTTTAGTGGTAGAGGAAACCAGAGCACCTGGAGGAAACCTATGCAAACTTCAGTAAGCCCCTGTTCGAACCCAGGGCCTTCTCCCTGAAAAGTGAGATTGCTAACCACTCAGCTATCGTGCCACCCTATATATTTAATATCATAAAAGGTGGACAACTCTGTTTAAAAAAAAAAGTTTTACTTTTTGAATCATTAGATGACAAAAATAGGTAGACACTAAGTAAGTAAGTAAGTAAGTAAGCTTTATTTATATACCGCCTTTCACAGACCAGAGTCACAAAGCGGTTTACAATTGTTATTTTTGGGCACTTGTCGCCGAACAGGAGGCACATGCCAGACCTATTGTACATATTTTCACTAAGGATAATATTCCTTCCATCTTCAAACTGATGGGATGTCAGCCGTTAGTCGATGTGACTCAAAAAATGTAAATATTTTGTTTTACCTGCTTTTAAACTGCAGAGAAGATTTCATTTATTCCACTTTCCTCAGCTTAGTGCAGGGCAGAGCTGCATGTGACTGCCTCACACTGAGGAGGAGGGGGCCCGAGGAATTTAAGCCCCGGACAATATCACATGGCATTTCTAAGTTGACGCTGTAGTTGATTTCAAGCTTGTTTCTTGGATGTTAGAGCTAAAAACCAGCGGATAATGTGGCTATTTGGGTTTGTTAGTTTAATGCTCAATTTTGCACCTTCTTCTGGACAGTTCCCCCGGGCGTGTGCCAGTCGGGACGCCCTACTATCCGGTGAATGCTGCCCCTCGTGGGAAGGAGATGGTTCGGCCTGTGGAGCCAGCACGGGACGGGGCTTCTGTGAGGATGTGGAAGTGTCCCAGGAACCACACGGGCCTCAGTATCCTTTCACAGGCCTGGATGACAGAGAGAAGTGGCCCCTTGTTTTCTACAACAGGACATGCCAGTGTACGGGGAACTTTATGGGCTTCAACTGTGGAGACTGTAAGTTTGGATTATTTGGAGTGAACTGTAACGAACGCAGACAGTCACTACGGAGGAATATTTTTCATTTGTCTCGAGCAGAGAGGATCCGGCTTGTGTCCTACCTGAATTTAGCCAAACAGACTATCAGCCAGGACTATGTTGTTCCCACTGGCACGTACCGGGAAATGGACAACGGTTCAACTCCTTTGTTCACTGATGTGTCGGTGTATGACGTGTTTGTGTGGATGCATTACTATGTGTCTCGAAATACTCTCCTGGGTGGGCCTGGGAATGTCTGGACAAATGTGGACTTTGCACACTGGGCACCAGGGTTTCTGCCTTGGCACAGAGTGTACCTTCTTCACTGGGAGCATGAGATCAGGAAGCTGACTGGAGACATGAGTTTCTCCATCCCGTACTGGGACTGGCGAGATGCAGAGGGCTGTGACGTGTGCACTGATGAGCTGATGGGGGACAGACATCCCCAGGACCCCAACTTCCTCAGCCCAGGATCAGTCTTCTCCTCCTGGAGGGTAACGGGTGCTTACCTTTTACACAGGCCCTTACATAATACATGAATGAAACCAATTTATGTTTAAACCTTTTAGCTCCAGCCCATGTTATACAAATGAATTATTTAAAAAAGGAAAACCTACAGGGCAGGAAAGCAACGATTTTAAATGCACATTTTGCTTACTGTTTAGAGTCGACTGACTGCAGGGCACAAGATTGAGATGCACTTGTTCCCCCATTGCAGATATACATATAAAAAAGGTGTGAGTTTTATCAAGCAAGCAAAATTGAACCATTCATTATTAACTATCAGACCTCAGAAGCGCCGGGGTGGTGAGCTGCATTCATACCAATTATTATGCATTAAATAGAGTAAATGAAGTTGAACTTCAATAATACCAGTCCTACTTCTTTTTTTAAATGAATGCCACTTTCCACTAAATAGACCATTAATAATGTACATATTACATACTCATCATATCAGCTGTATGTTATTCACACTATTGTCATTGTTTACTCGTGCGAATCGTGTCGCAGGTGCTGTGCTCTCGTCCTGAAGTCTACAACAGCAGAGGCGTCCTGTGTGATGCCCGTCCGGAGGGCCCCCTGCGCCGTAACCCAGGCAACCATAATCCAAATGTGGTGCAGCGGTTACCCACCTCTGCAGATGTGGAGTTAGCACTGGGTTTAACAAACTACGACACCGGAGCGTTGGACCGCACAGCTAACATGAGCTTCAGAAATACACTGGAAGGTCGGTTTAAGTGTTCGACTGCACTGCAAAAAGTGATGAAAAATAGGTAAAAAAAATGCTCAAATTTGGTTAAATGTGTCTAAATTTTAGCACATTATGACTGCCTTAAAACAAGATTTGTTAATGGGTCATTTCAAATCTAAACATTTCTTGTTTTAAAAAATTACAAGAAATGTCTCCCATGGAATGAGAAAACAAAGCGAAAGTTCTTGAAATGAGTCTAAATGGCTTGTGTCCAAGTTTTGTTTTAAGATCGTCTGAATGTGCTCATTTTAGGATAAACCACTTGATTCAAGCAATTATTACCTCATATCTTATCTTTTTTGCAGTGTGAGCGTGGCATCTCAATGGGACATTCTGTATAATGATAATCGTCCTCTTCCTAATTAAGTTAATTTTCTTTCAAACTGTGATTCCCATTGTGATGTGGTTAGATTTATTATTAGTTGAGGGTGAAAAGAAAAGCCATAAGAATTTTGTCCTCCAGCAAGAGCTGCACCGATGCTGTATGGAACAAGCTTGAAGTTCATGATTACTGTTTTAGTTGATTTCTTTGTTTAGACATACTTACACATCTGCTCTCATTTAAAGTACTTTTGTTGGGATGATAAAGTGGTCTCTGATAAAGTGGTGGTCCTGATCTGTGGTTCTCAGGGTTTGGAGACCCTCGCTCTGGGATGGGGAACAGCAGCCGTATGTCTCTGCACGCTGCGCTCCACGTCTTCATGAACGGGACCATGTCTTCAGTCCAGGGATCGGCCAACGACCCCGTCTTCCTCCTGCATCACGCTTTTGTCGATTGGTAAGAACAACGTGCAACACACAAAGTAAACATACAGTGCCTTGCAAAAGTATTCGGCTCCCTTGAACCTTTCAACATTTCGCCACATTTCAGGCTTCAAACATAAAGATATAAAAATGTAATTTTTTGTCAAGAATCAACAACAAGTGGGACACAATCGTGAAGTGGAACAACATTTATTGGATAATTTAAACTTTTTTAACAAATAAAACACTGAAAAGTGGGGTGTGCAATATTATTCGGCCCCCTTGCGCTAATACTTTGTAGCGCCACCTTTTGCTGCAATTACAGCTGCAAGTCGCTTGGGGTATGTCTCTATCAGTTTTGCACATCGAGAGACTGGAATTCTTTCCCATTCTTCCTTGCAAAACAGCCCGAGCTCAGTGAGGTTGGATGGAGAGCGTTTGTGAACAGCAGTCTTCAGCTCTTTCCACAGATTCTCGATTGGATTCAGGTCTGGACTTTGACTTGGCCATTCTAACACCTGGATACGTCTATTTGTGAACCATTCCATTGTAGATTTGGCTTTATGTTTTGGATCATTGTCCTGTTGGAAGATAAATCTCCGTCCCAGTCTCAGGTCTTTTGCAGACTCCAACAGGTTAAGTAAAGGGGCCGAATAATATTGCACGCCCCACTTTTAAGTTTTCTATTTGTTAAAAAAGTTTAAATTATCCAATAAATTTCGTTCCACTTCACGATTGTGTCCCACTTGTTGTTGATTTATGACAAAAAATTTAAATTTAATATATTTATGTTTGAAGCCTGAAATATGGCAAAATGTTCAAAAGGTTCAAGGGGGCCGAATACTTTTGCAAGGCACTGTATATGTATAGTTTCTGAATCTAGTCAAGTCAAGTCTTCAAATGTTGCTTGTGTTTGGAAGTAACACTGGTTAAAATGATGCAGTGGGGAAATATAAATATAAAGTTTTGGTTATGGTTACTAAATGCATTTTGATAACAGATTCAGAATACTAAATATGATTAATTGTTAGTTATTCTTGTTTATAGTGATATTTATGTATTTATTTTTTAAAAGGATTACTTTGTAGTATTATTGATGGTATCAAGGTTTCAAAGGGCAAACAATAAATATTATCAAATTAAAAATTAACAATTTTTTAAATCATGATGCATTTCTTCACACAGTATTTTTGTGCAAATCAAAAATAACTCGAATTCAGATACTGATTGGACCATGTCAGCAGATGTGACAAATGTTAACTAAATACATTTGAAAAATATAATTTCCAGCGCATTGCTCTGTTTAAAAAGAGATTTATAGCTTAAAAGATTTATAGGAAATGTGAAGAAAGCCACTGTCACCTCTCCACAAACTTGACCTGTATCTGTTGAAAAGTTTCCAATTTAAGGTCATGAACATTTAATAAAAAAAATAAGTACATATAAATGGCTTATTTCATGCTTCTTCTTTCACATGACAGCCTTTATGAGGAATGGCTGAGGAGGCACAGGCCGGCGCTGTCCCAGTATCCCGAATCAAACGCTCCCATCGGACACAACGGAGGCTACTTCATGGTGCCGTTCTTACCTCTGCACAGAAACAGGGAGTTCTTTATCTCCAGCAAAGACTTGGGATATGAATACTCTCTTCTGCTGAACGCAAGTAAGTTTAACTGTTGAAATTCTCACTTCAAACATCAAAATATCTTTGTTTCCATTACTTTGACTGTTGTAGACTACTTTTTTTTTATTTTCCCACTCTCACCGTTATGAGCTTTGAGTAATGACTGAAAGGACAAGGTCGTGGATAAAATCAGTCCAAATGAGATTCCTCCCTAGAGTGGCTGGGTGCTGCCTTAGAGATAGGGGGAGGAGTTTGGAGTACAGCCACTGCATATATTTGGTGTATTGAAGAGATTCCTATTTCCATTTTCTAACAAAGACCATATCTACTTGTGGCCAGACTTTCATGCCGAAAGCCAGATCCCGCCAGACCTCTGAAGTTGTGCATGGTAGGGCCTGGTTAGCACTGTATGGACGACCTCTAAGAACATCAAATGCCACAGTGGAAGTGTGAAACTGTCACTGCGTCCTTAGGCTAAACACTTCACCACATTGCCCTGAATGAGTCTGGTGCGTGTGTGAATGGCTGATGGACTCGCTTCTGTCAGTGTGCCCCAGGGCAGCTGTGGTTACAGTAGCTTATCCGCACCATGAATGGAGTGAATGAATAATGACACGTGAATTATCTTTGAGGGTCCTGTAAAGCGCTATATAAAACCAATGCATTATTATTATTATTATCATTACCTGTGCTCCTCAGACCAGCGGCTGTCCGAGTCCATGGTCCCGTACCTGGAGGCTCTGCGGGGGGTGTGGGGGTGGCTTCTGTTGGCCGCTGTGTGTGGGGGGCTCCTGTCTGTGGCTCTGGCTGCCCTCATCATGCACATTCAGTACAGACACAGCACCTCCACCTGGATGCACGTGCGCAAATGGAGAAACCTGTTTGCTCTTCCCGAGAGAGAGCCGCTCATCTTCAGCCCTGATAAAGAGGAGACTGGGTACAGCTACCAAAGCACAATGTGAAGGAATATATTGTGCTGTTTGATGTGAATTTCAAAGCAAATGTGAAAAGAACCTTTTAAAACCTTTATTCTGGAAGTTAATGACTCAATTCTGAAAGATAATGGGGTTGTGTAGGTGTGAAGAGGTGTTATACATAGAGCATCTACTTCAATAAGTGGCAATATAGCCACACAGAAAGCACTCAAAAACAAGATAAAAAAGCTGGTTATATTTAGGAAATAAAGCCATTTCACTAATACTTTTTCATACTTCAGGTAAGACTGCTAAGTATACTAGACAAATGCCCCCCAAAAAAAAAAAAAAAATTACTAGGAATGAAATATCAGGCTATATAGACCTTCCAGTGTTTTATTGAATAGTAATTACCATGTCATTGGAAAACGTTTTTATTTGGATATAGTGCTACATACTTCTGTTAGAGGGCCCCAGGGCAGCTGTGGCTACAGTAGTAGTTTATCACCAATGTGTATGGAGTGAAAGAATGACATGTTAAAGCGTCTTTGACTGACCAAAAAAAGTGCAATTAAAAAACAATGTATTATCATTATTCTATTTGTACATTATATAATGATAACATGCAAAATACTCATTAATAAATAGGATTAATTTATCACTAAGAATCCTCATTTCAATTTTAAATTAGGCTTGTTTTTTTTGGAAACATTGAAAGTCTGAAACCATTCCAAGTTCCCTTTTGATAAGTGCTTCAATATTGCATGTATACAATTTCAAATAATAAAGTATATCATTTTTTACACAACAAACTGCTGCTAGCCATGATTTGTCTTTTGTTGCATCAAGGTGTCAAAAGCAACTGATGAAATAGTGGCAGCACAAAGGATTGTGGGTTATTGTGAAATTCATACTAAAGTTCACAGAACAAGCATTTGAATAAAGTTAAATATTTGTGATGACATTTCAGAAGAAAAAGTGGGAGACACCTTTACAAGGAGTTTTGAACTTTTTGAGCGTCAAATTATTAAAAACAGTTGAGAATATTGCCTGACATTTGTAAAAGTCACAGCTCCGTGATTCAAATTCTTTGCTCAAAAGGTTAGTGCTATTCACGAGAACTGGTACTATTTTTCAAGGAGTGTAAAATCCTTCACCTTGAGAAGGGGTAGGAATTCAAGAAAAAAACCCCCCACTAAAAATAAGCTAATCCAAAAGTATACAATAAACATCTAATCATTGCATGATCTCAAAATGTATTTCTTTAAGATTTTAATTTACACAATTCTAATTGAAGAAATTATCTTCGTACATTTGTCTGCATTTTTTACACATGCTACTGCAAATTATACAGTATTCTACTTTTCTTATCACATTCTCAAATTACTTTACATTCTGATGAGAAAATGTAAACTGTAAATAACATTGAAGAAAAGAATATATAGAATGTTTTACAGCATGCAATTTACAGTGGACTCGTGTTGATTAACTCATTGACTGCCATTGACGTGTTAACACGTCAAACTAAATAGTAACGTTGTCTGCCAATGACGTGTTAACACGTCAATTGCGTTTCCCGCTATTTTTACGTTCCCAGCTGTCCATTGAATCTAATATGTGGAGATTGGCTTGAGGCAATACTTTATGGAGCCAGCAGATGGCAGCATTGCGCTATGAATGGTTTGAACACAGCTAGATGCACTGTTTGTGGCCCTTTTTTCTCAGCTTTCTGGTGATTTCAATAAAACTTCCCTCTACTCAACTGGGGATTACAGAAGAACTAAACAAGATAGAAACAAAATTCTTTTTGCTGGTGAGAGTAGACAGCCCATTCTTTCAGAATCTAGTTTTAGATTTCAGATAGTCAAAGTACACAATATTCTGTGGGTCTTGAAAAATCAGTAAAAACCACCAGAAACGGCTGGCAATATGGGAGTACCTGTTTTGAAATGGGCTGGCAGTCAATAATTTGCTCTATTCTTTCATTTTTTTCCCCCAAATATAACATCAGACATACAACACATTTATGGAAAACTCAAAGTATAACAAAAATAATAGCCATTGATAATTAACAAGTCTAAATGAGTGTAATACGTCAAAATAATTCAAAAGGCAGAGTGGTACAGGAGGAAAGGGGAACAAAAAACCGACAAGATGCACTATGTAACTTGGATTGCATTGAAGTATCACATAAGATGCATTTCATTTATTGGTGATATGTCACCTAATATATTTCTAAATGAGAACCAAACTTAATAAGAACAAGCCGGTGATATATATACGTGTTAAATAGTGCAACTTTCAACACAAGTGGAGTAATAGAACAAAAACTTTTCTGCATATTTGTGCAAAAGTCTCAGAGATCTTTAGGCTGAGAAAATGTCAGAAAAGGTCAACAATGGGTCAAAGCAGGACAAAAAATAAAAGATTAATTATAGTATTAAAAGGCCAGAGAGGAAACCTTGTGCACTCGTGTCTTGGCTCAAGGCAAAGAGAAGTCAATGACTCCCATTGAACACCGTTGAAAAATATAGCAACATTATAGAAAAAAAGTTTTGACTTGTAAAAAAAATGGACCACAGAGTTTTGTATCCAGCTAAAAACAGATACTTTGTGTAGTAATTTCAACTACTGTCCTCTTCATCGCTTTCCGCCTGCTTCTGCTGCGGACTGTCTTTGGGAGCGGCAGGAGGCAGCAGGTCCAGCCGAGCCCACGACATCGGCTCCGACTTTTTCATGGCGATTTCAATCTTCGATGCCAACATGTTGACCAGACACCTGCTGACGTCAATCACCTAAAAAAGAAGGAAATAGAGCATAAAAAGAGGTGGCGAGGAAGAGGCTTAAATATTTATTGCCCTCAAAATGCAGGAATCAAGATGCTGTTACAGTACTCACTCCCCAGAGGCTGATTTTCTGCCGGAATTCCTTCTCTCCTTCAAATATAATATTGATGTCGAGCTGTTGGAAAGATTAGGGAAAAAAGTTTTACACATTGTGGAAACAATACAAAATACATCAGCTAAAAGTGATTTAGACTATTTAATTGAAACTGATGTTAAAAGCTGGGGTTTCCTCAAGAATAATCAGCAGTTGCTCACAACGCAATTTTTTGTCTTCATCTTATCTTTTGGAAGCTTAAGAAACTTCCCAATTGTCGGTCATTCTGATGATACATGCTCGTCAAATAAGACCAAGAGTTTTGTTCAAAAAGTGGAGAGGGCAGGTTCTTTCCTAAAATTTGAGAAAATCCTCATTTATACCTTTAAGTAAGTAAGTAACTATTGCACTATTGATTTTTTCACCTTTATGTCTTAAAATACTGATATAAAAAGTTGGGAAAGAGACCGAAACACATGCATGTGAAAACTAGAATGTGATAGAACCAAACTGTTTTGAGAGCATTTGCATTGAGATGAATTTTGTGGATTGAAAGTTGGTACTGCACAAAGAATGGATAACTAACAGGCTTAAAAAAGTAGATATCTACAGTACATGTGTGACTATTGAGCGATACACATCTACGCCATCAGCTGAAAAGTAACAGTGCATGAAAAAAGGCTGCATTATCCCCACAGTCGTTAAAGACCGTATTAAAACAAACAGTTGTTTCTTCATGTGATCTGTGTGGCGGCACATGTCCCGATGATAAAGACAAGAGCGTTCTCTGTTTGAGAGTGTTCAGCAAACAAAGAAGTGTTTCTACCTTAACTCTTACTACGTGTTGAATGAGAAAAGTGGAAAGTAGAACTAGAATGTCAAATGCCTGTTGTGCAATCCAACTGAATGTAATTCTCCAATTCACTGAAATATCTCACTTACGGTGGTGCTGTTAGCATCCACATAGCTCTCCTCTGGAATGCAGTTCTTGGCGTAGATGGAGATGATGACTTGAGCTCCGGTTTGGTGCCAGTCAAACCGACACGGGACCACTTTGAGACCCTACGAGAAGTGAAAACAGTATGAGCCGCAGAACATTGTGTCCATGCTAATTCTGTGTTTTCAGTGCAATTTTCAGTATGACGTATTATAAATATACGACACACAGAAAATTACAAGGTACAGATCAAAGCTATATCTGAATATCATTACAAACCATTTATTACTGTATATTGAACTAGTTTACTACTCAATGGTGGCTCTTCAATATTATTTGTTGACTTTGTGTCTGTATTTCCCACCACTAGATGGCGTGGCAGAGGTTTGACAGACACTACACACAGATGTCTAACAGAATTGCCCACCGCATCTTTTTTCCTCCATAGATGTGTCCCCTTGGTACAGCCCTCCTGGGAGAGGAAAGTGTTAAAATCCGATGTTTTTCGCTTGCAGCAGCTCCAGTACTTCATCCTGTCCAAGAAGCAGAAGCGGAGAAGCGTTGTCAATAACATGCTATTTTAGACAAGTGGAAGTGGAAAACAACAGATACAGAGGAACACAGGCTCTTCCACTTCAATTGTTTTACTGCCAACAAAGTACTTACTACTCAAATCATGTCAGCACGGGAAGGAGAAAATCAATTTTGAATGTAATACTAACCCTTCATGGAAGATTGGGCACCCAGAGTGGTACATGCAAGTTTCTGAATCGCTTGCAGGAACTTCAAAACTCTGAAAGCAAGAACATGTACAAACGGTCAAAATGATACAGAACATTTTATAAAACCACATGAATGCATTCAAGTGTTCCATTTTTGACAAAAACAAGACTAATCGCTTGTTTCCAGTTTGGGACCTCATTCAAGCTGATTGAATAAACCCAAAGAGCAGCCCTTGAGACAATGTGGCATGATTTTCAATCAGATGATGAACAATTACAGAAATCATGAAATAAACCACTTCAGTGTCTTATAACCCATTTCTACTTTTGAAACTTGCAATTGTTTTTTCCCTCTTGCTTTAAGAGAATAAGCTCACTGATGAAAAAGTAGGAATACGCCTGCGAATGAGACAAAGACTAAAATTAGTAATCTGACCGAGACCTCTACAGAATGTGCTGGTACTTGTAGTTCCATTTACATGTTTTATTCAACAAATTGTTAAGGCCTGCTATAATCAACATACAATGTATGGCCTGCATGTAGTTGTTGCAAGTGACCTTACTAATAACTGTATCATAGTAATTTAATCACCAGTGGTTGATTGTCTGTTAGTGAGTAAAATAGCCATAACATATCTCATAGTTATAATACTTTTACAAAACTGAAGGTAAAGCTTAGAAATGGGACAAACAATAACATTTTAGATGTGAAGTGAATCACTGTCTGGATCCAGGAATTTCTGCCATGTTTTGATAGAATATGTATATCAATTATTATTGATTTTTAAATTTAGTGCAAAAAGGCTCAAACCCACGACCTTCAGGCTCGAAGGCCAATGCTCTACCAACTTAGCCACTGTCACTATTAGGGCATACTTATGACTTACTTTATTTACATTTCAAACAAGTTTTTTTTTTCCTTTTATGACATTGATATAAGGCAAGGCAAGGCAAATTTATTTATATAGCACAATTCATACACAAGGCAATTCAAAGTGCTGAACAAAACAAAGCATTAAAATCATAAATAATCACAGAACATTAAAAAGAAATATAAAAATATAAAATCCCTCAGTTGTATGCACAGCTAAACAGAACTGTCTTTAACCTGGTTTTAAACATTGTCAGTGAGGAGGCCTGTCTCACATCTTCAGGAAGACTGTTCCAGATTTTAGCAGCATGAATCTGAAAAGCAGCCTCCCCATGTTTAGTTCTGACTCTGGGCACTAACAGGAGTCCAGTCCCTGTGCTCCTCAGAGTCCGGGCTGGTTCATATGGGACTAACATGTCACTAATATATTTTGGTGCGAGGCTATGGAGAGACTTGTACACAAGCAGAGCTGTTTTAAAGTCTATTCTCTGAGCCACAGGAAGCCAGTGCAGAGACCTGAGAACTGGACTAATGTGGTCGTACTTCCTGGTTCTAGTCAGGACTTGAGCTGCTGCATTTTGAATGTACTGCAGCTGTTTTACAGCCTGTTTGGACAGACCTATGAGCAGGCCATTGCAGTAGTCTAACCTACTGAGACAAATGCATGGATAAGAATCTCCAGGTCTGCTTTAGACACTATGTTTTTGATCCTGGCAATGTTTTTTAGATGGTAAAAAGCTGCTGATGTTACTGATTTGATGTGGCTATAATATATATAATTTATATATATATATATATATATATATATATATATATATATATATATTTTATATATATATATATATATATATATACATATATATATACACACATTGTCGGTTAGTTATTACAATGTCATCCCTTTAGAGTTAATAATTCATAATGTTAAAATCTGATAGCAACCTGTTAGAAAATGCATTATCAACCACACCATACCTAAAGCTATGTATACACTATTTTCACAACTTGAGTCTGAACAAACTGTTGACAAAGCCCCTCCACTTGAGACACAAGTGTAAACATGTATTACACCATGACATGTTGACCTACTTTGGTGCATCCTCCGTTTTTACAGGATGTTCCGATTTTGATCTCGTCGCCGTCTTCCTCTGGAGAGACACAGAAAGATGCCGTCAAAGAATTGACACTTAAACCTCTGAGAAGCCTCTCGGAGAGCCGCCGCCTGACGTGTGGGCCTGTCCCGTCAACTCTTCATCAAAAACATAATGTGAATGACCGTAGTGATGACATATTCCCCATCGCAAACCATTTCAAGCCCCCTGTCAAACTGTCCTTCCCGTCTGCTGAGATGTATGGCAGTCTTAGAAGAGGAGGACAAAAGTTACCCACCGCTCAGACGTATTAAAACAAGAGAGAAAGTGCTGCATGAATAAAGTATGCCCACCTTTCTTTTCCGCGGCGTTCTCCGACAGCTTCAACTTTTCTAGAGCTGTTTTTAGAGACGAGGCGACTTTATGCTGCAATCTTACCATCGGCTCATCGGGGCTGTGGGAGACAGATACGGGACATCAGCTGTCACTGTTGCTGCTGCGCAAAAACTGGCTATAGTTTTATCACTTTATTTCTCATTCAATAAATGGTTTCTGAATTGCTTTTGGTATCTGGACAATGTACATTACAATGTCTTGGTAACGGCCTACGTTTATAAATCAAGCTTAAGCTCAGTCCACATGACTCAGTCGTGCCCACACACTACTCAATGATTCCACATGGATTGTATACCTCTGGATACTTCTCATCTCATGCTTCATTATCATACATTAACATGATATCCACCAACAGAGCGTGACATCACGTTTGCCTGCCTTAGTTATTGCATAGTGATCCATGAACAAGAATAATGAATTATACAAAACTCCCAACAGTATACTAACATTTTATAATGACTGCTCACATCATGCTATTTTACTCAACTAGTGTAGAGAACATGAGCACTAAGCAGTGAACACATTGAGCCTCATTGAACAACACTGAATGAAACGTGTCTACCTCATGACAAAAAAGTGTCAAGTCTGCGGAGAAGGTGCAAAGTAATTAGCAAAAATGATCAGGCCCCTTAGTGCACAGCGTCTACACAACGGAAACCAATGTAGTTCTAGTGCCCGGCACCAAAATAATTATGCATTTAACAGTAGCAGCAAAAATGGAAACTGAAAATACAGTTTTGCCTTGCTGGGTAACTTCGGACGGACGAAGGAGTAGAATTCTCCTCTGTGTAGCGCTCGAAGCACACGTAGCATTAGTTGTTGTTTATGTTTGTTCTCAGGGACTGCGCATGTCCAAATGTATGTGCGGGGAACGGGTGAGGTCATTGCAGGCAGAGAATTCACACTTTTTTCTACACGCGGCTGTGAAACAGCCCCCCGCCATGCAGCGCATCTGTTCTGTTCCACTCTGGAGGCTGTTTCTCAACGCTTGCGTTTTCACCCCATCTTCATGTAAACATGCCAATAAGATACCCAACTATCGTTTTATTGTCGCAGCACCTAAGTGAGCATAGTATTCAGGGAGTCTGTAAGAGCCGATGACAATGTGACCTGAGGAAACCATAAGATTCCATAAGAGGCCATAAGAGAAACCATACGAGGCACTTGTGGAATATCACCTTTGATCAAAACAGGAATTATTGTTGTGTCCTACTGAAATGTGCAGGGAATGATTTATACAATTCAATTCAATAAAAAGTTCCGTTTACCAGACAATAAGATAGACTATTGATCTATGATTAATGCATATGCAGGACAGCATTCTGAGGATGAGGATGAGCCATGATAATGAGATGCGATGGACTTGATGGACTAGACAATTCTTTATAATCCCCATTTTCCCCCAGAACCAGAGAACAGAGGACCACTGGTGCATTTTTGAGTGCGTGTCATCTCTGGGCTGTATTGATTTGGCGTGTGATGTTCTGATTACTGCTAAATGTAAAATAAGGAGATTTAACTGCATTTTTATGAAAACACACATAATATGGGTCAACAATGTAGTTAAAAGTAGTTTTAACCTCCAGACTGGCTGGAGGTTAAAACCTTGTGGGAAATGTTGCATATCGAGCATCACTTTCCCCGTACACCCAACTCATGCACAAACATTATTTTCTTGTATGGAAGTTTCATCGATGAGGCCCATTTTGAAGATGTTTAAATTAATTATGAGATTCTGAAAAAAGAACATGTACATGATATAAAAAAATGCCAAAAAGTGATGCCTTTTGTGTAACTATATGATCAAATGAAATGTTCATACAATTTAGTATGAAATAAAATATATAGCATTAGAAAACTAGTATGCATCACAACACACCAAAGAACACACTAAAGTAATCCAAAATTATGGGATTTCTGAATTGTTGCACCCCTAGTAAATTATGATACCAACCTCAATGCTAATCCTGTTGGATTATCAGATAATGTTTTCCTAATATTGTCGATCCCTATCATTCCTGTATAAACATTGGAATACTTCTGAAAAATGCCTTACCTGGGTCTGTTTATAGCGTCTATGGGCTTTGGGGCCGAGATGATGTACTCGTTAAACTTTGGCCTCAGAACCTCCATCTCTTTTTTCTCTCCAGACGACTTCACATCTGGCTTCACCGGCTCCGGGGGCTTCTCTTTGTTATGGGGTCCTTTTGTGCAGCCCTGTGTGGATGTCTCAAGGTCAATACAACTGTGAACAATGAACAAAAGAAAACAAGAAACCAACATATAGATTTGAAGGGAACTTACAGCAATATTGAGGAAGTCTGAGAAGTCTGTAGTTCTTCTCTTGCAGCAGGACCACCCCTTGGGAAAGAAGGCAAAGTTTATATAGACTAAATCAGAAAGCAGATGCCAGCTTGATATGCCTTTCAGTTGTTTACCTTTAATGCATCATGGAATACTGGGACTCCTGGATGATAGGTGCATCCATCTGTGAGAAAACAGATTGGATCAAATTTAGAAACAAATATGAATGATATCCCACATGAGTATGCTAAAAGTTCTGAAATGACAATAGGCAATTGATAATTGTCACTCTATTTGAATGTTGAGGTGAAGAGTCAGTTGAAAGACAAAATTCTGATTCTTCTTTTCCTAAAGGACCCAGTTGAGGTGGTATTGGCATTGGTTTGGGAGCCTCCAAGGGGTATCCCACCGAGATGACAACCCAAGGAAGACCCAGGCTCTCAGCTGGTCTTGGGATTCCTTCAGATGAGCTGGAGAAAGTCTGGGCATCTCTGCTTGATGCGATTATGACCCGAAAACGGATAAAAAATGTATGAATTGAATCCTTTAAAATGATTGTTTTTACCAAAATTTACACTGAAAAAACTCAATATTGATCTCATCATCAAGCATCGCACAAAACTGATTGTACACAACCTTTTGTAGGTTTTTCTTAAAACCTGCAATTTATTATTTGAGAATGTGTGAATCACTGCAGTGGAAAGTCATCATAAACATGTATTACCATGCCGCAAATGTACTTAAAGGTCATGTGCATTACAAAGCTCTGTCAGTCTCAGAAGTAGGGCTGGGCGATATGGCAAAAAAGTAAAATCTCGATTTTAGTTCCTGCTTTGGACGATGTCGATTTTAAATCGATTTTCATTAAAGTCACTCAAGACAGACTTTGCCCTTAAAATATTGTTTATCTACCCACTCAATATTTAAGTTTCAAAACTATTTTTATTTGTTTCCCCCAATACATATTATAAAAGTCTTGTTCAGACTGTGCTGATATCGCAAGTGTAATTGATGTGCTGCTGGAACTCTCACAATATCCCTCATTCGATTTCACGATTTTCCAATTTTTCACGAATTCGATTTTTTCAAAAGCCGATTAATTGCCAAAATTCGATTTATTGCCCAGCCCTACTCAGAAGCTGTCCTTGGAGACAAAACATTGCTGTTGATAGATATTTACATTTCTGAATTAACACAATGAATCAACTTTATTCTTGGCCATTGCCTCCGCACCCTTATCTGTGATATACCACCAAGAAATCCCTAATGCCAGATAATAAAATGCTCAATTCGATATGAAAGGGGCATCCTATTAAAATGGAAATTAGATCTGAGAGTGTTTGTTATAATACTTGAAGAATAAGAAGGAGGACATTTCTAAAGGATGTGAATGGTGAATAAAAGACTAATTTAAAAAGTTTCACTGTGTGGGCAACATGAGCACTTAGAAGTAAAGTAACATTTAGATAGGAGCTTCAAAAAAACATTGGTGACACAAACACTTTCAAAAGCCTTAAAATACATCTGGTTGATGAGATTTTAAAATATTTAAGTCTTGGAGATGTGTAATATCTTAAACATAATACAAAACCATCATAGAAAGATTGATGGAGGTGTCGTAAATTGGTTGTATCATCTGCTGCCAAATTAGTTCTAGTTGCAAAGTTTTTTTTCATGTAAGTAAGATGTTCAGTGCTGAATTCCCAGACTCTCAATACAGTTGTCATATATCACTACAATTGGATCTTGTGCAATACAGCACCAAGATTTCCCAACTGTGGGACGGACAGGATGTCTCTATCTCATCTCTCTATCTCTCTGATTGGAGGGTCACCAACTAATTGTAATATATAATATAATATAATTGAGTCCTTTATATGTATTAACATTTGTGAGTTCAGCCATTTAAAATATGTCTGTAGATTAACTATAAATGTTTATGAATTAAAGGAATTACTTAATTTACAAATTTTCTTCTAATAAAAAAAAAAGGCAGATTTTGACATAAATGCATTAGGAGCATTCCTGTGTACTTCATTGCGTACAGTATATTGTCTTATTAACACTGGATTGGTTTTGTGAATCACTTTTCTGGTCTTCAAATCACATTATGTAATCACTCTGCAGCACACTGATGGTAAACTCCTAACTGAGTGTCTTGCTTCAAGAAATAGAGCAATGTATAAGACAGTATTTATTGCAATAATGTCAAGGGCAATATTGATTATACAAACATATGCAATCAGTTTAAAAATCATGCGTTCCTGTCATGCATGGGGGTGAAAAATAGAGCAGCAAAAACCTCAAAACACTGCAGCCCCAACTCTCATATTGTTTTCTATGATGGTGTACAATATCACAATAAATATCACTATCACAGTTAGACCTCGCACATCACACTTTTTTCCAATATTGTGCAACTCACATGGCAAGACAAGGCAAGTTTATTTGTATAGCACAATTCATACACAAGGCAATTCAAAGTGCTGAACAAAAAAAAAAGATAGCATTAAAATCATAAATAATCACAGCACATTAAAAGGAAAGATAAAATAAAAAATATAAAATCCCTCAGTTGTATGCACAGCTAAACAGAACTGTTTTCAACCTGGTTTTAAACATTGTCAAAGAGGAGGCCTGTGTCACATCTTCAGGAAGATTGTTCCAGATTTTAGCAGCATGAATCTGTAGTATAGTTCAGTCTAGTTTTGTTGGAGCAGATACATTAATGAAATAAGACAGTTAATAACTACAACCGTAAAGTCTTGTATAATTTTATGTTGAGACAGAAAATCTCATAACATAAAAGATTATCAAGTGTAATTATATATATATAATATGCAGTTACTTCCAGGGCACAGTTGGATCCAGTCATATTTGTAATTTACCCAATACTTCTGCAAACATTGTTCTTTTCCAAAAGTTCTAGAACAAAGAGCAGGCTTGGATTACAGTAAAGCATCATATTGCCACTGTAGTTCAATAATAATCTGCATTCACCAGGTTTCTAGATGTCACTTATCTTTGATGTCCTAAGTATAAATAACTTGGGGTTAGTATATATTGCTTGTGTTTTATCGGATAGACTAAAGTTACACAGTTTTAACTTGTGCTAGTCCTGAAATAATGTTACAGCTATACGAAACTATTTAATATAAGAGATCCTTTAATTTACTTAATTACTTACTATTAGTATGTTCAAACCATGTGAGATAAGCGAGCAAACAACTTTAGACATGTTAAATGCATTCATTGTGCCTGGCTACATGTGCTGGAGGGTATGGAACATTCCAGACATGAGGTTAGCATAGCATACGATAACAGTGGCTGTAACTCACCTTCAAGGTTGTTTTCTGGATCGAATCTCTGTCCACATCCCTTATTGTAACATAACACAGACATAATGAGATGTTAAATGCTTCAGGAGATGGATTAAGTGTCTTAAAGCTCCACACAAATCGGTGGTAACGATGAGAAAAGAGAGGGAGATACACAAGCAACCGATCGTGTGTGTCAAATATGCGCCGCTCGGAACAACCGGTCACTTCCGGGTTCTTTCGGAAGCATTCGGAGACGCTCGGTAATCTCCGGAGTTCTCCCAACGCGAGTCGAGCTGGGCGAGCTGAGCAACACTCCCTCCATCCGGCGAGAGCGCACCGAAGCCTGTCATAAGCGACAACTGAGGCTGCCCGCTTCCAAACTTAGGGTAACCATGAATGCTTTTTTACCAAATTGCGCGTCTGACCTAACTAACTTCACAAGATGGATCTACTTGTATTTTCTCCAGTTTATGCTGATCTTATTATAGTTCGAGGCTGTCTGAGCATCCCATGCAGGTGCACAAAACTGGGGCAATAGCTATTTAGTTTTACGAGGATGAATGAATCAACGTGTCACTAGCTTGCTGGATTATTTCTGCCGAAGAGATCTGTTTTTGATTATTTAGTAATTTGTGAGAAGATTGGACTGATTACTTTCACAAAGGATCGTTTAATGACAAGGTAAGATTAGCGCCACAGAGAAGCATTAACGCGGTAGATTCCAATGCATTTACACATTTCCTGTGCAGAAATGCAGGAGATTTGTGTTCCCACGGGACAGTAACTCCCGGTTGATCGGTTAGTCTGTGAATTATAGTGCTGTAAGGCAGCTAAATCCCCCCTGGCTTCTTTAAAGTGTCACCATCAATAGATAACCGGGTCCGGGAAGTCTATTTGTCTCATACATATTGTGTTAAAGTGATGAACATCTGTCTTCACTTCATAACGTAGTGAGACTACCGGTATTGAAATAATTAGAGTTTTATTGGCTATCTGTTATCAAGAGGTTCCTGTCAAAAGTAATTTTGCAGACTATTCAATGACATGGGTAATTAATCAATCAGGATGCAGGGCAGTACATAATACAATAAACCGTAATGTGTCATGAATTAATTGTGTCATGTATTATAATATGTCACTATTATCTGACATAATATAGTAAACCTACAAAGACTTTGTGACACCTATCATTTAATTTCATATTGTTTTAATAGATAGACATAGCTATCTATTTTAAGCAAGTAACTTTGTGCAGACTGTGGCATTCATGCACATAAGAACAAGGAAATATGGATTCGCACTTGAAAGCTGACTATGAATATATGTGTTACTGTTGTTTTGCTTTTACAAAAATACAAACAGTTAGAGCCTATCATCGCCTATGCCATCACATCAGTTTGCAACTTCAATTCTTGAAATGTTGGAATGCAGAGTTAATGTGTCCCTCAGCTTATCAACTGAAAGTGTGTCTTGTTTTTTTCTCTCTTGTTCTCCCAACATGCAGGGTAAATCGGGTAATGGAATAACAATGAAGTCATGAAGTCTCATCATTGGGGAACTATGGTTATTCTGTCCAGAATATCCCCTCATTTCCACTTTATCATCTTGTTACTTCATCTGACGTTGTCCTATGTAAATCTTCAGTTTCTCCCTGAACCAAGGTCAGGACAGGCCCTACTTCTCTTTACCCAGCCGGCTTACAATGCTTCTATCTTTGAAAACTCTGCTGCCAGAACATTTGCATGGAGTGATGTTAAAATGGGTATTGTGCTCAACCCACCGCAATCGTTGGACATTAAATATACCATACAAGATGGAGACAAAGAAGGTATTTTTCAGAGTGAAGATTTTACGCTAGGAGACTTTTGCTTTCTTCGAATACGCACTAACGGTGGAAGTGGAGCCATTTTGAACAGAGAAGTTCAAGACAATTACACCCTGACTGTAAAAGCATCTGCCCAAGGAGGTCTAGAGGCCTTAACCACTGTTTATATCAAGGTTTTGGACACTAACGATTTGCGCCCGCTCTTTTCCCCCACCTCCTACTCATTTGTTGTTGCCGAGACTGCACCCTTAGGCGCCAGCATCGGCAGAGTTACAGCCACAGATGCTGATGTTGGCTGGAATGGAGAATTTTACTATTTTTTCAAAAACAAAGTTGACCTTTTTGCAGTTCATCCAACTAGTGGGGTCATCACTCTCATAAGACGTCCCAGAATAGACAAGCAGGATCAATATGAAATTGAGGTGCAAGTGATGGACAGGGGGATGAAGTTGTATGGGAATAGTGGAATTAGCAGCACAGCGAAACTGGTGCTTACTGTGCAGCGAGTGAATGAGTTTGCACCTGTTGTCAAAGTTGTAGCTGTTGAGCCTTTGTGGGAAGACAAGAATCCCATCTACGCCGTCATAACTGTTGACGATAAAGATGAAGGGGTTTCTGGAAATATAGAATGGGTGTCTATTACTGACGGAGACCCCTTTGAACAGTTTGTAGTTGAACGCTCTTCAACTGGGAATGAGTACAGAATCAGGGCTTTGGACTTGATAGATTGGGACAAATTTCCCTTTGGTTTTAACTTGTCTGTCCAAGCTAAAGACCGGGGTGTCCCTCCCAAGTTTTCTGATAATCAAGTTGTTCAGTTGCTGGTTACAAAGCCACTTCCAGTAATAGTAACTTTTGAACGAGATGTTTATGTAGTCAAGTTAAATGAAATTTCTCCCCCAAGCACTTTTGTTGAGGTGGTGAAAATCTCTCCAGCTCCTTCGAGTGTCAATTACAGCTTCACCAGACCCTCAGATCCAATGTTCTTTGATATAAACCCTTTGACTGGAGTTATTATGACCACAAGGCAACTGACAGGGATATCACAGGATTTCATAGAAATGGAGGTAGCTGATATTGTCAGCCAGCAACGTGCCCGAGTCAGAGTAATCATAGAGGATGCAAATGATAACAGCCCAACATTCAGCAGGCCGGCATACGACGTTGCTGTGAATGAGAGCTCACCTGTGGGCACAGTGGTTATTACAGTATCAGCCACGGATTCTGATAAAGGGGAAAATGGTTACATTACTCACACAATCAGTAATGATCAAGACTTGCCATTCAGCATAGACCAGGCCACAGGGGAGGTGAGAGTCATTAAAGAGTTGGATTTTGAATCTGCAGAGGATATGTATATGTTTGCTGTGCGGGCCTCAGACTGGGGAACTCCATACAGAAGAGAAAGTGAGGTTAATGTGACAATTCGTTTGATCAACATAAATGACAATTCTCCTCTATTTGAGAAAGTGTCTTGTAGAGGTATGATAAATCGCGAATTCCCTACCAATAAAACCATTGTCACCATGTCTGCTGTTGACTTGGATGAGCTAGGATTAGTGAGATACCAAATAGTGTCTGGTAATGAGTTAGACTACTTTACTCTGCACTCTGCTTCTGGAGCTTTGTCATTGAAAAGACCATTAGCCGTACTAAATATAAAAAATAGCGTATTCAACCTGAAGATCGTCGCAACAGATGGTGAATTAATATCCGAGCCTACATTTGTCAACGTGTCTGTGGTGAGGGGCAGAATGCCACCTGGGGGCTTTAATTGCAGGGAGACCAGAGTTGCACAGATGTTAGCTGAGAAAATGCTCTCCAAAGCCACGGCTATGGCAAAGCCGAGCTATTCTGAACGTTACACAGCCGACCTTTATTCCGCTAATGCACAAGCGCCGCAATTCGAAGCTTTACCAACAAGTATTTTAGTGCGAGAAGATCTACCTGTTGGAGCAAGTGTCTTCGAAGTGAGAGCGAGGGATGGTGATACAGGCTTCAATGGCCGTGTTCTTTTTTCGATATCCGATGGGAATAAAGAAAACTGCTTTATGATTGACATACAAAGTGGGCTTATAAGTGTTTTACTGCCACTTGATCGTGAAAGGACGGATCGTTACTTTCTCAACATCACCATCTACGACCAGGGAAATCCTCAAATGTCAAGTTGGCGCATACTGACAGTGATCATAGAGGATGCAAATGACAATGATCCCCTATTTCTACAAGACAGCTACTCTGCCATTGTGCAGGAAAATGCTGTTATTGGAATGGAAGTCATCACGATTATGGCGTTTGACAGAGATATGGGCCAAAATGGACAGCTTGCGTACATTATGCTGACCCAAGTCCCTCAGTTTGGTATAGACAGCGAAACTGGGAGTGTGTTTGTGGCCAGTGTCTTGGATAGAGAGAGATCGCCTACATTCATGCTGAAAATTGAAGTCCGGGATAAAGCAGAGAGAGGCAACCGAAGGTCATCTGTGACTACATTAAACATTATAGTGGAGGATGTTAATGATTGTGCCCCAACGTTCATACCCAGAAGTTTTAGTGCAAGAGTGCTGGAAGATCTTCCCCCTGGAGCTGTCATTAGCTGGGTCCAAGCCCAAGACCCAGACGTAGGACCCGGTGGGCAAGTCTGGTACTCTCTGACTAACGACTTTGGTGGAACTTTTGAGGTATGTATTCTAAAGTCTTATGCTTATAACAACCATTATATTAAAGCTGAGATACCTAATTTTTCATACATAACACAACAGATTCTACAGTACAATGATTGGCTGAGTGAGGACAGCTTTTCACTTTTTTTATCTGAAAAAGTTGATCTACAGTTGTGACAAAGGCCAACAATGAATGTGAAAACAATTTACATTAATGTTGTTACATTATGAAATTATGGTGGTTTGAAAGTTAAGTTATAAGAATTATTATTCCACTTTTGTATTAGGACTTTTTGATTGATTTTTATCCATTCAAGCTGACATTTTACTTACCACATGAGAAGTGTGGGTTTGATTTTTTCACGGTTTTCACTGGGCCTAAATGCGAGTCGAAATAGAGCAGACTTTTTGTGACTAAAATGTTGGAAACATTAATCCCTGTGGTTTAACTGACATATCAAGTAATCCTTGAGGCAGTTCTGAAAAAAAAGAACTGTCACTTTGTAGAGGTAGGCACTTTAAATTTGTGGTCTAGCTTATTTTCCACCTTTTTTATTAGATTTGTGTAAAGAGGCACTTAACTGCATTTATTAGCAATTTCTAATGCAAGGGTCTGCAATGTTTTGTTCAGATCGATCCTGTCAGTGGGGCTTTGAGGATAAGGATGGAGCTGGATTTTGAAAAACAACAGTTTTACAACTTGAGTGTTTTGGCTGAAGACCGGGGATCACCCAGTCTGAGAGCACAGACATTTGTGGAAGTGGAGGTGAGAAACACAAACACTGCTTTCTAATGAGCAGTTTCATCAATTAACAGCCACTACTGTAGTCTGTAGCTGTGCCTTGTTTATTGATTCAAATGTGTGGCACTAAGCACTCTGTAAACCGCTGCAGAATTGAACAAATGACAAGGGAACTATAGGTTGTTCCATCACTTACTACATGATACATTTTCATTTCTAATTAATGATTACACTCTGGTAAATGAGAAAGGAAGAGTATGATTGTCATCTAAATATACTCTTTATAACTCATTTCATAAAAGGACTATGGTATTACCAAAAAAGAAATGATCCAATCGCAATATACTCTGCCACTTGAGGTATTGTTGTACTTTGCACTTTTTTGTAATGGGATAATTAAGTTATGCTTATATTAAACCTCCTGCTTATAATTTAAGCCAGACATATTGTGTCCGCTAAATCTTTAAACGTAATGTAATGTAATCTAATCTTTTGGCTGAAATGAAATGTTGAGAACACAAATCCTTTTATTATACATATTATACTGTATATATTCCCCAGAAGAGTGCTCAGTGATGTATGACAATATGTTATCTAATTGATATGCATTTACTTAAGTATTCCAGAGTGCTTGCTAAGGTAGAATTTAAGAATTTATAATGTTTGGACATGGACACTCAATGAGCATGGTTCCCATAATACTGAGCCAATATGTACCCTCTCAAATTATGTTTAACTGCATTTCTCGTCTTCAGGTGGTGGACGTGAATGAAAATCTGTACACGCCCTACTTCCCCGACTTTGCAGTGAGAGGTTCTGTGAAGGAGAACTGTCGTGTAGGTTCCAGTGTCCTGACAGTCACTGCTCTGGACGAAGACCGCGGGCGCGACGGCCAGCTGAAGTACTCTGTCAGAGGAGGCAGCGGGCTCGGCACTTTCACCATTGACGAAGACACAGGTGCGACACAAGATCAATCCCTTTCCCTATTTATGTAAAGTGAAAACCAATAATGCAAGGAGCAATGTTGGGAATGTTAACACTGCTCACTCACATTATTCTATCATTTTTATACAACGATATGATTGGGGACATAACATGCAAAATCGACTTTTCGCAACTTTTGACAATGTTTTATTCGTTTCCCTCAAAGTAAGTTTTAAAGAGATCAAGTATGTGCGAGTAAATCATTGCTTTCCCTTGGATTGTCCGGCCACAATACTCCTACTGTTTTGACCTACTTTATTCGCCAGATTCTTTTTTTCTGAATTTGTCATACGAGGATGATTCACTAGCATTGTACGGATGTTATTGCTCAAAGGAATAATAAATCTGCTGTTTGTATTTAGCATTTGTGGTCTGAATGGAGCCTTTGATGTGACCATGTTTCTGCTGACATCACGTAAAGGTGAAGAGCACGAAGCAATATCCAGTACAGCAGGGCTGAATATGGAAATACATGGACTCGTTTCTTTTATAACCTCGCTTAAGATCAATATTTACCCTTTAGGCGCCAAAGGAGCAGAATTGCTACATGAGAGCATGTCTTCGGGACACTTTTGAAATAGCAAACTGGTTTCCCCTCAAACGTTTCCGTAATTTTGTATTATTTATTTGTATTATTGATTTTAGTTGTCCTCTGTCTCTTAGAACGTTTCAGGGCTCCAACCTTTGTCGGTTTCACATCAAATTCAGATGCCTAAAGGGTTCAAACATACTAAATATACTCGGTCAAGGGTGTCATTTAAATTATACAACAGGCAGCACCATTGTTATGGTCGAATATAGTTTAAGAGTTCCTACAAATACAACTAGTTACATGAATTTAATGAGAGATTTGTTTGAAAGTTAGTTACTCCTGCTTCAAATCGACTGTTAAAAGACAGGTGTTTTGTTGTTGCATTCCTTAAGCCTGGTTCACACGGCAGGATATTTAGGCCGATTTAGACCCGATTTACCCCTTACGACAATCTTAAGAAACGCTCCGATTTCCGTAACAAAATCTTACAGATTATCCTGCCGTGTGTGGTGTGTTAAGACTGCACTCGTCGCTCGGAAGGACATCGGGACTGCTCCCGATCTCAAATCGGGGATATCCAACATGTTGGATTGTTTTGGCCCGATTTCTTGTCGTGTGTGGTGTCCTCCGAGGACAAGCGAGCGCGTTGCCATGACTACGGCGTGTAGCCAATAAGAAGACGAGGTGACAAGCCGGTGAGGAAACACCGGAAAAAAACCAAAACACAGCAGCATGGCTTTGACCATTGCCTTTTCTTTGGATTACGTGTCTTCTCTGTTAACAACAAACTGCACACTATCGCCACTGCATCCTCTTCGTCCGCCATGACTGTTTACTCTGAAGTCACGCTTGATCTCGAGAGATTTTGTGAGATTTCCGTCTGACCTGGGGATGCTCGGGGGGGGGGTGTCGGTTCGTGTGTGATGTTTGTGGCTTGCGTGATCTTGCCGTGTGGCTACGCACCACACACTGCACGACCAAAGTGGTTAGACGCAGGATTTTTAATCTCCCCGTGTGGGGTCTAACACGGAGAAAAATCGGCCGACAATTTTAAAATCGTCTTGTGTGAACCAGGCTTTAATGGCCCGGCCTCTGCCTGACTCTGGCGGGTCTGCTAGGTGGAGGGCATTGGGAGACAGGGTGGTGTATTTTAGTGCTGGTGCAGTGATGGGCCTCACGTGGGAGATCATTACTGTAATGAGGCCAGCGTGGCAGCTACACTGGCGCGGCCTGGGGCAGCTTTGTACCCCACGCTCAATGCAGTGCAGATAACATTGATCAAGGCTCCCTCCCCAGTGAACTCCTCCTGTCTTTCCTTAAATGTAAACTTAGTGTCTAATTTAAGGAGTCTGACCCACAAAAGGGATTTCTCAGAAAACTCTGCGGTTCCTGAGTAGAAAACACCGTTCCCTAACTTAGCCTTCACAGTTTCAGCCACATAAAAAGTCCAATCGCACACGGCAACAGTTTATGTCTTGTTAGATGCAGCTCAACTCAATGTTCTATTTTATCAGAATCTTTCCCCAGTTTTTTATTTATTATAGAAAGGCACAGAATTATTTATGGGAGAACTGTAGTATTATCTTATCTCCATTGTCCATAAGAATAGTGCGTCTCCATCGGACACAAAAGATAGTCAATTTATTGTTGTATAGATTTGTTTTGAGCTTGTTTACCATCTTTTTGGCATCTAATGAATTTCTGCTTCCCCAACCCATGCCCATATTGTTTATCAATGCATTTTAATTGTTAGCGGCTTTCCAATCTTTCCAGTAAATCTTGTTGTGACTCTCCCACTCCCTTGTGTAAGAGGATATGACAGTACCAAGTAACAACGGCCAGAAACAAGAGAATGCTAAAGATTGGTCTGAAAATTGATCCGCAATTGCAAATTAATTCCCATAGTCCAACTGTTGTTCATTTCCCTTTGTATGACCATGAGCATGCATTTCACAAAGTCAAATTCTCAAGTGATATTATGTAATTTTTGGGCAGGGGATGACAGTTTACACCAACAAAACGCTCAATTGCTAAAATCTGTGTTTGGTGTTAATCCTTAATCTCTACTCTGTGTGCCTCTCTCCATGGTGCTGAAAAATTCACACTGCATGCATCCCAATCAGTTTTGCCATTCACCCTCTGCCTCCCTGTTCTCTGCATGATAGGGCTGGTTATGTAGTGAGGAGTTCATTTAGACTTTAGACACTTCTCAATCACCATAATTACATCCACTGATTAGAAAAGTGTCACGTCCACGATATTAAATGGGCAAGGCGTTTGTTTAAAGCTTCGATATTCACTGGTCCCTACTGTACTGTACACGGCATTTGCACTGGAGGACTTTTTGACCTTTAACTAGGCTAATTAGTATTGACCACAGTTCTGAGAGAGCACCAGCAATATAGTACGCAATGGACCTGCTATACACATGGATAATTTTTGTGTACTGAGCTGAACTAGGAGCGCTTGTCAAACATTTCATATCAAATACTACCTCAGGAGATATTTTTTTGCTAATCATCATCTAAATAAGAATATAATATAGTACGTACTAGTAAATATAATATAATCTCTCTCTTTTGTTGACCGGTGTCTGATAAAGAGATGATTGGATGATTTATTTTGCTTGTCCGTTATTTGTGTGCAGTCTAAATATAGCAATTAACTTAATGTTGTTTACCATTGCCAACTGAAAACCCCAAAGAAATCTCAACCTGTCTCTTACCAGTGTTGTACCCGTGCTGATGTTCGGGTTGTTCTATTTTGGATGGAAATACTTTATTAAATACTCTATTACAGCCATTAGAGTTTGAATGGGCCCCCAAAAATCATCTGCTCATCAAGCTACTGAAACATAAATTACATTCATAAAGATTTGCTTAATACTGCTGCATAAATCCCGCTTTACAAGTAATAGTAATACTAACTAAGTCATTTATTTCCTATTTGTTGTTTACTTAAATATATAAACATAAAATGATCTTAAGAATAGAGAATAGAATTTAAATTGTTATTGGGATGTTAATGACTATGGAAATGGCGGCTCTATAAAATTCAAACTTGAAAGGGTCCTATATAATATAGTTTGAGAATCACCCTAATTTGTGTGATTTAGTTTCCTAATAAAACTCCAGTAACTATCAGAAAACTTTAACAGATTTTTCAGGGGAAATCATAGTGCTTGTTAGAGCAGAAAGCAGACTATGGGAGTGGAAGTGATGCAGGGAAGAGGAAGGAGGAGCGTGCTTGGGGAGTTGAGCCGAGTACATAAAAAGTGTATTTTCCCTCCCTCCACTTTTATCAAATTTTCTTCAAAGTTGCTGCTATTGTTTTTATCTGTGCTATAAAAAGTGCATCTTTTATGTGTAAAGAGAGGTGGTAGCTAGTAATATGTATATTTGATGACATTTAATAAAGGTTCTGGTTTAATCATTTGCTGGATCCGGATTGCAATGGTCCAAATTAAAGCCACTATTCTTGACCTTTACCGTTGGCTCCACGAGATGGATGGGTCAACTTCAAGAGCACTAGACAGGTTTGGAATTGGAAATAAACTTTTAGTGGAAGAAAGCACTGCACATTGCACCTTAACACGGTTAAAGAAATTACGAATTTAGCATATTCAGATCGACGTCAACATTGTTTTTCAATCTTTTCCTGTCCGTCAGTGTCTGTGTATATATGTCTGCGGTTTGGCTGTAGACAGTATTTTTTTCAGCCAGCAGGTGGCAGCAGAACTCTGTGGGTGTCTTGGTCAAAGATCACTGCCTGAGCACTCTGAGCAGGAGAGACAGAGGTGAAGCAGGCATGGAGTAATATAGTCAGGGTCAGGCTACATTTGGAGGCAGTTTGAGCAGTAAATGTGTCTCCAGAGCTGACACAGACCATGTGGAGGGTCAGAGCAGCAGACCATGTGGAGGGTCAGGGCAGCAGACCACGTGGAGGGTCAGAGCAGCAGACCATGTGGAGGGTCAGGGCAGCAGACCATGTGGAGGGTCAGAGCAGCAGACCATGTGGAGGGTCAGGGCAGCAGACCATGTGGAGGGTCAGAGCAGCAGACCATGTGGAGGGTCAGAGCAGCAGACCATGTGGAGGGTCAGAGCAGCAGACCATGTGGAGGGTCAGAGCAGCAGATCATGTGGAGGGTCAGAGCAGCAGACCATGTGGAGGGTCAGGGCAGCAGACCATGTGGAGGGTCAGAGCAGCAGACCATGTGGAGGGTCATAGCAGCAGACCATGTGGAGGGTCAGGGCAGCCGACCAGCGGTGCATCCCAAAAAAGCCACAGAAAAGTGGACTATTGCTAAAACTATCACTGAGTCCACACCAGGAGCCAGCGGTAAAGTCCAGTTATGGTCACAGCGCTCGCTGGACTAAACAGAACAACACTCTGTAGATGTAACCACACAAACATGCGTATAAAGGCACATACATACGCGCCC